TATTTTTTATTATATATATATATATATATATATATATACATATTTATAAATATATAAAATATATGAAAAATTGATGTGGGTACTCAAATGAAAGGTCTCGATGAGTGTAACATCAGGATGAGCTTATATATTTAAAAATGTCAATAGTTTACAAGATACAAGGTCATTTTTTAATTATGTATCTAAAGATAGAGAAACCTTTTTATCATATGACTATCCTTGATACAAAAATTTTCTTATTCTCTTAATAATATAGATTATAATTAAAAAATTATAAAAAAAAAAAAAATGATTACCGTATCCCAAATTTGTAATTTAATCTGTTTGCCATCAATAGTAATCATACGAGCTCCAAATTCAACTCCAATTGTCAAGTCATGGACTGGCTGGAAACGTTTGTCAGTGAATTGTAACAAAAGACATGATTTACCAACTCCTGTAACATGAACCAAAATAAAAACATAGATTAGTCTTGAACAAACAAAAATAAAACATCTGTAACATGAATTCCTATTTTCAATTAAAATAAAATAAAAAAATAAAAACATTACTACGCTCTAATGACAATAGACAATAGAGTGAGTCATAATAAATTTTTTGTAACTGTATCAATATTTATGCTAATGATTTAATGAAGCAAACAAAAAGATGTCAGTGTTAATAACAATTTGAAAAGTATATATGTAATTTTTAATGAATGCCACAATTATTTGTAATGAGCAATTACCATAATTCAGATGGAGAAAAATAAAATATCCTTAAAGAAAGTTTTTAATACGTAAGCCCTGATGAAAACATAGCTGTCACACCAGGCGTAAAAGCAACTTAAGAAAATCTATCAACCATTTTATGTTTACGATAATAACGGATTACATATTTTTTTGATTTATACAAATAATAAATAATTACCTGTATCGCCGATTATAATGTACTTGAACAAATAAGCGTATGCCATGGTTTATTATTTAAATATTTATTTTTTAAACGCACGATCCTTTAATCGTGTAAAGATTTATATATATACTTTTTTTTCGACACTACAATAAATTACACTTTTTATTCTTTTATCTTTCTCCCTTGGGTCGTGACGTCATTCAATTGCTTCGGGCACTTTCGGCGACTGTCGGTAATGTTTAAAGGTCTAAATACATTTACAGAATTTAATTCAAATAATTAACCAAATAAAATTTACAAAGTAATTTATTTAGAAAATTATTTAAAAATTTTTTTGGAATAATTCACTTACTATAAATTTAATTAATATTAATTATTTAATGATTTACTATTATTAGAAATAAATTTTTTGGTGTTAAAAGACCTTTACTGCAACTGCGCACGAAGAGTGCGGAGAGTGAAGGCTGTATTGCAGCAGCTGTTGCGTTACCAACACAAAGAACACTTTTAATCAGCTGTCAGAAGGTCTGTAAAAGTTTAAGTTGGTCAGCTGTTGATTTTTTGAGTTCTTGTAACAAATAAATTACACTTATAAAAATGCTTTCAAAAATTTTATAATATTAAAGTATGAAAATAAAGTTAGCCGATTTCTAAAAATTTTTATAATTTTTTTATTAAAGAAAATTTTTATCATTTGTAAAAAACTTCAAAAACTATAAATGCAATTTTTTAAAAATATTTTTTAAATCTAATTTAATAAATTAAGCAAAATCAAAAATGTCGACTAACTTTATTTATATTATTAAAGTATTAAATTGAAAAAAAAAAAATACTTTTTTAAAAATTACACTTAGTTTTTTACAAATAATTATTTTTTTTTAATGAAAAAAATTTTTAAATAATGGCAAACTTAAAATTTTCATTGAAATTTTTATTAATTTTCACATGTGGAATTTTTTCATTAAAATTTAATTACTATAAAATTATATGAAAAAAAAAAAAATTAGAGTATGATAGGAAAAATGAATAATTTAAATACTACTAAAGCTAGCAGACATCTGTCAATTTAAAAAATTTTAATTACAAATGAATAATAAAAAGAAAAATTTGCACTTGTAATTTTATAAAAATAATTTAGCTATCATAAAAGTGGAAAAAATTGACAAATGTCTGTTAATTTTGATTCAATAAATTTATATGAAAAAATAGCTTTATTTTGTAAAAAAAATATCGTATAAAATCGTTAAGCGTATATACATATTTAATAATTAAAATAAGTATTAATAGAAATGAAAAATATCTACATAAGTAAAGAGGAATAGAGACTGGGACATTAAATGGCGTGGTGTGTTAATCGCCTTTCCATTCAATTACAGATACTTGGTAATAATATTTAAAAATATCGCGGATAATAAAATGTCTAGTAGACATTGACAAGCTCTCATTGTACTCGAATGGCTAAATAAATGAATCCGGTGAGTTTAACATGTGTCTCAATTACTATTCAATGGCCATTCAACGTCAGTTGTCAGGATAAATAATTATTATGTATCTTTTACACGCTATTTCAGATTATGCCAATCCAAATCAAGATGTAAAAGACGAATCGTCAATAGACTCGGGACTTTCAGAATTGCTTTCAGCAGCATCGACGAACGCCGAAGACAAATCTCCGGACAGCTTGCTGACCGCCTGGGTGCTGACATCGTACATGAATATTTCTTTATCTCCTTTGCTTTGATTTTTCGGCCTGGAAGTAAGTAAAAAAAAATTAATTAGCCAATTAATTTAAACGAAAGATCCAAATCAAGCATGAAGCGCACTAAGAGGAAAACTAATTGAATAAATCTTACGTCGTTACCAATAAGACGACCGACTGCTTCTGGGGCTCGGTCTGGCTTTCTTGCTCCAGCCACTTTTTGTAGTTTTCCGCGGTGGGTTTTCTAATCAACTGCTTCAAGGTGTCTCCAGCCAAAAATTTAGCAGGCATGGGCTCGCTTATTTTTTTCCCGAATCTCTGTTCTTCGTCGCGAAAGTTGTAGTCGACTGGAGCGAGAACGACGACGCTCGATATTTTCCGGTCCTTCAATTCCGGAACATCGGGGATCGGAAAAGACGCCCCGCTTACTTTCAGCGGCAAGTACCGATTGTACTGGGTGTTATCATCACCAGAAGCAACGACGTTTACCGGTTTGAGATGAGTAGCGTCATCTCGTATGTGCTGATCTGCAATAGCCTGGCCTTGTGCCGTATTGGGGTCGAAGTGTACTACTTTCATTTCCACACCTCCGGGCTTAAGTGTAGCCTGTTCAACTTTGGTGGTGGTTGTCACCGCCTTGTTAGGTTTTATCACGACATTGTTGTTGTTATTATTATTATTATTATTATTATTATAACTATTTTTGTTATTACTGGTGTTTCCATCATCAATAATCTTGGGTTTCTTAGCGATCGACGGAATCGGCGCGCTGGCAGACACTGCAGCACCACCTCCGGCACCGTAGAAATTGGCGAGCGCCTCAGGCGGCAAATTCTCGATCGGGATATCTCCGACCTTGTCGTAATCAAGAACTTGAATATCCGCGTTTCCCAAGATTCCAGAACTTAACAACTGATCTCTAATATCGTCCGGCACTTCATCCGGCAAATTCGCAATGTTCTGCTGGATTTTTGCCTCGTTTTTCGGGCTGGGCGTCGTTGTGGTTGGAGCTGCTGTGGTGGGTTGAGTTGTGGTCGTTGTGGGAGTTGTGGGCGTAGGCTGAGACGAAGGAAAAGCTGCTGCGAATTTTGGGATTGACGGTCCGAGCGAGTGTTCGATTTTTGGCAGAGGAGTCGCGAAGATTTTCTGCTTAGGATCTTTGATGATAGGCTGGCTCCAGATAGACTGATACTGAGACGAAGACTGCTGAGACTGGATGTTTTGACCAAAGTTAAATCCATCCTTTTGACTTTGATTAGGGAACTTTGGAGCTGGGGTTTGGCTGTTTGTCTTGGGAACGTAACCACTTGTGTGACTTAGCAGTGTTTGCTTCTGAATAGTTATTGCGGTAGGTTGTTGGCGAGTCGAAAAGCTGTTTTGAGTTGTCTGAGAGTACTGCGTTGGATGTATTTGTTGTGGATTAGGTGGAAAAGGCCCTGGATGAAGAGGATTTTCTCTTATTGCATAATGCTGTTCTAATTTTGGCACAGCTCTCAAAATTTCCGACTGTTTTTCTTGTTGCTGTTGAATTTGCTGCTGCTGCTGTTGTTGAATATTCTGTTGTTGTTGTCTTAGCTGCTGTTGATGCTGCTGAACTCTGTTGTAATTAACTTGCTGTTGATTAAACTCTCTAATTTTGGTCTCCTGCTGTTTGAGCCTCTGCTGTTCAAGCTGTTGCCTCTGTCTTTCTTGGAACTGTTGTTCTTGCTGTCGTTGCTGTTCTTGTTGTCGTTGCTGCTCCTGCTGTCTTTGCTGCTCCTGCTGCCTCTGAAGTTCTTGCTGCCGAAAGTGGTCCCTTTGTTTCAACTCCTGATACTTCTTATCCTGTTCCTGTTTGTAAATCAACTGGTGGTGATTTTGTTGCTGCTGGTACCTCTGCTGCGACTGCAATTGCTCGTTATTGGAGTAACTCTGTCCGGCAGAAAAGTGGGGCTGATTTTGCAAATGCAAACTCTGATGTGAAACAGAAACAGCCGGTGGGAAGCCTGGTTGTTGTGGATGATTTATTCTGATACCGTGTGCTGGAGAGCCGAACGATTGAAAAGTAAATCGCTGCTGAACTTCCGGCAGGCCTTGAATAGTAATAGCCGGTCTTTGTTGCTGGCGTTGCACATTAATTAGCGGCGGTGATTGGAATTGAGGCTGCGAGAAATTCGGTGGGAGTTGTTGCTGCTGCTGCTGCTGCTGCTGCTGCTGCTGTTGTTGCTGTTGATATTGATGTTGGGGAAACGAAGTTATTCTCTGCTGAGGAAATGTTACAGGAGACTGCGGCAACCGATGATTTGATTGAATCGCCGGAAACTGACCGACCGGCCTCTTATTAGGCGAAATTGCCGGTGAAGGAGAAAACGAATTTAAGTACAACGGAGGGTGAGCATTGGGATTGTCCCTATCACTTCTCTTGTTATGATTATTGGGCGGGAGTTTATCAGAGCCGAAAGTTATCTTGATCCCACTGCCGTCAGAGTGGTAAACTTCACTATCGGGCCTGATAATCGCCCTCAAAGTCGTCGACGGCTCGCTGAGCAGCGGACTCTGAGTGACGTACTCAGTTTTTTCGGTCAACTGATTGTCGGACTTAATTTCTTCGTGGTCTTCGTGGGGCGTCAGAGCGGGTACTGGTTTCTCGTAGACAACTTTGGACTTGCCGTTCCCCTGGTCTTTCTTCTCGTACTTTACGTAAAACACCTGTATGGGCTCCTTTGTAGGCTTGGTAGCTGGCAAAACCGGCGGAGGAGAGGTCGGCAAGGATTCGTTCGACTCCTTGATGATTATCTCGATAATCGGCTCAGGGTCTGACCCATAAGAACCCGGGGGGTGACCCAGTGTTTCGTCGTGGTAGAAATCGTCGTCGCTCTTGGAGCTTGCCAGGGGGTTGTAAAGCGGGTCGCGCTGGGAGTATTGGACTATCGGCTCCATTTGCACCGCATAAGGTGGTGGTCTGCCTGCCCTTCTTGTGAAGTACACTTGTTGCCGTTTTCCACGGTTCTTATCTTCGGCCCCGGCTACGATCGCGACAGCGACCATGATCGCGATCACCATCTAAAAATTCGTATAATTATTTTGATTTGTTGTTTAAGTCTATGACCTAATATTTTGAAAGTAAATCGCAAAAAGAAGATATCCTTGATGAGAAACTCATTACTCGGTACTCGATTACTTCTATGCGTTTAATAGAATGTACTGATGTAAAAAATAGCTTTTCGATGTAATGCAAGTGTACCGAATATGGAGAAACCGCGTTAGAGACGATTCTATTGGTCTTACGTTAAGTCGTGTCAAGAATTTATTAAATAAGTTTCTTTTATACGTTTCTAATGTGTATCATCGTATTACCATTACTATTATTGTCTCTTTGCTTTTTTTAGTTTCTAATCAAGAATATACGGTAATAATTTTAGTTAAAAATTCTTAGTTAAAACATTAAAATAATTACCACTGAGAGTCGCATGTTGTTAAACAAAAAATCACTGAATAGAGTAAAAAAAAAAAAAAAAAACTAACTCAATTTATCACAACTAAAATCGAACATTAAAAAACCATATTAGAAGCACCGGTACGCGTTTTTTGGAGGATGTCGAGCGAGACAAGCGGCGTGAAGGAACTGAGGACTGAGAAGTGATCGGTCTACTGAGTCCACTTCTCCCTGGTCTGGAATAATTCTTCCCACTACTATCGTGTGTCCGATGCTTCCTCTCTAATATTGCAGACGTCTCGCGATACCTTTCTCTGGTTAGTGAATGATGTTATCACTGTTTTTTCTTCCTTCCTCTATTCACCTTTTATTACACTGCCTTTGGTTGTTGTGTTCCATGTGTTGGTTGTTTATTAAAAGTTTGTACTTATGATCCAACTTATTAAAATGTACATTCTTTATTAGTTAAGAAAGAACACTAGATTACATTACGCATTACACCTTACACTTTACACATTAGATTACAGATTACGGATTATAGGCCAGTGTTGTAATTTTAAGTAAGATGATTTAGAAATTTTTTTATTTTAAATTTATATACGCTTTTACACTTTATCCATTTAATAATAATAAGTATAGGTGTTAGGAGGAGAGATGATGATTTATCTTGAGGGAAAAGTATTACCGTGTTTTAACCTCAGACCGATCTCGGATAGGATGTCACTTTCGATTTATTTATTATTTAGTTTTATTGTAATTGTAATTTGTTTTGTTAGAGGTTTTAGATTGACGGTGTGTGGTAAGTAGAGTTTAAAGCTAATCGGTGTATGCTGATAGATTTATTTCGAGAGAAGCTTAAAATAATATTTTAATTTTAAATTCACTTTCTATTTGACAATAAGTGTGTATATTGTTTGGGAAAAACGTGTGGTCAAGTATCATTGAAATAATGATGAGGATGACAATATATATATATATATATATATGTATAAATATATATACGCTTATAGTGTATATTTATATATATGTACGCGCTGCAGGCGGGTGACCTCAGGAGAGAGTACATACTTTCCAGTCCAGGAAGAGTCGTTTATAAGAAATACCGATTGCCCGAGGGTGTGATTCGTATCCTACCGTGCCGAAATTCTGACTTTTATTTTTTAAAAATTATTATTAAGTACACAAGCTTTTAAATATTTTCTTTTTAAATATTTAGGCTCTATGAATCAAAAATTAATTTATACGATTTTTCTTTTATTGAAAATACTTTCTCGTCCCATCTTTTAAATTAACATTTTAATTCTATTTTTATTTTTGTCATTCGCCGACAAAAATTCCAATATTTTCTTCAGATATACCTTCCTTTTTTAATTTATATGCTCTCAGTCATTTTTCATTAAGTATTATTATTATTAATAATATTTAAAAAGTAAAAAATTAGTTAATTTAATCAAATTTTTATTGCTTAACTTTTGAATTAAAATTCTCTTTATTTTTTCAGAATTTGAATTTAAAATTCAAAAATCAAGTTATAGAATTTATCCGTAGTTTTTAAAAGTTTAAAATTCTAATTCTAGATTAAATATTGAAGATAAAAAAAAATTATAAGAATCCTTTGTTGTATAAAGGATAAAATTTTCTATAAAAAATGTCCTTATCACCTGCCGTATCTTTAACCCTCAAGCTAAAATTTCTAGACTAGAATTTTCACCCTCTCACATAACTATTAACTTTTAAATTTATTGTGAATAATATTATTATTATTTATCATATATAAGGTAAAAAATAAATAGGACGATAAGATCTGGCAAAAAGGTGGAAAGTTAATGAAATAAATAAAGCAAACAAACGAAAATAAATGGGCAATAAAAATGCGAAAGTATTTCAAAAATAAAGATTAAAAGATAGTCTGATATAATTGCGATTTAAACTAGTCCATAATTAAGTGTGCGTTAGTTTAAAGGTAAAGTGGATAAAACTAACACTGAGGTTTTCATGTGGAGCTAATACAAGTGTAGCCCGTACAGTAATTTTCTTCACCTCTCACCCGTACCGTACGGCTAATTGTACGATTAAACAATTCAAAAATAACAGTTATAAAGGCAGAGAGGCTTCTGAGAAAAAAAAAAAAAAACTATCAATTAAATTAAAGTAGTACGTTCGAGTGCTGTAATTTACTTTTTAGTTTTGTTCTCTAAACACAGTAATGCAATTCAAATATTTTATTTATGGTAATGTAATTGCTTGATAATTATTATTAGATTTGATTGAGATGAGTAACGAGGTTTGGATCGAAAGGTAAAGGTGAAATTTATTTTTTTTTGGTATGGCCGAGGTCCGAGCTAAGCCCGATCCCGACACACGGATTCATATGAATAAAATATGAAGATGAAGGCGATATAATTATATTATATACTAAGAGGAAATGAATGAATTATCATGATTCACAGTGAAATGTGTGTTTAAAAAATTGAGGTATTTTTCCGGTGGAATTTGAGCGTCAGCGTTTTATAGGATGACTTTTATTTGTATTTGTACGCTATTCGCTTTTACTTGTAAGGATTATGAAGGCTGTGAAGGCCGCTGGCTGGATGGCTTCTTCTTATAGTACCAGTACTACTTAGCGTAGGTACATATACAGCTGTAATATAACATTAAACCGACATTGAGTGTGTGAGCATTTGGCGAACGTTCAAACACGGTAGGGATTGAAGACGCGCGGCCTACTTGGTTTGTATAAACTTTCACTTATTCTGGCGTAAGAGATCCAAATATTCATTTCCCATCTCAAATGTGAGGATGATAATGAAACTATTTTTTTAATTAGACATATAAAAGCGGTGTGTTGTATGCTGGCTAGTGGATGAGATAATTTTAAAATTATAACTTTGTGTTAAGTAATTATATCAAATTTATCTTTCTGGTGTTTATTTTTAAGTCGGAAGACTAATAAGAGCAATTTAAATTAATGTCTAAATAAAAATTATATCGTTAAAAATTCATTTATCTTTCAAATTTTACTTTTACTCTCTATTCATGATGAGAAAAAAATTTTTTTTGAATTTTTTATCAAAGAATTCCTCAATTTATCTCTCGGAATTTTTTTATTGTGGGAAAAATTTTTATAATCAAAAATCTCGATAAAATTAAAATTTTTTATTGAAGTAATAAAAATTTTGTTAATAAATAAAATTTTGGTTTAAAATTGTGTTTTTAATTTTTAAAAATGAAAGTAAATAGATTAATTATAAACTTTCAGGTTATTTTGTAAGCTTAACTCACTGGAATGTGATGTGTTAATGAAAAAAGTAAAAATTAAATAAACTCAAGATTTAATTATTGGATCATGTATGAATTTGTAGGAGGCATGCTGCATTTATACACTAAACGAGGATAACGTAACTGGTGAAGAGTGAAAGTGTTGCAAAGTAGAACGCAGAAACTGTACTACGTTTCATCATTAATCAATAAAATAGACGAGTTTCATAGGTTCTGTAAATATTTTATTAACTCATTAACCAATTAAGAACAAAGATTAAAATCTTTAATATCCTTCAATTCCGCGGGGTTTATTCCACTCGATCAACCAAACATTTATAGATTTTTAATCAAGATTGATCAATTATTCCTATTGGACTTTGAAAGATTTTTATTACCAATAATTGCCATTTGTGCGCTATTTCTTATTCTTCGAGTAAATAATACGTTTTTTTTAAAACGTCGATAATGTAAGAGAAAACAGGTTTAAGCTAAATAAAAAATATGCTCATCCGTATGAAAGACATTCACAACGATTTATTTTATATACTTTCACTGGTGATAAGTCATTAAAAAAACAAGTCACAGATTGTACTACATTTAATGTCTGAATAATATAACATCGGCTAATAATTCAAATTAAATATTAATTTTACGTATCACCCGCGAATTATAATTACCATTTAATTGGATCGAGGAAGAAAAATTTGCTGAATAAATTTATTTATTATTATTACACTTCTAAGAATTTATTTTGCGTGTTTTAATAATTTGAATAATTTTTTACAATAAGAAAACCGGAAAAGAAATTTGAATGTTTGCGGGATTCAGTAATGGGAGTTAAGTATGAAGACTATACACACGTCTATAGCCGCCATGTCTGGTATTTTGCTAAAGTAACGATCATGTGCACGTGCAAAGTTTGTCTAGGTGTGAGAAGGGTAGTGGATAATATTTTTGAAATTTTTAAAATTCACGGCTGGATTCTCGACGCTTACATCATTGTAAGTTTAACAATTATTTCTTATTTAAAATAATTAAATTAAATCTTTGGAGTTTCAAGTGTCCAAGTGTGACAAACAGGTTCTGTTTGTTTATGCAAGCTGGCGACAGCAGCGCGAGGGCGGTTTAATTACGAACCATAAATAGCGCCGCGGTAATTTTTAAAATTATCATCAATGTTAGTCTAGGAAATGAAAGTTACACACATATAATACCTCCACATAATTTTTATATTTAATAGACAAGTACTTAATCCAACGGTTGTCTTTATGTAATCAGATATTAACTGGTTAGAATATATAGAATATCTAATCTAAAGTTGTGTTCATTTGTAATTACAATGTTTGATGTCTAATATTCAGGACTTTTATCAAGATGATTTGTGGTCGAAGTTGCCAAGCTCGTGGAGAAATTTTTTCAAAACCATTTCCATACAAGAGTTGGGCTCGTGGATGCTCGATGAGCTTCAAAGGTGTGATGTTGCTAATTATTATTATTATTATTATTATTATTATTATTATTGTATACTTTGTAGGAATAAAAGTTAATTGGAAATTTTCGCAGTAAGAAAGTATGGCCGCTATCGTTGATTGCGTTAAAGCAATCGATAAAATTACTGACAATTGATCGCAATCCTATCAGCGATGCTGAAACTAAATTTGTCTGTTCTGGCGCCCAATGGAATTATCGCAAGCTAGAAAATTCAGATTTTAAAATTCCAAAGAATGATTTAGCTTGCAGACACAAGAATTTATTTACTAAACATATAAAAATAAAAAAAAGATATGAAATTGATAAATTTTCCGAGGTAATTATTATAAATTATTGTAAATAATTACCTTATTTTTGGTAAAATTATACGCTAAATATTTATTTCTTCAATTAGATTTGTGCTAAATGTTGTTATTTAGCGAATTGCAAGTGCATTGTCGACACTGGAGCAGGAATGGGGCATTTAGCGCGACAATTGTCCTACAAGTACAATTTATCTGTAATATGTGTCGAGCAAACAAAGGAGCTGTCCGATTTGGCGAAAAAGTATGACGCTGAATATTTGGTAACGATAAAAAAACATCTGCCGGATTTTGATTCACGCTCTTCGTATCATTTGTGCGCAAAACTCTGTCAAGAGGACTCGAGCAATGAAAGCTTGATTGGAAATATTAATGAGATTTTTGAAAGTACTTTTGGGAGGAAGTCTATTGAAGAAGGCTTTGGGTTCATCGGGCTACATCCTTGTGGCGATCTAGCAGTTACGTTGTTGAAGCTCTATGTTAAGCAGCCAAATGTTAAATTTATCACTATTGTAGGGTGTTGTTACATGAAATTGACTACTAGGTAAGTCGAGAATTTTTTAGAGGGCTAGATTTAGTTGTAGAATGATTTATTTTAATTCATAACATCTTTTTTTTTTTTTTTTTTTTTTTTTGTATAATAGCGGGGAAAGAAATTCATTGGGTTATCCATTGAGTAATTATTTGAGAAGTAAAAGCAATAATTACCTAAGTTATGCGGCATTAGAAGTAGCCTGTCATGCAGTAGAAAATTATTGTGATAAAATGAAAACCGGTGATTATAATAATTTGAAAGTACACGCTTATCGAGGTATGTTGGAGATGTTATTGATTAAAAAAGCCGGTTTAATAATGCGTCATGGCCGTGTTAATAGTGTTAAAGTCAATGAACATATGACATTTCAAAGGTGAGTTTAATAATATTTTTTTTTTTATTATTGTAAAATAATAAAATCTATTATGTTTTTAGGTATTGTGAATTAGCGACTGCTAAATTTGATGATGATAAAAAAATACTCGAAAGTGATTATAACTGGGAGGAAGTTAGAAAGCACTTGGATAGATGGCAGGAGGTTGTTGCTTTCGAGGCTCTACGGATGATGTTGGCGCCATTAGTTGAAACGGCTGTTCTCTTGGACAGGTTCCTGTTCCTTTCTGAACATCATTTGAAACCGTTACTTAAAGCTGAGTTTGACCCGAGAAGATCTCCTCGTAATTTTGTATTAGTATCAATTAAATAAAATAGTTACAATTTTTATTAATACAAATAATGGTTATAATTTTCTCTACCGCCGAATTTTGCTTTATTCTTAATACAATAAAATATATAGTTAACTTCCGTTTATCCGGATGGATCATATTTTATTCTATTTTTGTAACATTGTCGAATTTCGTGTTAATCATTTTTTTTTAGAATAGTAAAATCGACAAAGTGGATAGATTTTATTTGAATGCATGGCATACGGATATGCGGAAGTTTACTGTAGTAGTGATATAATTTATTCATAAATTATTCTTTATATTGTCGTGATAAAAGATGATTAACAAATTAATCTGATTAATCAGGACAAAATTAACAGCGTAAAATATTAAAGTTGATTTGAGCGTAATAAATAAAGTGTCTTGTTGATAATTTTCGATATTGTTATTGAAAGGATGATAAAAGATAAAACAGCAATTGCATTTAATTTTATTATATATTATATATTATATATATATATATATATATATATATATATATATATACTCTTTGCACAACTAATACAAGACAGAAAGAATGAAAAAAAATTTTAATTAAACTTATCTATATATTTATTCTATAAATTTTTAGTCAAATAAAAAATTTTTTTTTTAATCTCTATGAACCGTTAATTCGAAAGAGAAGTCTAACATACAATAGTAGGATTAATTTAATAGAAATATAATTTTAACACTGATGCAGCTAATGATAATAAGATAGAGATTGTTAATTTTCATATAAACTGATAATAAAAGTCTATAGCTTTTTAAACTTTGAATTAAAATTCTGAACAGATAATCAAGGAATATAGGATACTAAAATATTTAATATATCGTATTTAATTCGAGGCAAAATAATTAAATGTAATGTAAGAACAATAGGGGCGTTATGTTTAGAAACAACGCCTAGTAGGCGTGGGGAAATCCAATCCTAGCTACAGCAATAACATGTTATTTTCCTTGTATAAAATGATGTAAGTCTTCTAAATATGTACACAAACCATCCAGACAATGAAAAAATATTACGTGTACTTAACACGTGCTCCGCATAAATTATTCTAGAAATGATCTGCAAATATAAAACCATTTACAGTTAAATTTTTATAGTTTATTGATGCCCAAAAAAATTCGGCTTTTCCAAAGCTATAATAGCAGTTACGAATTCCACGTAATACATATGATTTGTTTAAATTAACATAATAAATACAATGATCAAACATGGTTAGCGCTTACCGAATGATACATTTTGGTAGGTATAAACATCTAATGGCGCCTTATGTTTAGACGGAATCTTAACAACCGGTTAGTTAATAATAGTTAACGACTGCCAGACAACCATATATTATAATCACCTCATGGACGGCTGTTGTATAAATTAGCATAAAAAATCCAAAGACGGATTCTGATTGGCGCGCGCCAAATGAGTATAAAACTTGGCTTTGTCTATTAGACTGGGCATCCCTAAACAATATTTCTTTCTGACGCGTCATACTATATCTATTTTTATACCGTCTAGATGTAAGTAAGTAGTCAAAAGTTCGACTGTTAACTTGCAACCCTATGATAAAATAGCAGGTTAGGGCTTAATAACGATTTATTTAGGCAACTCACTTGGTACCTAATGCCCTGTGACAGGGTGACGCAAGTTAAGAGCACATATGTAAATTGTCACCCCGGAATACTAAATCCGCTAATTTATAACAAGTTATTGCGGTCGCTACTTTATTCTTAATTTAATTGCAAGTACCAAATTTAATTCCAATATTCTAATTTGCAATTCAATACCTAAAAAGTGGTTACTAAGGGACATTAATTGAAAAAAAGCAGAGTATTAACACAAAATAAACTTTATTTAAAGTTAGCTACCTATAAAAATATTTTGAATGCTCTACAAAAAACTTAAAACTAGATAAATTACAATTATATAACATAACATCTAGACTAATACTTATCAGCAACTAACTTAGCATATATCAAGACAATTAAGTAGCAGAAGACATAGTATTGAGGTAAAGACAAACAATTATGCCTTTGCTTACGCAGATTACGCACTATCGATGAAAGGCTAATCGTTGCTCTCTCGTTGTATAGAGACAAACTGACATCAATAGCACAAAAAGCCCCAGTACGATTCAAACCGGCGCTGCAGTGAACCACTATAGGAGGGATGTTTTTACCCTTGTTATCCACATCTGCCGTTAATTGAGCCTCTCTGACCGCGAGAACGAAGTCCAGAAACTTTGAAGGATTCCGAGGAAGGCTGTTATGGGGCCAGTCGGTGTAGGCGAAATGCTGGACGTCTAATGAAGCTCCAGTATTGTCTGTTACTTGTAAATTAGTCACCGCGTAGTAACGGAAGGACTTGATTTTCAGAGTTTTGATTGTGAACTTGCCATGGACAGCTTTTCCCCGCTTTTTGGGGTTCCAGTACGGGTAACAAGCCTCACGTCCTTTTTCCATTATTCTGGTCAGCATGACAATTACCCGGACTTGATGGGAGAATATCATCTGCCAAAAATCGTTAGCTGTCTCTTCGAGTGGTGCCTGGGTGCATATGAACCTTCCCTTAGCATTGTGACCGTCGACGTAGCTGGCATTAATGAAGTCACTTCCTCCGTCTTCTGTCTTGAGGATCACCCGATTGCGGTCGAAGATGGATGTGTTCCAGTATCTACATTTTGACCAGTTTTTAAGCTTCAATACTTCGTAGCAGGAGTAGGGGACGTTTTCTTGCACTATTTGATGGTGTTCTTCTTTCAGTATGTGAGCCAGCCTCGATTCTTCAATGAGTTGTTCACAGTTTTTAGCGAAGGAATTTTTTTTAGTTAATTTTGCGCCCATTTTTAGAAAGTTAGGCTTTCAGGATAAGAGTCCTAGTCCCGAGTGTGGTTAGGTACTAAATGTGAATTTTTTCATTTAGCTGGACATGTTTATAGGTTTGCTCCACAATGTTATGAAATATTAATGGTCATTTTTCACGCCATAGAGATTGATAACTGAATCGGAATTACGTAGGATATTTCATAGAGTAGGACGTATTTCGATAGTTTCGGTATTGATTTTATGTATTGATTTCAGTATTGCGCTTGAAAATGACGCCAATCAATTAACTCTACATTTAGATTATTATATTAATAATGAGGAAAAAATTATCTCGAAGTTTTTTTTGCATCCTGTTTTTAACAATGTTTTTAGGGAATTTTAGGATAATTAAAAATTATGTGTTAGGACTTTGGGTAATACAAAGAATCATATAAAAGGAATTTAGGCATGGCTGGCCCCATATCTTTATCCCTATCTTTACAACCAACATTACCGATAAAATGACCACCTTAAGGATTAGATCTGAACTTTAGAGTGCGAATTAAACAGACAGAACTGTGACAGGAAGCATGTGGAACGTGAACTTGACCTTTTTAAGTCAGACTATGAGAGTGCGAAGCGCAAGCTTGAAGTTATGGTGAACGACCTGCGCTCCATTTTTCGACTGCAGTTTTCGATTAAAATAGCTTCAGTCTTTCTAGATTATTTGTGCTATAATGTCAGTGAAGTGTGGTTTTAGTGGATCTTTAAGAAAACCCACCTGGACGCGAGAAGCTTTATCGAATTTGTGAGTACCCCGAATTCCTTCACCCAATAAATGCGAGATGCTTTAAATTACTATATTTAACGAAGATGAAAAGGTTACATATTTATGAAAATATGTATCACCTGTCAATTGTTTGCGTCATGCCTAAGTTATTGTGGTTTTAATTAACAATGGAACATTGTTTCAAATAGGGAGCATAATTCAATTTATAATATCTATATGTGGATTTTTTCCTAAAATGTTATTGCTGACGTCATTAAATAATACAAAATAAAATAACTAAAATAAATACAGTAGTATAAAAAAAGTTTGAAAAATCCAAAAGTGCACGCCTCATAATCTCATTTTTTAAAATAAAATTGATTAAAATAAAATATAGAAAGCAAAATAATAAAAAGACAGAAAACACTGCTACGGTTTAGTGGCGCCATAACTCCAAGATGAGGAAAAAAAATACTATAATAAAATATATAGATAGAAATACAAATAAATCCACAGACATACATTAGTTTTTTATAAATAATAATTTAACGAGAGTAAATTGAACGCTCATATTAACTAAGAAATTCTGTCGTGTATTACTTTAGATAATTAAAAAGAAATTATTCCGGTACGATTATTTTTTCGACCAATTTCCCTGCCACATACACTCATTCATACACGGACGTCCAAAAAAAATTATGTTTAATGTTATTATTTATTATGTTAATCAAAAAAATTGTTATTAAAATATATATTATGTGCCTGAAAAATTATTTGACTTGACATAAGTGTACTCATTTTAACCTGTAAGTGCAATATAAATAACAAAAAATCAATTTCAGTTTCGACAAAACTGCTTTTTTCGAAATATCGAGAATAGAGCACAGCCTCAACGCTTCGCTTATGAGGCGTGCAATACCTACAAAAAATATATTGTTCTTTGAGACAAGGGCATATTATGCATGGATGCATGGATGCAAACGTCAATAGGTAAGGAGTTTGGTCGATCGAAAATGATTCTTATTTCGTAGCAGGAAAGATAGAAATTATTTTTAACGTGAGAAATTTATCCTTCACGAGAAAAGATTATCCTACCACACCTTGTCCGCAATGACTTTTTTTTGATTATATCAACGTGTTCAATGTCACCGTATGCATTAGTGATTCAACCGTTTTATTTAGTAACGTCTGAAAACAACTATTTTTGCTAAAATGAAGTTTCAATTTACATTAGCTGATCTTGAATTTAAAAAAGGGTGCTTAGTTGCTAATGTAATATTAATAAATTGTTGAGTAAGTATGGCGTAGGTGGTGAAACTATATTTTCATGAAAAACACATCATGCAAATAACCTATTTCAGTTAATTAGAGCAAATTGACATAGTTTGAGGAATTTGTCCCATCAATTCTCATAAAAAAAAACCGTAATTATTTATTTTCCCGTTAAAAAGTCCAATTTGAAAAATTATCGCTCATTGTGATCAAACTTTATGGCCGTAATACACTAATTAATTAATAGAAACCATTCATATTGGTATCGACTATGTAATTAAAGCCGTAACCTAATCGCCTCATGGACTGATCTGTATATTTGGGCCTAAATTAATTCCGAGAAAAACACAGATAAAAGCCGATCTTTTAACACTGGGTTTTTTTGTTATGTGATATAGCGTTGTGAGATGTAGGAACTGTTGACCTCACTGCTGATAACCGACCATATTTTATTATCTCTTAAGGGTATCAAAAACATAAAAAATTTGACCTTATTTGCTGTTAATAACTAATTAACTACAGTAGTCCCATTTGTCTTAACAACAACAATTAGTAATAAGATTACCTTCGAACGCGAACTCGGTATAATCTCATTCTGATTACAATGAGGTTCACTATAATGTTGGAATGAAAAAAAGAAAAAACTTTTCATTCATTTACTGAAAACTATTATTTGCTAGTTAGCAAAAATGAACCTTATATTGCAGAGTCTATATGGTTTCACATTGCCTGGTAGTTCGGTATAATTACAACAGTTTATGTATACCTTTTTTGTCTACATCTTGAATTATTCATCTTAATGGCCTATAAGAGACCAGGTATCTTCAAGGTGACTATTTCAGCTGAAAGTTCCGTTATAGTCGTACGCATCAGGATGTATTCCTCGGAAGAGCGTTTAGAGTTAGCGGCTGGAAGTCCTGAAGCTCAAAGAGAGAGTCCACAATCTTAAGAACAGGAAACCAAAAACGGACGAGGCTTCTGAAGAAATCGACCAAAAGACCAAGATAGCCAAACAAAAATATGAAGATCAGAAGTATAAGCTGCTAATTATATGCTCGAGGGAACGTTTTGTGGAAGAGGCTCTCTTATAGTTGAGTCAATCCAGACAGTAAATATCAATATTGCCCTGTCTTGATCAATCACTTCTACATGCCTATATGAACTGTGTTATCAATTAGTTAAGACCTATCTTCATGTGATTTAGTCAATTAGGCCGTGTGTAAGTGGTAATAAATGTGAACCTATCTGTGAAATATATATATATATATAAGTTATTTTCTTCAAAAACTGTCATTATATATTGTACTTAGGAATAAGACAGAGTTGTAGCTAGATTTTTTCAACGACTTGAAATGATAATTGTAAGTAGGATTTTTATTAAATTTTTAATGCTTACAAACAATTTAAATAAATTTGTGAGCGAATTAACAGGGTTCTTTTACTTTACTGTATTTTTTCTAGAAAAGTTTTAGAAGTATCTCTTATATAATAAAAAAAAGTTTAAGATTACTAATGAACCATTAATATGCAGGAATTTATGTTTTAAATTCAACGATTAAAAAACTTAATTCCATAGCAACGTTATTTACATCTAACAATAGCCAGACAAAAATGACGTAGATGTCAAATAAGTGTTCAGCTTTTCAAGGCTTCTATAAAAGCCGTTTTGACCATAGAATAAAGTTTAGTTTAAAACTTGTTGCCATCGATAATAGACGTTTCACAATGAAGGTCTTAACAACGGAACCCTGTATCCCAAGGATGAATGCTGATGAGTTCCTGCGTTTCATGGAAGACCCAAAATCAAAAGCGCGCATCATAAACGAGTATCAATCAAAATTCATGACGGAAGGAGAAGAAATGAAATCTACACTGGAGCAGAACAAAGAGGTGGAGATAAAAGGCTGCCTGTCTTACCTGCAATTTCTCTACTACGGTCCTCAGTCCAAGAAAAAACAAGTGCTCCCGAGAGCGAGGTTCGTTGATGGATATGATACGAAGCATAAATTTCTCTGTGCGAAAAATCCAGCGGAAGAAGACTCCGAAATGTTCTGGCAATCTGTGTGGGATAACCACGTAGAGATAATCGTGATGATAGGCAAGCTTAATGAGAAGAGTTTCCAGTATTGGTCCTCTACACAGCGTCAATCTGTACTAAGTGGGAAGTTCAAGATTACTACTCGAGAAATTGCAGTCCATTCATACTTCACTGCAACTGTGTTATCTCTGACTTCGACGACACTCAAGTCAAAACAGAGGCGATCGGTTGTTCATTATCAGTTTACCGATTGGCCGAAAGGTAGCTTACCTCAGCCCGGGCACTTTTTGGATTTTTATTTCTTTGTCGACGACGTGTATCTTAAGCTGAAGAACAGGATGCCTGATAAGAAAGCTGCCCCTATACTCATTCATTGTTTTGATGGTTTGGGAGGCTCGCAAATGTATTGCGCTATCGACATCTGCATAACCAAGTATGATTTAACGAAAGTAGTCTCAGTGTCATATGTCGTTGAAAGGATAAGAGAACAAAAGCCCGGGGCTATTAACTCCTCAGACCTTTATGCTTTGTGTTATGAAATAGTGAAGGGTTATGTTTAAAGAGTTTAATCGATCAGACTCCGTGAATAATTTGTCCTTATTAGTTTGTAATGATTATGTATTAAGTCTTAAAAATAAAATATATTATTACTTTGTGCGTATTTCTTTTAAGAATTATCCTTGTAACTTACCCGAAATAAAATAATGCGCTAACCATTTTTTTTTTCTAATTAAGTAGACTTGTTAGGGACTAATTAGAAGATATTTTCTAACACTTTTGAGACTGAATGTATTAATTGGTATGAATGTTTTGTAACATAAATAATATTTGAAATAATGATAATAAAGAAAGTTGAATATTAAAGCCTTTATTTTATTACACACTAGAAAATCCAACGCGCTTCTGTCAGAATGTTTATTATCGACAATTTAATTAATTAATATTTTTACAAATTTTACTTATTAATATTTAACCGTTGCCATGGTCACCGTTGCTATGGTAACCGTTGCCAATTGTAATATTATTTAAGATTGAAACGAGCATTGCTTATACCCCATATTCCTTAGACCTAATGATAAGATTGTAAGTAAGACATTTTTGTGCAAGGATCAACCATCTGTAATTTTGAAGATAATATCTTCTTCCTTACAATGAATATTATAAGTGTCTATCTTAAATAACATTTTTTTAAATAGTATCTTTATTTATTAGTTATCAAGAGGGGAATATAATATTTATAATATTATAATATCAAACAATTGTTCGATCATAAGCACTATCTAATGATTCGTCATGGGTCGTGCAAAATATTTTTTAGGGAAAACCGACAGTGAATAACCGCCCACAAGTCTGAGTCAAATATTGAGCTGTTATCAATTATAGTTAACCATTTGAATCAATAATTAACAATTGTTTTCAGTTCATGTAAACATGACGTAAGTATATACTAATTATAAATCATATAAAACCCGATCCACCGAAGTGGGAAGCGCATTCGAGTATTGGGAGCATCGGGAAGATGTTCGGGAAGCTAGTAGTTATTGTTGTGCTCGTTACGCTCGTCAACAACGCATGTAAGTAATAATTGTCTTTAAAAACTATTTTGATATTTTCCTCTGAGATACTCAGCAAATTGTATTTTATTCCTTTTCATTGTATTAGCAATCAAAAATAAAATTTTTTTATCTCTTTGTTAAGAAATATAACTAATATTGGAATTTTTTGCGTTTATTCAGCAGGTAATTCTATAGTTAACAACAGAAATGCACCGGAGGCGCCTCCACGTGAAATCATTCAATATCTCAACTGCTCTGACTTGCACAAGTATTCATTGGCAGAAGATACCATTCAACTAAGTCATAGCATCATTGTGGACGCGTCCAACCCTTGCATCATGAAAGCGTCGGTAATTATTCTGGAAAACAATATTTTTCCCGGTTACGGATATGCTTATAACATAACTGGAAAGAGAATAGTAATGGATGGTAATGAATTCAAAGGACCAGAACAAAATCATTACATAGTTGGAGATAATGTACTTCTAGTTAATAATACATATCAAGGCAACCTCCAAGTTCATGAAGTAGCGGGATATGAAGTCACTGCATTCTACAATGTATTTGACGGTAAATACAGAGTCCATCAGTACGCAGCAACTAGTATCCTGGTATTTGATAACGAATCTAAAGGAAATCCCTTTGATGTTATACTTACGGAAAATCCCCCGAACTTAACGTATGGTTTGTACCCTAACGTTCTGTCAAATTATGAAACTGGAGCCTTTAATAATGTAAAACTACAAACAGAATACAGTTTAGGCAAAATGAGTCAAGAAACGTTCGACTTAACGCCTATGAGCGTTACCAGATTTCTAGAAGAAGTGAAGTTTGGATCAAAAATTAATCGTCCTGTAGGTGCTACTATCGTTGGAAAACTCCAAGAGTTAATTGATAATCGTATTTCATATGATATATATTCCTCACGCGACGAAAATGGGATTTATTAAATCAATCTGATTTATTGACAAACAACATATCTACCTCTTTCTACGTCTTTGGCTATCCGTACAACAGCTCGCTCAGGCTTGGATTCGAACCCTTGCAGTTTTTTCAACAATCGCCAGGACTCGATTCCGAGCCGCCTGTATCTTGGCCAGATTTTCTGTGGTTTTCCTGTTCACTGTGTTCCGTAGCGGGGCACAGGCGAATGCCAGTACAGTGAAATTACTCAATGGCAACAGTTTCCATTGATTTGTTCAAATTAATTCGTAGATTTTTAATTAATGTAAAGATAATGTATGTATAATATTGATGTAATAAAATAAATAAATATTTTTATGTATAATAATATACTTTTGATACACAACATTTACTTGATTGAAAAACTGAATTAAAGAGCATAGGAAATAACATAATTTGAATTCTTTTCAATTCTTTTGAATATTTTAAAAACTTTTCAATTTAGGTATTCTATATAGGTATGTATTTTGCATTGAGATAAATGTTTAGTAGGATATATATTATTTGAAGAAATGACAATAAAAAAAGTTGTATATTAAATCCTTTATTTTATTACACATTTAACAAAAGTTTCACATGTTCATTTAACAATCATACATTTCTATTTCTACTTATAGATTAAAAACTCTTAACTTATCTATGATTAGATGCTAATTAGAATTAAATTAAAGCTACATATTGCTGATATACATGATAGGAAAATATGAGACATTGATTAAAAGATAGAGAGTAACGATTATTCTTCTTTCGTAGAACGCGTTAAATAGAAACGAAGTACTAAATAACAAAAACAATAGTACCTTGCATGTTGCGTGCGATTAAAAATTTCTTGTTCGAGTTTTGAATATATAGATGAAAAATTTACTTTATTAGTCTTCTGAGCTCGAGATATCGATAAATCGATATCAAGGAACACCCTTGATCGACTTAGCCCATCGCTGCAATGGACTACCATCGGACTCTTATCCCCATTAGGAAGCTTATTCGTCACGGCATATTGACTGTATAATCTTATCATGCTGATTAACTCAAAAAAGTCATCGCTTGAGGGCAAGCAATTGAGCCTTGGCCAGTCCGTGAATAAGAAGTGGTCTATGTACAAGGAGCCTCCATCTTCGTGTGTAAGGAGTAGTTTCGTTTGTATGAAGCTATAATATTTCGGTTGAACTACAATTGTTTCAACCTTCAGTTTTCCACAACAGAACGTAGATCCCACTTCTGAGTTCCAATAGATAAGACCCTTCTCGTCTCCTTCAGGTTTATTCAGCATGACAATGATCTCAGTTTGATGTTCCCAGATCATGTTCCAAAAGTTATGAATTGTTGCTTCGGAATCAGGAGTTTTTGTTCTGATGTATGCTTTAGGTTGCTGGAAGCCGTCGATGTAGCTCAAATCGTGGGACTTCTTTTCTTCCGGAAGAACTGCACGCCGGTCTTCGAAGCACAGTCCTTCTGTTTTATGTCGTCCGTTTCCCAGGTCTCCAGAAAATATAAAAGCGTTGAAAGATCCTTCCATTTCTTTAAAAGTCAATTATTGTTACTGAGTCCTCGCAATGCAGGGTTTGCGTACTCCCCAAAACTGAATTAGTGAAAATTCGTCAAATAAGTGAATATTCACTTAACTTAAGTGCCAATCGAGCCACTTTTTCAAGTCAGTGGCTCGGTTCTCACTTAAATAAGTGAATATTCACTTATTCATGTTTAGAGAGTCTGACTTGCACAAGTATTCATTGGCAGAAGATACCATTCAACTAAGTCATAGCATCATTGTGGACGCGTCCAACCCTTGCATCATGAAAGCGTCGGTAATTATTCTGAAAAACAATATTTTTCCTGGTTACGGATATGCTTATAACATAACTGGAAAGAGAATAGTAATGGTTGATAATGAATTCAAAGGACCAGAACAAAATCATTACATAGTTGGAGATAATGTACTTCTAGTTAATAATACATATCAAGGCAACCTCCAAGTTCATGAAGTAGCGGGATATGAAGTCACTGCGTTTCACAATGTATATGATAGTATATGCAGAATCCATCAATATGCAGGAACTAGTGTACTGGTGTTCGATAATGAATCTAGAGGAAATCCGTTTGATGTCTTACTTCTGGAAAAACCCGTGAACTTAATGCATGAATTGTATCCTAACGATCTGTCAAATTATAAAAGTGGAGCCTTTAATGATATAAAAGAACATACAGAATACTCTTTAGGTAAAATGGTTACGCAACACTCGATTTAACGACTGTAAACATGCAAAGATTTCTACAAGATGTGAAGTTTGGATTAAAAATTAAACGTCCTGAAAGTGCTGCTATCGTTCAAAGATTCGAAGAGTTAATTAATAGTGGTTTTCCAATACTTCAATATCGTTTTTAATATTTCACAGACAACAAACTATTATTTTTTAAATCAATCATTATCAATCTGATTTATTGATAAATATAATGTCTACGTCTTTGGCTATCCATACGACAACTCGCTTAGGCTTGGATTCTAATCCTTGGAGTTATTTCAACGATCGCCAAGGCTCAATTCCAAGCCGCCTGTATCTTCATCAGGTTTTCTGTGGTTTTTCTGGTCACTGTGCTCCGGAGCAGGGCATAGGCGAATGCCGGTTCAGTTAAAATATTGAATGGCCACAGTCTCCATTGATTTGTTCAAATTAATATGTAGATTTATATAATTAAAGTGAAGATAATGTATGTATAATGTAATATTAATATAATAAAATAAATATTTTGACGCATAATAATGACTTTTTGTTAAATAACATTTCCCTGATTAAAAAAAATCAATTTAAGAGCATAGGAAGTAACATAGTTTGAATTTTTTTCAATAATATTTCTGAATATTTTAAACTTTTTTTTTTTTTTTTTTCTAATTAAGTAGACTTGTTAGGGAGTAATTAGGAGATATTTTCTAACACTTTTGAGACTGAATGTATTAATTGGTATGAATGTTTTGTAACATAAATAATATTTGAAAAAATGATAATAGAGAAAGTTGAATATTAAATCCTTTATTTTATTACACACTGGAAAATCGAACGCGCTTATGTCAAAATGTTTATTATTGACAACTTAATTAATTAATATTTTTACAAATTTTACTTATTAATATTTAACCGTTGCCACATGGTCACCGTTGCTATGCTAACTGTTGTCATAGTAGCCGTTCCCAATTGTAACATTCTTTAAGATTGAAACGAGCATTGCTTACACCTCGTATTCCTTAGACCCAATGATAAGATTGTAAGACATTTTTTTGCAAGGATCAACCATTTGTAATTTCGAAGATAATATCTTCTTCCTTACTACGAATATTATAAGTTATCTTAAAAAAACATTTCTTAAAATAGTATCTTTATTTATTAGTTATCAAAAGGGGAGTATAATATTTATAATATTATAATATTAAACAATTGTTCGATCGTTAGTACTATCTCATGCTTCGTATCATGGGTCATGCAAAATATTTTTTAGGGAAAAACCACAGTGAATAACCGCCCACAAGTCGGAGTCAAATGTGAAGCTGTTAACAATTGTGGTTGACCATTTGAATCTATAAATAACAATTGTTTACAGTTCATGTGAACTTGACGTAAGTATATACTGATAATAAATCATATAAAAGCCGATCCACCGAGGTGGGAAGCGCATTCCAGTTTTGAGAGCATCGGGAAGATGTTCGGGAAACTAGTAGTTATTGTTGTGCTCGTTACGCTCGTCAACAACGCATGTAAGTAATAATTGTCTTTAAAAACTATTTTGATATTTTCCTCTTGTTGTATTTGTTAACAGAAATATATTATTTCTTTATTTTTTCTTTAAAAGTCAGTAATATAACTCATCATGAAATTATATATTTATTTTTCAATATTTCGACTAATATAGGATGAGTTTGCACGGCAAGATAAATGCCGTGCAAACTCTTTTTTTTTTTCTTACATTAGTAATCAAAAATATATTCTTCTTTCTTTATTGTTCCTCTGAAAGTCAGCAATAAAACTCATTTTAATATCATGCTATTTTTTTTAGCGCTTCGAGCTGTAGAGGATGAATCGACACTGCAGAATGAATCGACACAGCTGGATGAAGGTAAATTGTTTTTTTTTTTTTTTTTTTTTTTTTTTCATTATTTATCAAAAAAAGTTTGACAAATCCAAAAGTGCACGCCTCATAATCTAATTTTCCATAATAAAATTGATCAAAATAAAATACAAATACTTTTAAGTCCTTCGCGCCATTGTCTACCCAGAAAAAAAAGACACTGCGCATGTCTTGTTTGTAAATAACGAACCTTATTTACATAGAAATAGATATACAAACGATAGGTGGATTTTAGTTTATTGCTAATTATAATTAAACTACATTGAATTAGCAAAATGTCTTTTAAAAATGTCATAAGTGTTGAAACTAGTATTTTTCTAAGAGATTTGTGTGTAAATATTGTTCTAAAAATGCGATCATTTGATTTTTGTAAGGCGAGAGTAGAGCACTATTTTATTCGCTTCGCTTATGAGGCGTGCAATAAACTTCTTTCTTTATTGTTTTTCTTAAATTAAACTTAACAAATAACTCATTTTGAATTTATAATATTTTTTCCGAGAAATTGGCTGAGATACTCAGTAAATTGTATTTTATTTCTTTTCGTTGTATTAGCAATCAAAAATAAAAATTTTTTTATTGTTTTATTAAGAAATATAACTAATATTGGAATTTTTTGCATTTATTCAGCAGGTAATCCTATAGTTAACAACAGAAATGCACCGGAGGCGCCTCCACGTGAAATCATTCAATATCTCAACTGCTCTGACTTGCACAAGTATTCATTGGCAGAAGATACCATTCAACTAAGTTATAGCATCATTTTGGCCGCGTCCAACCCTTGCATCATGAAAGCGTCGGTAATTATTCTGGAAAACAATATTTTTCCCGGTTACGGATATGCTTATAACATAACTGGAAAGAGAATAGTAATGGTTGCTAATGAATTCAAAGGACCAGAACAAAATCATTACATAGTTGGAGATAATGTACTTCTAGTTAATAATACATATCAAGGCAACCTCCAAGTTCATGAAGTAGCGGGATATGAAGTCACTGCATTCTACAATGTATTTGACGGTAAATACAGAGTCCATCAGTACGCAGCAACTAGTATCCTGGTATTTGATAACGAATCTAAAGGAAATCCCTTTGATGTTATACTTACGGAAAATCCCCCGAACTTAACGTATGGTTTGTACCCTAACGTTCTGTCAAATTATGAAACTGGAGCCTTTAATAATGTAAAACTACAAACAGAATACAGTTTAGGCAAAATGAGTCAAGAAACGTTCGACTTAACGCCTATGAGCGTTACCAGATTTCTAGAAGAAGTGAAGTTTGGATCAAAAATTAATCGTCCTGTAGGTGCTACTATCGTTGGAAAACTCCAAGAGTTAATTGATAATCGTATTTCATATGATATATATTCCTCACGCGACGAAAATGGGATTTATTAAATCAATCTGATTTATTGACAAACAACATATCTACCTCTTTCTACGTCTTTGGCTATCCGTACAACAGCTCGCTCAGGCTTGGATTCGAACCCTTGCAGTTTTTTCAACAATCGCCAGGACTCGATTCCGAGCCGCCTGTATCTTGGCCAGATTTTCTGTGGTTTTCCTGTTCACTGTGTTCCGTAGCGGGGCACAGGCGAATGCCAGTACAGTGAAATTACTCAATGGCAACAGTTTCCATTGATTTGTTCAAATTAATTCGTAGATTTTTAATTAATGTAAAGATAATGTATGTATAATATTGATGTAATAAAATAAATAAATATTTTTATGTATAATAATATACTTTTGATACACAACATTTACTTGATTGAAAAACTGAATTAAAGAGCATAGGAAATAACATAATTTGAATTCTTTTCAATTCTTTTGAATATTTTAAAAACTTTTCAATTTAGGTATTCTATATAGGTATGTATTTTGCATTGAGATAAATGTTTAGTAGGATATATATTATTTGAAGAAATGACAATAAAAAAAGTTGTATATTAAATCCTTTATTTTATTACACATTTAACAAAAGTTTCACATGTTCATTTAACAATCATACATTTCTATTTCTACTTATAGATTAAAAACTCTTAACTTATCTATGATTAGATGCTAATTAGAATTAAATTAAAGCTACATATTGCTGATATACATGATAGGAAAATATGAGACATTGATTAAAAGATAGAGAGTAACGATTATTCTTCTTTCGTAGAACGCGTTAAATAGAAACGAAGTACTAAATAACAAAAACAATAGTACCTTGCATGTTGCGTGCGATTAAAAATTTCTTGTTCGAGTTTTGAATATATAGATGAAAAATTTACTTTATTAGTCTTCTGAGCTCGAGATATCGATAAATCGATATCAAGGAACACCCTTGATCGACTTAGCCCATCGCTGCAATGGACTACCATCGGACTCTTATCCCCATTAGGAAGCTTATTCGTCACGGCATATTGACTGTATAATCTTATCATGCTGATTAACTCAAAAAAGTCATCGCTTGAGGGCAAGCAATTGAGCCTTGGCCAGTCCGTGAATAAGAAGTGGTCTATGTACAAGGAGCCTCCATCTTCGTGTGTAAGGAGTAGTTTCGTTTGTATGAAGCTATAATATTTCGGTTGAACTACAATTGTTTCAACCTTCAGTTTTCCACAACAGAACGTAGATCCCACTTCTGAGTTCCAATAGATAAGACCCTTCTCGTCTCCTTCAGGTTTATTCAGCATGACAATGATCTCAGTTTGATGTTCCCAGATCATGTTCCAAAAGTTATGAATTGTTGCTTCGGAATCAGGAGTTTTTGTTCTGATGTATGCTTTAGGTTGCTGGAAGCCGTCGATGTAGCTCAAATCGTGGGACTTCTTTTCTTCCGGAAGAACTGCACGCCGGTCTTCGAAGCACAGTCCTTCTGTTTTATGTCGTCCGTTTCCCAGGTCTCCAGAAAATATAAAAGCGTTGAAAGATCCTTCCATTTCTTTAAAAGTCAATTATTGTTACTGAGTCCTCGCAATGCAGGGTTTGCGTACTCCCCAAAACTGAATTAGTGAAAATTCGTCAAATAAGTGAATATTCACTTAACTTAAGTGCCAATCGAGCCACTTTTTCAAGTCAGTGGCTCGGTTCTCACTTAAATAAGTGAATATTCACTTATTCATGTTTAGAGAGTATTATTAGAACCCATTTTTAAACTCACTTAGAATTTGAAGTTCTTAAAAAACATGTGCGGAGTCGGGCGCGTTACAAACTTGATTGACGCCAGAAGACATCAAGAATCTCTATTTATATATCTCCCCTCTTCTATCAGTATTACTTATGATTATCAACTACGTTGTTTAACGAATCAAACGACATATTTATTATCCTGAGAATGTAAAAAATCAGTTTTTTTTTCGCTTTAGTTCTTAGAAATCAAATTATATCTACTCAAAGCTGACAATTGTAACCGACATTAATATTTATGACATGTAAGCAATTAATTATTCATGTCACGTACTCCAAATCAAACAACCAATTGTAGACAATAATACATCAATTAGAATAGACGTCTCCATATTGTCAAGACTTCTGCAGTGATGAATAGGCACGCATAAAAATAATTGTGACGTTTTGTGCATCACCTTATGAAACTTCTAAAAACAAACCAACTCATGGTAGTCTAAAATCCTATCCATTAAAGTTTTTGAAACTCTTAAAGCTTTAATCAAAAAGTATAGTAAAGTTCTGTATTATTGGAGAGTGATGTGTCTTTGAAGAAATAATAACAAAGAAAGTTGCAGAATAAATCCTTAGTTTTATTAGATATCCAAAAAAACTCTTAACTAGTCATAAAATTATTACAAATAAATTGTAGGCTGACTTATCTTAACTAGACGGATATTAGAGAAAAATTAAAACGAAATATTAAAAAAATACATGAGAATTAATTACATAAAATCCATTATAAAATAAAGAGCAACAATTATTATTCTTACGTAAAAAAATTCAAATATTCACAAAATGCTGAATAGCAGAAAACATAATGATCAACATAGTGCAGGCAATCGTATCTTTGTTTTCTTAGTTGTGACATGATAGAGAATATGTTTACATCACCAATTTTCTGATCTCTAGTTATCGATATGTCGATTGCACAGAAGACAATTGATCGATTTAGCCCATCACTGCAATGGACTACTACTGGAGTCTTGTAGTCGTTGGGAAGCTTTTGCGCTGGCGCATATTTATTTTTCAGTCTTGTTTTCATGACTAAATTAATGAAATCGGCGCCTGAGGGCACCGAATCAACTTTTGACCAGTTCTTGTATAAGAAGTGGTCAACCAGTAGCGAACCCCCATCTTCATGCGTGACAAGTAGTGTTGTAATCTCGAAACTTTGATGTAAATACCAAACTTTAATTGTCTCTACGCTGAGCTTCTCACAATAGAGCGTCGACCGTTCTTCCAATTTCCAATAAATTAGACCCTTCTCGTTTTGATCAGGTTTATTCAGCATGACAATGACCTCAGATTGTTGTTCCCAGACCATTTTCCAAAACTTATGGATTGCCGCCTCTGCATCCGGAGTCTTTGTTACAATATATGCCTTGGGTTGCTTGAAGCCGGCGATGTAGCTTGCATTTATCTTATCGCTGGATTCCTTATCTTCCTTAAGAATTACACGGTTGTGGTCGAAGCATAGTTCATCTGTTCCAGGAGCGACAAAAGTTCCGTCCGCGTCCATCTCCTTCATCATTAGGTTGGTGTGTTCTTGGCGAATGAATTCAATAATTATCTTTTCGTCAATTATTGATGTTAATTCTTCACAATGGCGAGTTTTTGCATTCTTAGAACTCATTTTTAACGTTACTTAGAATTTTAAGTTCTCAAAAAACGTGTGCGGATTCGGGCGCGTTAAAAACTTGATAGACGCCCAAACATAACAAGATACCGCATTTATAGGTCGCTCCTCTCCTCTCAGTATGACTCGTAAGATACGTGCAAAGAATCAGACAACTTTAAATTATTATCCTGAGACTATAAAAGACTCGTTTTTTCGCTTTGCTTACCAAAAACTAAAATATAACTACTCAAAGTACACCATTTTAACTGATATCAACATTCATGATAAAACAAATATAAATAGGCCTCATCCCCACTTCGTGGTCAGTTCTATGTAATCAATTGTACAGAGCGGACGTCCACATATTGTCTAGACTGGAGTTATATTTTAGTAATCATGAATACCGATTTGTTTGCACCTTTTCAAAATTTCGAATTTTTGGCACGATCTACTCACCCGAAGTACACCGACGTAATAGCTGACGAGTACTCTCGCATTTGTCAAGAACCATTAAACGGAACTTACGAAAACTGGAAGAAGCCGAAAAACAAAAACAAAAATCTTTTTAGAAACATCCCATGCTGGGATAATTCCCGCGTGGTCTTACACCAGACCAACGATGGAGCAGATTATATTAATGGTAATTATGTCAGTGGATTCGAGCTGAAGAGGAAGTTCATCGCAACGGAACAACCGATGGCGAGCACCTTGGGCAACTTCTGGACCATGATTTGGGAAGAAAACACGCGTGTGATTGTTATGTTAAATGGTTCCGAAGAAGAGGCACAGCAATCCTATCCATATCTTTCTTCGAGTCAAACTGACATAATCTCTGGAGACTTCAAAATCAAACAGAAAGAGCGTAACGAAGAAAAAGACTACACCGAAACAGTATTAATCATCACTCACTTAAACAGTGGACAGTCAAAGAGGGTAAGTCACTTTAAATACCTTCATTGGCCCGAACACACATTTCCCCATGAAGAAGATATTCTGAAGTTTTTGGAGATTATAAACAACAGAAATGCAGAATTTTTCATCGAAGCAGAGGAGTATCACCAACGGATGCCAGGTGCTATTGTTGTACATGGCAATGCTGGCATCAGAAGAACCACCGCGTTTTGTGCGATTGATAGCTGTCTTTACGAAGCTGTAGTTAAGAAGACTGTATCGATACCATCGGTTGTATTGAGGATAAGACAACAAAGAAACTTCAGTTTTCCTGGTCTTAGTTATTACACTTATGTGCACAGTGTTTTGTTGCACTTTCTGGTACATCATTGATCATACTGTGCAGATTTTATGGAATTATGAACTCATTTTACGGCTAGGGACTCATAATTATTGTTATAATAATTGTTATATCGCCTGATAGCACGTCGAATTTAACTATAAATAAAAATTAATGAAGGAATCTAGTCTTACTTTTTTTCTTTTTTTTTCAAGTCAACCCTTCAAAACTTGGTATATGATTGGCATATAAGTCTCCTATTGATTAAAGTTTTTGAAACTCTTAAAGTTTCAATAGAAAAGTACAGCAAAGTTCTAAATAATTGGCAAGTGAAAGGTTTATTAAGAAAGGATAACAAAAGAAGTTACATATTGAAGCCTTCATTTTTTAGATATTTAACAAAACTTTTACATGTTTTTTAGACAACCATAGATTTCTACTTATAGATTAAAAACTCTTAACTAATAATTGTATTACTACAACTAAATCTTAAACTAACTTATCTATGACTGAACCACTGGAAGGAAATTAAAACTAAATATTGTTGACATACATGCTGATAATTCCTTTTAGACTCAGTATGAAACAAAGTATAAATTTGTACGCGCAGTCGTTAACAATCTAGATGATATACAGTGACCGTAAATGAATAAATAAAAAAAATTATAGATGTTTACATATAAAACATACAATAGTAATGTAAAAGCAAGTAACACATGGTATAGTCGTTTACGTCGTACAGACAATTATGCCTTTCCTTTCTTAGATTCGATACTATAGAATATAAATTTACTTCACCTCTTATTGAAATAGATGATATGCCGATATCCACAGCACAAAAAACCATGGATCTCTGCAAGCCGTCACTGCAGTGAACCACTATAGGACTCTTATAGCCCTTTACAGACTCCGGCGTCACTGCCGATTTGTTGTAAAGACGTGTCATGAAGATTAGATCTAGCACGTGACATTCTGAGGGCGGGAGGCCTTGGCGCTGCCAGTTCTTGAACAAGAAGTAGTTCACATTCAACGTAGCTCCATCTTCATGTGTTATAAGCACTCTCAGAATCTGAAAACTTGAATTGTTCTGATGAGCTCTGAATTTTTTGATGCTCAGCTGTCCAACTTGGAGCAACGACTCTTCATCCGAATTCCACAACGAGGCGGCATACAGATTTTCTTCAGGCTGATCAAGCATTACAATGATTTCAGTTTGGTGCTGCCATATCATTCTCCAAAAATTGAAGATTGTCGACTCTGAATCCGGAGTCCTTGTTGCGATGTAAGCTTGAGGATCCTTAAACCCGTTGATGTAGCTTGCGTTAGTAGGGGTACATGAGCCCGTTTCGTCGGATAAAACAACGCGGCTGTCTTCGAAGAGAAGCTCTTCTTCTTCCCGTTGGCTTCTTTGGAGGGTTTCAGTAGATGCAGAAGAACATAAACTTCCACTCAGCACCATGTTCATTATTTCCTGGTGTTCATCGTAAATAATTGTACTTGCGTTCCTCTTGTCAATTAATTTTAATAAGCTTTTACGGCTTAGCGTTTTTGAATAAACACAACCCATTTTGATACAGGACCAATTATTGACTTATGAAACGTTTGGGATGATTTGGGGACGTTTCACAGTCGACTGAAGGATCGTTTTACAGGATTCAGTATTTATAGGATCCTTTTTTCCTGTAGATATGAAACATCGATGACGAACGTACCTACGTTAGATATTTATTTCAATTCAAATTTTATTTTTAACAAATTAACCGTAGTTAGTTGCCATGTTATTATTTCAAGATAACGTCACTGGAAAACCACATATTGATTAGGTTAAAATAAAATACCTGCCGTCATATATGTATTGTTTCGAAAAGAATTTGATAAATAATATTATTGTTCCAATTAAAAATATATTTTTAATGAATTACTTGTAGTTAGTTACCATGATATTATTTCAGGATAACGTCACCGGAAACCCACATATTGATTAGGTTAAGCTAAGTTACCTACCGTCATGTACACCTACTATTAAGAAAGGAATTTGATGAACAATATTGTCGTTTTAATTTAAAGTATATTTTTAATATACTTTATCTAATAATTTTGGTAACTATAGTTACCAGAGTAAAGAATTATATATAATTTAATCTTATATTGTAATAGCTAAGATTACAATATCCGTTATAACAAATATAAATAATGCTGTGAAGCGGGAAAGAATATTCACCTTATTTAGATGTTTTTTTCAATTAAAAATATATTTTTAATTAGCCATATTATTATTTCAGTATAACGTCATTGGAAAACCACATATTGATTAGGTTCAGCTAAATTACCTAGCATTATATACCTACTATTAAGATAGGAATTTGATAAACCATATTGTTATTCAAATTTAAAAGATATTTTAAACGAGCTCGACGGGTCAAGTGCGTGTTTCAGTCTTCTTTCGCGGGGAACGCCCGGATCAGTAAAAGTTAACCCTAGACTGGTCACCCTATGAGCGTGACGCCGCGCTCAATTATATTTTGTTTATTACATCTTCAATATTTACTAAAATTATTCAAAAAAATTTGTATTTGTTCCTTAAACATTTTAGAATATATTAATAATTTTTTCAAACATCTTCAAAAACGTTAAATTGCTGAAAAAAAATTTCTTAAAAAAATTTGCGGGGCTTTCCTCATCGCTTGACCAGAGTCGTAAGTAGTTTAGTTGACGCCATAAAGTTTATGACGCAAATTAGCCCTGATAAATTCTGAATAATAGGTAAGTGATAGTTCTTTTGAAAAATAGTAATAAATAATAAAAAGTTTCACATTGAATTGATATTTTTATTAAACACAAGATACATCATGCGCGCCTTCATTCCTTCAAAAATACTGCCATAATCAGTCGATCTTTTTAGAAAAGGATTTGACAAAATTTTCACATGTTTTTTAAACAATCACAAAATCTTAGGTCTACTTAAAGGCTAAAACTCTTAACCTAGTATTCTTATCATACCTTACAAATAAGTTAAAGATTAGGCTAATTTATCTATAATAACTGAACTTAGACTAGGGAAAAGTTGACACTAAATACTTTTAAGACGCATGTAGATAATTCTTTTGAGATAGAATATGAGGTCTACAGTAAGAATTTTTACGCGCGGTTCTCAACAATCTAGATATTTTAAAGTGACCTTAAATAAATAAACTAGAACAGAAAAAAGTTATGTTTACATATAAAATGAAACATAGAAGTATAAAACTAAGTAACAATACAAATAGTAATTCACTTTTTTGAGACAGTCGTATCTATCTCGCCTAAGTTTTAAAACATTAGAATACAAATTAAGTTTCCCTGTTTTTCTAATTTGTGAAATAGATATGTCAATGGCGCAGAATACCATAGAACGTTCTAGCCCATCACTACAATGGACTATCATAGGATTCTTGTAGCCTTTACAAGTCACTGGCGTCACTGTCGTGTAGCGGTATAATGATACCATCCGCATGAAGTCAAGGAAGTCAGACGTTCTGGGCAAGATATGATCCTTTTGCCAATTATAGTATGAATAGTGATTTACGTACAACGAACTTCCACCTTCATGGGTGACGATAAGCTTCGTGAGTTCAAAATTTTGATGGTCCAGATGAAATTTCGACGTGGTAATCTTCAATTTTCCGCACTGAAGAGAAGATCCTTCTTCTGGGTGCCAGTAAGGAATCCTATAAATGTTCTGGTCAGTCTTCGGCGTATTGAGCATCACGATGGATTCGGATTGGTGTTCCCACACCATCCACCAGAACTTAAAAATTGCCATCCTTGAGAGAGGTGTCTTCATTGTGATGTAGGCATCTTGATAATCAAAACCATCTATGTAGCTCGCGTTGATGTACGTGTGGGAGCCATTTTCTATTTGGAGAACGACGCGACTGTGATCAAAATACAGTCCTTCATTTTCATTTTGACAGTCACCGAAGTACCCAGTTGCTATCGAAGCGCCAAACGTTCCTTCTTCCTTCTCGTTCATCAAGTCTTTATGTTCTTGGTTAATTAATTTAGCTGCATTTTTATTTTCGATGAATTTAATCAATCCCTTACGAGTTAAAGCTTTAGAGTTGCCACAACCCATTTTAATGTAGCACCAATTGTTATATTATGAAAAGTTCGGGTGGATTCAGGAACGTTTTACAGTCGACTGAAGGACCTCTCTACAGGATTTGGTATATATAGGACTTTTATTTCCCGTAGATATGAATCATCGGTGATTTCACCGCGTTGAAGCGTTCCATATTTTTAACAAATATAGATAATGTTGTGAAACGAGAAAGAGTAGGAGTTACGGATAATTATTACGTGAAGCGTTCCAACATTCACGTAACAGGATAATTGGTAGGAAAGGATTGAGAAAGGATTGTGGAGAGGATCATCTTAATGTGAGTTTATAGAATATGCGAGAAAAAATTATTAGAGACAGCTCGGACTGGGATACGAACCCAGAACCTTCCGAAGACATGTCGGCTACTCTATCATTTGAGCTATCCGGTCTATACTAAATTTTCTTTCACTTATTCTATATACATTAAGCCACACCGTCCATCTTACAGTTAGCATTTTTAACAAATATAAATAATGCTGTGAAGCGGGAAAGAATATTCACCTTATTTAGATATTTTTTTCAATTAAAAATATATTTTTAATTAGTTGCCATATTATTATTTCAGTATAACGTCATTGGAAAACCACATATTGATTAGGTTCAGCTAAATTACCTAGCATTATATACCTACTATTAAGAAAAGAATTTGATAAACCATATTGTTATTCAAATTTAAAAGATATTTTAAACGAGTTCGACGGGTCAAGTGCGTGTTTCAGTCTTCTTTCGCGGGGAACGCCCGGATCAGTAAAAGTTAATGGATACGTATCCATATGGATGATAGTAGACCGTATAAATAGCGATACAACTAACACTATCTATTAATAAGTATACCAGTGGAAGTCTTGGTGATCAGACATCTTCGCATCGTCGAATCCAGAGTTTCTTATCTGCAATGATGGCCACCAATCTCTCAGCAATTTATGGACCTGCTGAATTTATGCAACGATTCCACAGTCCAGACTTCGTCAAGGAGGTCTCTCGTGAACACGCCAGCGTTCTCTCTGTACCAATAGCCGGAACTTGTGAAAACTTCATCAAGCCGACAAACATAAACCTAAATCGATTCAGGCAACATCCATGTTGGGACATCTCCCGTGTGGTTTTATCCCAGACCAGCGACGGCACAGACTACATCAATGCCAGTTATGTGAGCCACCGAGCACCCGATGGAGAACACTGTGAACAATTTCTGCACCATGGTTTGGCAGGAGAACACCCGTGTGATCGTGATGCTTACTAGCGCCAAAGAAGAGTCAGATCCAAACAATATCCGGTATTTTCCTTACAATCTTCAGTGACTTTATTGTCAAGGAGGACATGACCGAGTCGGAATGCAACTACACCGAAACAGTACTTAATATTATCAACAAAAGAACTGGGGAGTTAAGGACAGTACATCACTTTAAATTTCTAGATTGGCCCGAAGACGAAACTCCTGATGTAAGAAACTTTCTTGACTTCTTGCTGGCTGTGAATGAAGACTATCAAGACTGGCAGCATGAAGCATTGAAGACTAACCGGCGGTTACCGGGACCTATTGTTTTTCATGGAAGCAAAGGTATCGGAAGAACTTCGACATTTTGTGCTGCAGATTCCTGTCTTTATCAACTGGTAATTGCAAAGACCATATCAGTACCATCAACAGTGCTGAACATCAGACAGCAGAGGAGTTTTAGCGTTTCCACTATAAGGCAGTACATTTTTATACACATGGTCTTGCACTGCTATTTGAAAAGAAATGAATCAGACCAATTTGTTTTTCATAAATTTCTTTCTTACTTTACAGCTAAACCTCTAAAATATTACTTCATAAGGTAAAACTACCTTATGATTTAATAACACTAAGTTTAGCTTATTTTTTAATTATACCAAAGTTAAGGCCCAAAAAAAATTTAGGTTAAGATATTTAAAGTTTTTTTAAGATAATATTTTTGATGTAGTGGATTATGTATCTCAGTAACTTTAGTTAATAAAGTAATTCTGGTCATTACAAATATGTTGCTTATTTTCACCATACCGTTCATAAACTAGGTATGTGCTGTGCTTATCATGTGGTGAGCTATTTTACCCAAGTAAGGAAGCAACGGTCGTCAATAACATATGTCAAACGTACCAGAATTTGCGTACGAACTATTAATCACGTAACCCAAATGACTGTATTAATAACAACATTAAAAACATTAATGGGAGGATTTTATCAACAAGCAGACCACAAAAATAATACAAATACCTCTCCATTAAAAGTAACATTAAAATTGTGACGCATGTCTATTGTCTGATGACCTATTTGTCAATGACACATAAATATTTATCTATTATACATATTTATTTCAACATTACCTAAACCAATGAACAACTTTATCAATGTTTATTCATAAGGGGTAGTTCTTCCGTATCACGCGGTGCTATCATACTACATATCAGTAATCTGATTAGTTAGGGATGTTTCGTATTTAAGTGTGTAAATCCACTAAGTTTTTCAGCACCCAGTATAACAACTACCGTTGATACACACACGGAAAGTCACTATGTAAGAAATGAGAGCTCTGAGTTAAGGTAGTACTACCGGTATTAGAATTGACTTTCAGAATTTAATGAAATTTGGCATATTGGTACTTTATAATATCATAATTAAGCAGTAAAATTTTTGAAAGCCAACCAAGTCTTGAAAAAAAGATATTAATATCTACATATTTTTGCTTTTAACATTGACCTTTATGGATAATCATAGAGCTGCCCTGTCATGACAAAACGACGTATCTCGAGATACGCTGTTTTGTCGTAACAAAGCTAAAAAGATTTTTTTAGTGTCACTTAATGATAAGGTATCATCAAAATTTTATTAATTTGATTAATTATGTCAATAATATTGAGTTTTGTCATAACAATTTCATTTATTTATCAAAATGAGCATTAGTTTCTCAAGATAAAAAAACGTATCTCGAGTTACGACGTTTTGTCATGACAGAAATGAATTTTTCTGTTAAATTATACTCAAATTCTGTGAAAACTTAATAGTATACGCTATTTTCTCGAATCTATGATTTTCGAGATACGTCGTTTTGTCATAACAGGGCAGCTCTTTCGCGTGCCCATAATATCTGTAAATAATAGGAACTCATTATCATCGGACTAATTGCCGACAAAGAAGATAAACTTTGACCTGAGTCTGATCCTTGATCTTGGAAAAACCAACTCGCAAAATTTCGCGAAAAAATATGTTGATAAGATATAAATCACACTGGGTTTTTTTGAAGGTTATAATTGACACGCAATAAAGGCGTGATAAAATAATTTAAAAACAAACAAGTTTTTTTGGCATTTAGAATTCTAATTTTCGACAACAAAAAGACTCCTGGTCGAGGGTAGTACAATAATTATGAGAAATCCTGAAATACTAACAGGAATGTACGCGATCTGAAAAATTAAGAGACTTAGACTCGCTCTGAAATATTTTTTTAGGACGGGAAGCGAGAACTTAAGCAAACGTTAGTGACGTCACACCGAATTCAAAACAAAAACCACCCCGAGTAAATGACCTTGACTATACATTCGCTTACATAAGGGGTTGATGATCTCTACCCTTTGCTATACGGGGATTAACCGTCTTGCCTTTTCGAACTATGGTCTATGGTTAGCTATACTGAAACCTCCCCACAGAGTAGTACCCCCTGAAACATCAGCTAATTAATTGATTTGGCAATTATAGGGGTGTTCTATTAAGGGTGAATTTAACTATTGAATATATTTCCCACTATCGAGATATTAGTGCAGAATTATTTACGAATAGACATTATGTTCTATAGCTTTTTAAATTCCTAATAAAAAAAAACATTATTGTTTGTAAAAATTACTTGCAGTGTGCTTAAAAATTGAATGTAATAATAATAATCATCAATTAATTTAATTAATCACACTCAAAAATTGTCTTGTTAAAAATTAATTTTTTTCTAATACATATCATTTTATATTAGTAGACTAAAGGGGGAGTATATTTTATATAATATATAGATATAGATATGCATTTTTTTTTCTCTGTACACAACTAATGAAAAACAGAGAGAATGAAAAGAAATTATTAGTTGTCATATTATAAGAACAGACTTATCATTATAAGTTTAATCAATATAATTCTTCTATATCATTGTCATCACTTTATCTATCTATAAATATCATTATATCCTTCTAGTATAATAGAATAACAACATTATTCAAAATATACGTGATCATTTCTTATTATCTGTTGATTAGTCACATTCAACAAAATTTGTTTAATAAAATAATAACCTATCAATCTAATATTTCCTTTCGATACTTCCATTCTACTCGAGCTCTCATATCACTAATTCAATCTCGAGACATTTTTCGTCAGTCATATCATAGATTATCTTCACATTAAAATGTTACCTAATTATCAAACAATGTTTAATCATGTCAATAATATATCTTTCTTAATTATAAAACACTAAAGTAGTGATATAATTTATTCATAAATTATTCTTACAGTAAAACTTCTTATATCCGAATTTAACTTTAGTTTAATTGAATTATCTATAACAGCTTTTGTAAACTTTTATGTTTTGTCTGATCTTCATTTAAATCAAAGAAAAGTTAATAAAAATTACTTTAATCTGGTGAAAAAATTATCTAATGTTAATCCGGATATGAAGTATTCTATATTAATTTAAATAAAATCCGTATAAATAAATTAATTATAAAAATTAGAGAAATTATATCGAAAAAACTTAAATAAATTTAAACGAAACACTAGTGCCCTCTTTTGAGATCTAAAAGAACTAAAATCGCTGAAGAATTAAATACTCCTGGTATCTACCGCCAACATTTAAAACTACCAATCAAAAATTATATATTTTTCTGCGCAAGTCAAACTAAATTATCGATCGTACTTAATTATTTTATTTAAGTCTAAACGTCAAATCGTAGGTGAGATTTGTTTACGTACCGGGTACAAAAGCAATTGAAAAAAAGAAAGTTATAAGATAATATTTCAATTATAAAACTAATAAATAAGTCACTATGTACTGAAAATAATTAAATTTTTTAAAAAAAAGCGCAATGCCAGGACCGGAGGTAAGTTTTTAAATAACCAATAGTTTTATTTTTCATTTATAAATGAATATTGATCAATATATATGATAAATTTTCTAAAGGACTCATCAGAATTGGGTGAAATAGAGAATGTCAGGGTCGTGGTACGAGTTAGGCCCTTGAATGGAAAGGAGTTAGAGGGTCATTGCAAAAAAATAGTCAAAGTTGACCGTCTAAACTCGGAAATAACTGTCGAAAACCCAAACGCAGCTCACGGAGAGCCTCCGAAAGTGTTTTCTTTCGACGCGACCTTTGATGACGACTCGACCCAAGTCGATATTTACAATGAGACGGCTCGTCCTATCGTCGACAAAGTGCTGCAAGGCTACAATGGGACGATACTGGCCTACGGACAAACTGGAACCGGTAAAACTTACACGATGTCCGGAGCTAAAACTCCCCCGCAATTACGCGGAATAATTCCCAATACTTTCGCACAAATATTCGGCCACATTGCTAAGGCCGATGATAAACAGAAATTTCTGGTTCGCGCGACTTATCTTGAAATTTACAATGAAGAGATACGAGATTTGCTGGGAAAAGACCAGAACACGCGCCTTGAAGTCAAGGAGAGACCCGACATCGGAGTTTTCGTCAAAGACTTGAGCGGATACGTTGTAAATAATGCCGACGATCTTGACAGAATTATGTCGCTTGGAAATAAAAACCGTAAGGATCTTCCAACCGATTTCCTTTCAGTTTTTTGCAATTAGTAAATAATATTAATGATTCAATGATTGATTATTATTGTAGGGGTGGTGGGGGCTACTGCAATGAATGTTTCAAGTTCAAGATCCCATGCAATATTCACAATAACTGTTGAATCCAGCCAACTTGGTGAAGACAACGAGCAGCATGTTAAAATGGGGAAGCTACATCTTGTCGATTTGGCTGTAAATATTTTTATTATTATTGTTATTATTTTAGGAGTTAGCTGGAGTGAAAAGCGTAAATTATTTATATTTTTAGGGTTCAGAGAGACAAAGCAAAACAAAAGCAACAGGAATACGACTACGCGAAGCGACGAAAATAAATTTGTCATTATCAACACTCGGTAATGTTATATCCGCTTTGGTTGACGGTCAGAGTTTTCATGTGCCTTACAGAAATTCAAAATTAACCCGGTTGTTGCAAGATTCATTGGGTGGAAATTCTAAAACATTAATGGTGAGATTACCACATAGAAAAAAAAAATGTTCTTGAATCAAGTATATAATTTTGAAGAACTTAATCTTCTTGATTTGAGTAGAAAAATTTTTAAACTAATAAATTTTTTTTGATTTAAGGAAATTTTACTTGGTTCAAGAATTTTTCTCTCGAATCAAGTTAATTTTTTTTTTCAGTGTGTAATTATTAAACAAAAAGGTTCTATAATTGATCACTCTTTAATTGATTTATTTTTTTTAGTGTGCAAATGTAAGTCCAGCGGATATGAACTACGATGAAACAATAAGCACTTTAAGATATGCGAATCGCGCGAAAAATATAAAGAACCGAGCGAGAATAAACGAAGATCCGAAAGACGCGCTACTGAGACAGTTCCAGGACGAAATAGAACAACTCCGCAAACAACTGGAGGAAAACGGTGAGGAGTTGTCAGAGGGAGACTCAGAGGGAGACACTGATGAGTCAAACCCCGCAGAAGAGGAGTCTAATTCGAAAAAACTGAGACGCAAAAGTCAAATTTTGACGATGGAAGAGTTGGACGATAAAGATATTGAAGCTGCGCAGGAAAAAATCGACAAAGCTGAGTACACTGACAAGAGCCCAGACGACACGGATGTTATTGAGTTGAAAAAGACGCAAAATGAAAAGGAAGTGCTGCGTGAAAAAATGCAAAATTTGCAGAACAAAATTCTGGTCGGCGGGGAAAATTTGCTGGAGAAAGCTGAAGTCCAAGAACAGCTGCTGGCAGCTTCGGCAATTGAGTTAGACCAGCGGAAGAAGCGCGAGGAGCAGCTGAAGAAAGCCATCGAGGAGAAAGAAGCCGAGCGAATTGATATCGAGGAAAAGTACTCGTCGCTGCAAGAAGAAGCCGCGGGAAAGACTAAGAAGTTGGCCAAGGTCTACACGATGCTGATGTCTGCGCGGGCTGAGCTTCTGGATCTCCAGGAAGAACATCAGCGAGAAATGGAGGGCCTGCTTGAGGGCGTTCGCGGAATCGGGCGCGAATTACAGCTTCAAGAGCTTATTTTAAATAATTACATACCGGTTCAGTATCAGACGATGATCGAGCGGTACGTTCACTGGAACGAGGACATCGGCGAATGGCAATTAAAGTGCGTTGCTTACACGGGTAATAATATGCGCAAAGCGCAAACCACTGCTTCTATTGGCACCGCTAAAGATCAACCGCAATTAGATTTATCTAATATTTATTTGACTTATAATGAGCCAGAGAGCAATCTTATGCAGACTAAAAAATTACGGGGACGTTCTGGCGTACCTAGACCCACTACTGCTCACAAACGTACGCCTCATTAGATATTATTTGTTTAAATTATCGTCCAGTACTTAATGTACCTACAATATTATTTTTAAAATTTCAATAAAATAGTACTCATGATTAATTTTTATTAAAAATTATTCATTGCAATTTGAATTGATATTAGTGAATGATATTGTATGTAATAGAATTTATTAATGTTGCTCGGGAGTTTTGACTATTGTGGTAAAAATGTTACTCAACAATTTTTTATTTTCCCGAAGGTTTAAAAATTTTTTAAAAAATTATTTTTCATTATCAAAATAGTCAGAGCTTTTGACAACATATTTATAAATTAGTAAAAATTTATTAAATTAAAAATTAAGCTTGTTTATTTTAATTATAAATTATAAAAAAACAATTAATTTAAAAGCAGTATTATTTTTTATAATTCGTTAGCCATGTTATTAATTTTTAATTATTTATGTATTTATTTAATGCCTAGATTGTAAATTTTTTAATAATTAATAAATTCGCAACTAAGTGTATTAATTATCCAATAAAAAATTATATCGCAAAAACTGTGTCATTATTAAAAGACTCGCGATATTGCTTGATCCATTTTTTGATAGAATAGATGTGGTACTCGCGAGCTTTTATCACAGAGTAAGGATCTGCTGGGTGAGAACCGCGTAAGTCCAGGTGATGAGCTCCCTCGGGAATAATTATGGCCACGGCTGAAGAAGACACGTTTCTGAGAACTCCTCCGCTGGACCAGGGGTCCAAGAGTCCATTGCTGAAAACGATGTTGCTCGCGGTGCTCAAGTCGTCGCAGCCGTATATGTTGCATACCAAGTCAGGTTTGGGTGTCACGTTGAAGTGGCTGAAGCAATTTTCACTGAACTCGGTGAAGTTCCAGGGTTCCGGTTCGAACATGTCATTAACACCGTCGTTACACATCGGCATCACCATTTCTGTACAAGCTTGATAATCCCACCCGCTGGCTGCTCCTAAATCTGGTTCTGGGTTGCTTAGATCCAGACATTTAAGCTTTCCGGTGTAATTTGCGTATAAATTTATTCCTTTTTGAAGATTTGTAAGGACGTCTTTGTCGGATGATAGATTTGTGTTATTCAAAAATTTACAAAATTCCTAAAATTAGTTTTTTTTTTTTTTAAATTAGTTTTAGAAATAAAATATAAATTATAATTGTAATAATTACTCTTATTGGATAAGGCGGAAGTGGAGAAAGAAAATCAGTAGCATAAGGATAATTAACCATCGCTAAATTACTGTAAATAGATACTAAAAAGTCTTTGAAAGTTTTAAAATTTTCATTAGTAGTCAATGACCCGCAAACTTTAAATTTAGTTGATATCCATTTTTTTCCGTCATCTGCAATAAAAAAATCAATTAATTAATTAATTAATTAATTAAATAATTGCTTAAAAAAAAAAAAATTCAACAAAAATTCTTTACCGCTAGAAGTTAAATTTTTAATAGACTCCCAGGATTTCCGAATAACTTTCTCACAGTTCGGATCGACAGCTCGGAAATCAGAAGTAACAATCCGCGAAAATGATTGGCAGTCAGTGTAACCAGTGAATTGCAAAACTGGTGCTGATGCCGCAATTGCTCTTTATAAAAAAATTATACAATTATTTACAATTCCGAAACAATATTTATTGATTAAAATTACCCGTGAATGATGTGCGGATACTTCATTCTGAACCAGGCGCTCAACATTCCGCCGTAAGAGCCCCCGAAAGCAATCACCGGGCTGTGTTTCAAGCTCGGATCAGACTTGAGGTGCACTATTAAGTCGACGTAGTCTGCCAATGCTTGCTGGGAAGTCAAGTATCCTAGATTTTTAACGTTATCAAAGGATTTGTTGCCAAACGGCTTCGATTCACCGTAATAACGGTGCTCTGCAAACACAATGAGCGCTCCAAAGGTCGGCGCTATGTCCCACATAAATCCCTTAAAAAATTTTATGTTAATCTTTTTGTTATTATTATTACTAAAATTATTTTGAAAATTTATACTGTATTTTCGGCAAATGTTTCAAGATCTCCTTCATTGCCGGTGTAAAAAAATATCGGGGGGTTTTTTCCACTCCTCCACGTGTCGTTAATGAAGTAACGCATTTCAAAAGTGTTGTTTATTGAAAAACTAAAATGATCAACCTAAAATAATTATTAAATTTTATTCTATAAATAAATTTTCAAATAAAAAACTACAAAAATAGTTATCGTAGATAAGAAGCGCTACTGCGCATTAAAACTTAATTATTTTTATTAGTGAAGAATATTATTAGTAATAATTATTAGAAATTATGTGAGTAATTAATTATGTATGAAAATAATAAAAAAATTCACTTACTGGTACAGTAAATTTCTTAGTCACATACTTGTAAGGCGAAGAATTTGACTTAGTCACTTCAGTACTCGCAGTGATAACTTGAAGCGAGTTTAATTTGATAAACTGTATTGTTAATATAAATGAAAGCAGCGTGAAATTATAGGCCTTGTAGTCCATTTTTAATGGACTATTTATTATTTATATTGAAATAAACAAATTGTTTGATGACGGTAAATAATAATATAGTAAGCGTTGCGGTGAACAAGATGCTTGCGGTACGATTCCTTGAGTATTACTAACGTTAATGAGCAATACGAAGATATCAGATTTACTGTTAAGAAAATAACGCGTGCTGATGACCTTTATAACTGGTCATACTCCAAACGCTCTATTACCGTAGTTGAGACTCGGGAGATCAATTGTTCGTTCATTGATTGAGATAAAAAGACTAATCGCTCTCTCAGATAAGAGATAGGCATTTTTTGATTATTTTTTCTTAGAACATAGAAAATTCCAATGGTTTATTGGAACTAAATGTAGTCATTATTATTTAAGAAAATTTTTTTCTAATTTAAAATTAAGTCTTAAAGCTTCAATCTTTAAAAAAAAAAATTTTCTCTTATTTTTTTATGTTTTAAATAAATTATATTTATATTTTAATATTATTTAAAAATTTTTTTTTAATTCATAATTTATTAAATTTCATTAAAAAAATTCTAAAAATAAAAAAATTATATTTTTAAAATTATAAATGACTAATTTACACTTGAAAAAATTGTCAGCTGTTTATCTTCAAAATCAATCTAAATAAAAAGTTTCTCAAGAAATTGCTGTATCTAAATCTAAAATCTAATTACCGGGCTTTGAAGAAAGAAAGAAAAGACATTGATCGTAATTTTGATAAATAAAGAATAAAAGTGGATTTGAAAACAGGGAGATTTGATGTAACTGTGAGTAGTTGCATAGGTAAAATTAAGGATGTAACGTTTTGTTGTAGGCGCATAGATCATCAAGTTGATTAGTCGAACGAGAGCGGGCCGAAGTTGTTAGGGCGATCATATATTATATAGGTCCGGGGTGTATATAACGAACGAATATAACTCGGAGGGAGAGAAGGAGAAGACCCAGAGAGGGAGAGAGGAGTATACTAAGTATAACTAGTGTATGAGTTAGAGGTCGGAGGAGTATATTGGCCATTTCCGCAGGAAGTTCTAGGTAACCTGCAACGGCCATTCAAGTTAGGATTTTAAATCTCGATTGGACTATCATTTCGTAACTTTTCAGTCTTAATTTGCTCGGTTGCGTTAACTGTTTTTAAATAAATCTTTGCACTTCTTGGGCTCGCACTCTGCAATCATTGTTTTATTTTAGACTTTGTTTTTGTTTTAAAATTTTTAGATAATTATTTCAATTTATATGTATATTGATAAATGTGTCGAAAGACTTTAAATTGATACTTTTAATTTATGGGAGATTTGTTAACAGTAAAAAATTATTCTGATAGCAAATGATTAATGCCACTGTTATTTAAATTGGGATTATCTTCAGATTTTTCTCGGCTCTTATTTTTATTTGTAAGAAAATTTTTTGTCAAGTTATTTATCACAGAGATTTTTAAATTAATTACAACTATATCTAAATTTTCTTATCCGTTTATGAGAAATTTTTTTTTGGCTGAAGATTATTTAGAAAAATAAGAAACTTAAAAAATTTAACGTGATGTAGAAAAAAAATTTGTGCTTAAAAAATAAAAAAAAATATATAATAAAGCGTAAAAATGAAAATGAAAGAAAAGCGAATGTTTGTTTAGGTTAATTTTACAAAAAATGACAAAATGACGGGTGGTTGTGTAAATTGTCGAGTTTACATTCTATTTTAAAAATTTTAAATCCCCGGTGCGTGATGTGTGCAATGTATAGTTATTTTAAACAAACGGATACCTGGTTGACGCCCATCCGTTGTGTATCCTATTGAAATCACCTATGAAATTCCCCATTGCTTAATTTTTAAATAATAATATATTTAAAATCAAATAATCTAATATCTGGTTATTTTATATTTGTATGGATTTATTCTTGATAAAATTTTCTAATTTTAAATTATAGACACGAAAAATAGACTTGCGATGAAATATGACTCTGTTATAAATAAAAATAAGTGTACGTATATAAGCTAGGATGTATAAAAAGAGACAAGAAGCTAACTAGTCTCGTACTATTTTGAAACGACGAAACCTTTCGGGTTATCGGAGATAAGTAATCGACATTCACTCGCATACAACACAATGGGATTTGAATTTACAAAATCTTTTTAATATTTTATTTTATCCTTTACGTTTAAACATAAAATTCATTTTTCATCTGCTTACAATAATATTGCAATTGTTATTTATTTTTATGAAAAATTAATCATCTTACATGACAGCTTACTATCCGATCTAATTTTTATTCCAGAAAATTATAACTTTTTAAATAAAAAAAATCACCAATTTTTAATCAAATTAAAATTTTTTAATCAAAACATTCGCTTATAATTTTTAATTTATTAAAATTTCAAGGATAAAATCATTATAAACAACCTAAAAATCATAATAAGCAATAAAATTAATTTTACGACTGAGAAAATTGTTCAACAATTAGCAAAGAATAAATAACCGCGGCAATAATAATAACAACAGTGACAAGCAAAGACAATAGGCCAACGACCAGCGAGCTATTAAAAGAAATATATATAAAAAAAAAAGTCTAGAAATGGTTAATATTGAGCATATAATAAGCAGCACGTGCGTATAGATGAATGAAAGGTTTACGAGGATAGTAAGAACAGGTCAATCTGCCAATTGACCAGTGCACTGCCGCTGAAGAGTCATGAACGAAGCATCTACTCGTTGATGTTCATCGCATCAACTGGTAATGCAACCAACGTCAACATAAAACTGGCCCACGGCGATGCAATTTCGTTCCGACAACTTGTACCAATTACGCTCAAGTTTTGGTGCATTATTTCACTGCAATATCTCGCTGATAATTATAAATCATACTATTGCACACTGAAAAAAAAATTCTTGACTGGAGTGTAAATTTTCTTGGCTTAAGAAATTTATTAAAGACAACTTTTTAGTATTAAACAAATATTTGTTTGTATTTGATAAATCTGATATTCATTTATTAAATCTTTTTAAATACTAAGAAATATTTGTTAAGGACTAAAAGGTGGTCTCTAATAAATGATTTGTTAAATATTTTTAACTATAAACAAATCCTTTTATTAGAGTGAGGAAGATTGAAAATTTTTCGAATAAAATCAAAGTTTTTTAAGTCAAGAAAATTTCTTCTTGCTCCAAAATAACTTTTGTCTTTCTTAAATATTTCTTGGCGCAAGAAATTTGTTTCTTGTGTGCATATCTTTTATTTTAATTTTGCCCGACACTTGAATAAAATAGCCGGGAATTAATTGCCCCTATCTCCACCCCAAAGGAATCAGACTAACGCCTTAGTTAGCATTTGATTGCCGGGTTGTATTGTGTAGAGCATTGTGTAGTACTATAGGGAGTAAAAAGGGCACATCGCGTATTATAACATATAGGTATACGGAATGAATAGGAACAGAATGAAGTGAAAGAGATAAGGGTACGTGGTGGGAGTCAGCCGAGTGTCTTGTGGCCACTCAGAGTCAGTTGCTCTTATGCTCGCCAGCCTTAAACAACCACCTACACTACGCTTTTCAAAACATTTATCATTATTATTTTATTTATTTATTTAATTACCGATCGGCAATTAAACCTGTCATGGTTTTTCACTTTCCGAGTGTTTAAGTAATTATTTAATAACTTTAATTGTATGAAAAAAATATGTGATATGTTAACAATTTAATGATTGTTGCAGATGTGATTAACATGGTAGTTAAAAAAATAAACAAGTGGGTAGATAGGCGGACGATGGAACTTAAAATTAATTACAAATATTAATAATAATAATAGTTGATAAATTGTTTTGAACAATTAATGACGTACCGATTTAAAAATAAATTATATATTACTGTATTATGTTGTTGATTAAACGAATATGCTCGTCAGTGGTGCTGGTATTGGCGGTAAATATTGCGAGAGCTTTATTGCCAGATGATTTTGAGGAGCAACAATTTACGGGTGATAATTTACAACAAGATTGTGCATCGAGATGCCCCGACCTAGATTTCAATCAGGCAAGTACTTTATTTTTTATTATTTAATTTTATTATGGGACAAAATATTTTTATTTGCAACAACAATTTGTTAAAAAAAGAATATTTTTTATAATTTAAATTCTTTAATCATAAAATAATTTTTTTAAGGTCTATTATTTGAATTTTTAGAAAAATAATTATTAATTAAAGTATAATTGATTTTATTTAAAAAAATAATAACGACGCATTGATTTAATATTAAATATTTAAAGAGACTAAAGTTCATTATTTATAACGATATGTTATATTGACAGCCAAGAAATGATGTTGTTTATTAATTATAATCACTGAATAACGTAAAAACGTTTGCTTTTACTTGGAAGTATTATTCAAATAAATATAACAATAATTTACGACTAAAAAAAGCGATAAATTAACACTGCAATTTAAATTAATCCCTCACCCTCAACATCTTAAAGTCAGTGACCATTAATTTATAAATTAAATTATTAATTACACTTATCAGCAATCAATTTGCTTGGATCTGTCTAATACAACCGAGAGAAAGCTTCAATAAATTGTTTAAAAATTCAGATAAGCCGAAAAATAAAAACACCATAGTGAAACTAAAAGTTGAGATGAAGGACGTATCAATTTAAAGACTCTCCAGCCAGACTGTACTGTCCATTAATTAACTTAACTACACGACAGCGCATCATCACTATAACCATAAGCAGACCAACCAGCTACACTACATACTAACAAAATATAAAACCACGCTTATATAAATATATATGCACACTATTTTTCACTCACTGGTCTACTGGTTGTATTATTAAGCTCATTATTAATCAAGGCTCTATTTACAATAATGTAATATAGTATAAAGGATATTTGTTGCAGAAAAGACTGGCCTGTTTTTTTAGCCCAGGATAATTTATCTGTTATTGTATTTATTATAAATAAAATGAAAAATAGCTTTATCATTCGCATGTGATCAATTTACGTTTCAAATGGCTGTAATGCCTCTATCTCTATATGTTTTCTGCGATCCGTTAGATGCAATGTCAGATTGGATAGTTTACATAACAGCGTTCAGAATATAACTCCACGGATTTTAAATAATACGCGTGCTATTGTAATAAACTAAATAGAAGTAAGAAGTTAAGAAAATTCTATGGAAGGCGATTAAATTTATAAAAAAAAATTATGTTTACTAGAAATTGACTTGTGGTTGAAATTTTTGAAGATATTTATAGCAGATCATTAAAACTTGGCCGCTGGTTAGTTTCTCGAAGCGTAAACACGGATTTTAGATGTTAAATAATAAATAAAGGGGTAGATATCCGCGGGTTAATGACTTTCTCTAGTTGTTTTGAAACTGCGATTTCTGTGGCGCCAGTTAGGTAGACGCAAAACGTAGAGTTAAGGGTTAAAATAATATAAATATAAATAAATAAAAAATTTAAAATGCATTTGAGTTGTTTTACAGCTCGATTGATCGATAACTATGCAATTTATCTAACGTTCAATGCTTATGAGTCGTTACGGATGATTTAGTTTTATATATTTATGTTTACTTATAATTATAAATTATAACAAATAATTTGTTTTTTTTTAATTATGTAAATAACATTAATTTGATAAGCTTATTTGTTTAAGGATCAATTTATTTTTTTAATGAAATTATTTTGAATTTTACGATACTAATTATCGGTAAAATAAAGTTGTAGATAAAATTTAATGTAACTTTCTAATTTTTTAATTAAAAATTAATACTAAAGCCCATAAAATTTTCTAATCTGACCTAAAAAAATAAAAAATATGAATGATAAACAATATAGAGAGTAAACAACCAGGAATATGCAATACCATCGACGTTTGGTCGACAATCGACTTCCTGCCTGTCACATCCTCTGTCCGATGTAACATGAAGGGTCAACCATGACGTACTACATAATGTAATAAGGATTCCGTGCTCAGATATTCCGCAAAATCAGAAATACCGTCTATAAAATGACACGAGCTCTATATTACTCCGATAGATCAACATCTAGATCAATCAGAAAGATACAGTCCGGGGAGTCAATTAAAAATTAATCTACAAAACCGGAACTGTAGATAATTCAAAGTAGCAGCCTGATGGTGGTCAGAAGTTATTTATCATCAATTTTACAGATTGTAAGACGATTTTGGTCATTATACGGGTGTCTGGCGCTATAATAACATCTACAATGTTCTGAGCGTGTACCTATGAGCTATATACCGGCTTTTCAATAATAATAATAATAAATACAGTAGCGTCCCCTATGTATTATTTGAGTAAATTCGACCAATTTAGGAATCTAGAATCCGTGGGATCGTTTTCTTAATCCAGAGGTCATCATCCCGTGTTTGGTCAATTAGATAAATTAGTTCCCAAAATCATCATCATCAGCAATCAGCATTTATTTTGTTTTTTACATTTTTTATTTGCCAGGACAAAATTAAGATGACCCTTTTTATGGTCTTGATGAAATAAAAGTCTTACCGCAAGTATGCCAGACAATGAATATATTATGTTACATATAGATCGTGAATTTAAGCCCGACATTGGATATCGTGTGACTTTAGAATATCTAGATAATTTATCAATAATACTGTGAATTGATTGTAAATATAAATAAAAAGTGGAGTGATTTTTTGTTAATTATTTGCGAGGATGAAGAAAATAACTTTTTTACTAAGGTGAAAAATTCCTAAGGATTCTGATTGAGATATTGGGCTTCGAAGTTGTGGGAGACGGAACCTTGAGAGACGGTTACGGATAAAATATATACGGGCTTTACTTTACTTTTAAGTAAAAAGGTGCAACAGTTGGCGGGTGTTTTCAACCGTGACGAAGACGTTGGTAGTTAAAAACACTACTCGGATATACAACAGGTATACTCGCTTAGCTCATTAACCAGAGGTTCAATTCAACCGTTAGTTCTTTTGTTTTTCTACCGATTATTTACCCACGATTTTTGTTTACATAAGTGACTACTACAATTTTTTTTTAAATTAAATAATGTATTTTTAAAAAATTTTTAGTGCAAGAATTAAGGCTGTGCTGAGAAAAGCCCGGCAAGTTTAGCAGATATAAAAAAACTAAACAGGAAATCTTTGCTAGAAAGATAAAAAAAAAGCAAAAGCGAAGCCGTAAAAAATAGGTAAATTAAAATGCTGCTTTAGAACTTATAAATTGTTTCATCCGGTTCAATTGGCACCCTTACGGTGTCGCGAAAGGCTTATACACACTCAGATCATTATTATAAATCAGTGAATGTAAAAATCCGGAAGAGGGGAAGTGTTTTCGGATCTAAAATATACATCATATTATTACAGCCATTATGTTTATCTACATCTATGCGAGTGTTAAGTTTTGTTCTTTATTCTCAGGTGGATTACGTCGTTAGATTGTAGCCGCTTCCGGGACACAGGTGGATATCCGACTATAAACACTTAATTTTTTTAGTTTATGAACGAAAAGTTAATCCACGAGTCGCTGAACATTGTTTCCGGGGACCCGGGGGTGGGTAACGGACCGTGTTGTGTATTTTTTAGACTCATGGGAATTTTAGTAGACTTTCTACGCATGAGTGTATTAGAGCGTATTAGTTTGGTTAAATTATACCTCGTTAGCATATTTGTTTATTTTTCTCGAAAAATGGGGCAGATTTTGAATAATTGCATTTAAATGGGAGTTTTTTTTATTAGTTTAAAGGATTTACCGTGACTTGTAAATTATAAATAAATAAAATTTTGCTTTATTAAATAATGACTTTTGTTAAATTGCACTGTACTTTTTTTAAATTTGACGTTTTTAAAGATATAAGCTCATCCCGATGATACACTCATCAAGACCTTTCATTTAAGTACCCACATCAATTTTTCATATATTTATATATATTATATATTATTATATACATGTATATATGAAAAATATATCAAAAATGCATGTGGGTACTCGTGAGTGTAATATCGGGATGAGCTTATATCTTTAAAAATGTCAATAATTCACAAGATACAAGGTCATTTCTTAATAGTATAGATTATAATTTGCAATATTTTTATAAATTGAAGCTTTTTAAATATTTTTCCTCTAATTTTAAGGCCAATATAAATATTTTCTTAAAAAACAGAGTAAAAAATATTAATTAAAAAAAAATTATTGTTTCAGAACCGCACAGATGACATATCAGAAGTTGGCTGCGGCGTAAGATGCAAAATAGATCAGGTAATTAAATAAATAACCTAATAAAATTAATTACTATAATTAGAACTGAAAGTATCAATGAAAGGACATGTGCCGGTGGTAGTAAAAGAGTATCATTATAATTCCAAATGAAAGTCCACACTGTCAGATTTAAATAAAATATATATGATTAAAAAAGCGTATTGTCTCGGAAGTCGATTGAAGGAGCATATGATTGGGCTCTGGACATTGGCGTGTACTGGATAACGAGCAAGGGAATAAAAGAATAACCCGGACGGTCCCTCGGTGCTAATGACTGAGTTTCCGGTCTAGTCTGCCCGTGGTTGGTCCATTACATTTCACGGGGTGCTAGTGTTACGTTTAAATGTCATGGGGAGAAAGAGAGTCGAGCTTGATATTCAGCCCATGAATTTATATATCATCGGTACCGCAAATAAAAACAAACTTTGTTCTCACATGTATAATGTTAATGTTAATGTTTATATTTATGTATGTGAGCACATGTAAGTACATTACCGTCTACAATATACGTATATATCTATTTAATGCACTTGAACAAGTAGTATAGGAATAAAAGAATACTCGGCGGCATGTAGGGCTTCGTGACTTTAAATTGGATCGCGTACAAGTGTCGTTTTTTAACGGATGTCATCAAATTGACGTGCGACCCCGGATTCTGCTACTACGGAAGTACCAGACTAAAAAATAATATCATTTCATATATACAAATTTACTTTATTATGTTTACGTTGCAATCCTCGCTTCAATATAATTATGCATCCACTAATTTATCAACTGTAATGTGTGTTACTTTCATTTTTTATTCATTGCAGTTAAAAATTAAATTAGGTCATAATTTGCAATTTTAAATTTATTTTACTCGAATTTTTAATCAAATTAAAAATAAGAAGCTTTGATTTTGTATAAATGGTATAAATTTATTGAAGTGAATAAATAAATAAATAAACACAATGAAATAATGTATATTTACGGCGGGAAGAGAGTTGTGGTGGGTGAGGGTTTCGATAGGGTACTTGTCGAGGATTTAATGAGGAAACAAGAAATTAACGGGCACTGCTCTGTGGTTAAGTTTACTCTGTTTTATTATAATTTTATTTTTAAATTTTAAAACTAAACCGGGCTTATCTCGCGATTTTTTCATTGCCACTGACAGCGGGTGTAGTAAACATGTAGTACTATGTTTTTACACTACGGGGATGTAATATCTGAGCTCGATAATTTGGTAATAACGCAGAACTTATAAATGATATTTGTTTTTATTTATTTTTTGATAATTGTAACGAAAGTTTAGTTTGTTATACAATATCGGTCTCACGTGATAAAATAAAAAAATGGGAGATATTAAATCGAAATAATAAATTAAAAATTTATCTTTTGGAGATTATTTGATTTTTTTTTAATCGTGAGATGTTCTTGTCAAGCAATAAGAGTCACTTTTGTAATATGACCTAATGATAGCCTCCAAGAGCAACGAGCTTCGAAAATAGATAGTGATAATAATTTTAAAAATATAAATAATAATAATAATAATAATAATAATAATAATAATAATAATAATAATAACAACAGTAATAATAATAAAATCCGTATGCATAATGTAGACGTCATAATATTAAAATTATTCCCGTAATCAAATGATGGTAGAGTTACAATTGATCTTTAAATCCGATTATTTACTTAATCTATTGAGTTATACTTACATGGCGCTTGTAATGTAAAACATCTATGTTGTCTTTTAAGTCCATTAGCTAACATTTTAATAACTTGCAAAAAAACATATTGATATCAATAATAATTTTTTTAAGTTTGATTGACAAGATAAAATTATCTATTTTTATTTTTCTGACATTAATTTCAAATATCTTACTGTAATTTATTACCCTAAGCTTATCAAATCATTAAAAATTGTCTTTGGTACCATCAGACATTAAAAAAAAAATGATTAAGCCAAAAATATAGATCTTGCGAGTAAACTAAATCATTTATTGAGTGAAGCAAATGATAGAAAAAATACATAGTAGAAAATTTTGCGTCAATGCGTTAAAAATTTTTATGTTGAATATTTTACACTTTTTTGTGTTGATTTAACAGAGCAAATGTTAAATTTACACATAAAAGTATTAAATATTTAACAAAAAATTTATTGAAGCAATAAAGCAAAATTTTTTACTGTGTAATATTGAACCTAAAAACCTTGAAAATAAATTTTAGATGAATAAAATAAATGTCGCGTTAAATATTTTTATTTCGTTTCCTTCTTTCTGTCAATTCCCTTTAAATATAGATAATCATCAACTTCCTTTTCTTCTCTACGTCGATGCGTTAAATTGCAATTCTTAAATCCATGTCTTGTCAAGAGCAAGACAGTACAATAAGTCAGAAGGAGGAATGATAATACAAATAAGCGATGCATGCATATACGAGGACACGTACCGCAATAAGGAGTATGTCGACATGTGTATGATGATGTTCTTGGGCCGTATGATGAACGTAGGCGTTATATACTAATGTAAAGGCACGTGCCATCTCCACGTTAATACATTATGTTAGTTGTGATGTGATGTAGTTGGCTTGGTTGGGTTGCTGGTTGCAGAACGTACTCGACGTATTAATAAAAAAATAAAATAAAATTATACTTTCATTTGCGACTAACTCGAATGAATTATGTCACGATCCGGTCTAGTCATTATTGTTCCTACATACACCAATATTGCTTTATATTTAACGTTAACATCAATTTTATTCAAATAATTTACTTTTGATCAACTGAATTTCATTCAACATTTAAAATTTAAAATACGACTCAACAACTCCCACGTCTATAATTTTTCTATAATTCCTCATTGTCTCTCCTCAACCCAGTATTCTCTTCAAGCTAATGAGTCTTCACTCTTAACTACTCCGCTCTATTCTGGCACATAACTCACGAGTTTCGAGCTTGCGTCATAGAATGTTTAATGCTAAGCATCTAGTTTAATCTTGCTTGTTTTAGTAGCATTTATTCACGCTACAATGACCGAGGATTTGTTCAAAATTATTATTATTTTTACGATTGATAAAATAAAACAATGCCTGATATTTTTTGTCCACATCAAAAGCCAGTTTCAATTTAAATATTATTAATTTAGGATCGAAATAAGCCACTGATGACGTCAGTCCTCGTATAACGGTTAGGGATAAACCATTTTAAAAAGAACCGTGAAGACAAGACTAATTATTATAAAGGGACAGGCTCCTCTTTAGACTAATTCTTATAATTTATTATTCTCAAGTTAGAGCCACTTAATAACTATCTAAAGTGCTTTTTTAATTAACCAATTTTGAAAGCTGTTGTTTGTGACTTGATTTTTTTTTAATACCATGTATAATTAATTATTTTAGGGTATCATTTTTTTAAATGTCTAAATAAAATATTTCAAAAAATAAAATAAAAATTTTTGACTCACTCGGCGTTGATTTTTTCTTGCAGTGTGAAAAAGGATGCGCAGCATGGGAACAGGCCCTGGAAACAAGTTGCCAATCAACATGTGTAAGTACACTTTACTTCAATATTAAACTAAAAATTAATAAATGCCCATATTTATATTTTCATTTATATTTATAATAAATACAAACTATACATACATTACGAATTAATTTTACTAGCATTATAATTAAACCTAAAATAACTTTTCAGAACGGTACACAAGAATTACTACCGCCGAAAGAACTCTACTGTGTACTAGGATGCCACGACGCGTTGAATCGATACTTTCAACAGCTAAAAGGTAAGTTTAACAATTATTAAACCCTTCTGTTCAAAAATCTGCAAACTCTTTGGTGAACAAATCCTTGGACTCAATCGTCATCGGAGTTTCATCATAAAAATCAAAGTTACTAGCGTCGCCTTCGTTCTTGGAAGCCGGAATATAAGTAGCCTTCAACTTCTTCTTGTAAATATAGTCCCAATTAGTCCCCTGAAACCACTTGTGCTTCTTAATGTCCAAAACTCCATTTTTCAAGTTCCCAAACCTCCTCGTCAAGTCTACCTGAAGCAAATTGCTAACGATGTCCCTCAAATCTTCACCAAAATGCCCCGGAAACTTGAATTTTCCATTCACAATCTTCTCGTAAATTTTCATGGGGTCCTTTGAGTAAAACGGGGCGTACCCAGCAGTCATTTCGTAAATTAACACCCCGAAGCTCCACCAATCAACCGATTTTCCGTAGCCTTTCGACAGAATTATCTCTGGCGCGATATATTCAGGAGTTCCGCAGAGAGTCCAAGTCCTGACTTTGATCAGTTTGCAAAATCCAAAGTCTGTTAGCTTCAAATATCCGTCGCAGCTGATCAAAATATTCTCCGGCTTCAAATCTCTGTACACTAAGCCGCAATGATGCAAGTACTCAAGCGCCAGCAGGACTTGAGCTGCGTAAAATTTAGCAACTCTCTCGGTAAACTTCCCTTTGCGCCTTAAGTAAGTGAAGAGCTCACCGCCGTTGATAAACGGCAATACCATGTACAAATACGAGTTGTCTTTGAAGAAGTACTTGAGAGTCACCACAAAAGGGTAATTTATTGACTGCAGAACCTTTTTTTCATTGCGAGTGTGCTCTACCTGTTTGGTCTTTATGATCTTGCGCTTGTCCAAAACTTTCATCGCGTAGTACTCTGAGGTTTTTTTGTGTTTAATCAATTTTACGCGACCAAACGCGCCCATTCCAAGAGTCTGCAAAACTTCAAAATCACCAAGCGAAGCGTTTTGCTTAACTTGAGTCAGCTTCCATTTTTTTAGGAAGTCATTTTTCAAAGAGTCCAAAGTTAATTGGTAGTCTTTGAGACTTTTGAGTAAATCTTCGCTGCTATTGCTGATGCTTTTGCTCTTTTGGCTCTGATTAGTTGCTTCTTCTGCACCAGATGATTTTGATTTGCGGGATTTTGACGATTTTGAGCCATTTCCAGCTACGTGAGAGTTTGATCGCATGATTTTAAAGTCTAAATAAGTAAATTAAATTCTAAAGACGTAATTACACTCTTTAAATATTGTTTATAGTTTTTGTAAACAAAAACATTGTATATATATGTCGTTGAGACAAAAGAGACTGACTAGTCGGGAAATTATATATTTTGATAGTCTATTGTCACAAAGGCCAAGTGTCAGGCGGTTAGAATTTGCAGTAAAGCTCGCAGAGAGTAGGTGAAGTCATTTATCTAGTTAAACTGCTCAAATTATGTGATTATGCGTTTCCGTAAATGATCGGAGTGCGAGATACGTTGATACCTTTGTAATTTGTTTAATTTGTAAATTGTTTATCACATGAATGCATTAACTAATAGTGTGACATTGAGTCACTTTTATTTATGATTTAAATTTTAAATGTGTTTTGTTTATTAGCGGAAATAGGTGTTCCACCGGCGCCAGCTCTTGTCGCGGATTCGCTGACAGCCACGTCTCTGAGACTCGAGTGGAAAGGGGTTGACATTAAGAGGCGAGCCGCGGGAATTTCTTATTTGGTCCAATGGAGGTACGAAGAGCTCGCGGAAACCTGGCAGTACTGTCGTAATCAGTCTTGGGGAGAAGATGATCAAATTCTGGTGGATAATCTCCAGCCATATACCAAATATAGGGTATATTTTCTTTATATTAAGTTCAAAAATTATGAATAAAAAAAAATTAAATTGAACCAAAATTAAAAATTTAAAAAGGAAAAAATTATAATAAAAAAAATCTTTATAGTTTCGGGTAGCCTTGCTGCTGAAGTCGTCCCAACACAATCCCGAGCCGATAGTGTCAGCCCCTTCGGTAGTTATACTGACATTAGCTGCGGGTAGCCCCTCATCAGCACCGGTAATTGTAAGAGCAGCGGCCGTCGATAGTTACAGGGTCTCTGTATCTTGGGAACCAGGACCTTTTCCCAACGGTCCATTATTGTCCTATGTTTTACAGTTGCAAGGAGATGATTTCTTCTTGCTTAACAAGGTACACGCCCTGCCAGAATCAAACGCAATAATTATTTTACTTCTCAATAAAACTTTTATTTTCACGTTTTTTTAGTTGCACTTTTTAGTTCTCTCTGCTCAATCTTTTATTTACAGTACAAGTATTTTTTTTCACTTATTCTACTTGCAATTAGTAGTTAATGCTGGTTCGACAGTCTGCTTTTTTTCACGCTTTGCTAAACTTCACTTGCACGCTTTGCAGCACGACTAATGAATTTAGCTTCAAAAAATACAAAATAAAATTACGCATTAATCCCTAAAGATTAGCTCGAACCAGACAGTAGTTTTTCTGGCATGGCGTCCTCTTACAATCTAACAAGGGGATGCATCTGTTTGATCCTTCCACCGAAAAGTCATCTTGTTTTCAATAAATACTGAATTAATTTCTTTAAAATAACTAGGACATACCAGCGTCTGAGAACACAGACCACTATATGTTCCAAAATTTGAAGCCGAATCAAAATTACTCCGTAAGTGTATCGATGAGGAATGCAGTCGGGGATGGACCTCCAGCGGTTACATACATAACGACGCCTCCCGAGCCAGCTGGTAAGTATTTAACCTTCTCTTTAGAGATTCAAACCATTTAAAGTCATCAAATGTAATAACAAGTGATTTTTTTGCAGTAAAAGACACACAACAACCAATACTAATCTTAGGCGGCGAGCATGTGGTGATGAAACAAGGCGCGGACATGTTGGATGAACCAAGTATAATTTACCGAGCAAACGGTCGCATCCGCGGAGTAGCAATTCACGTTTCTTCGGCCCAATTGTTCGTGTCCGATTCAATGGGGTACATTTACAGGACTACAATACTGAAAGAAACTGAGCCCATTGTTGTATTGCGACCAGACCAAGCGAACTTCAAGCCTTTAAGCTTGTCAGTAGATTGGCTCAACTCCCATCTGTACATTTTAGGCGAAGTGAATCATGCGACGACGGTCTGGCAAATAGCAAGATGCAATTTGGACGGCAAAGGATTGACCGTAGCGATGGCTGGGTTCATGACCCGACCGACGCACATCGAAGTGGATCCTTACAATGGCTACTTATTTTGGGTTACTCGGGGTGGTTTATTTCGTTTGGACTTGGCAGACATCAGTAATGGGATAAAACACGAAGTTCAGCCCTATCTTATCTTAGAAGACACACATTTGGGCGCGTTTACAGTCGATCATACTAATTTTAGACTACTGGTACCAGATCACACTCAAAATACGGTGATAAGTGTGTCTTTAGATGGCCGAGAAGTTTTGAACCTAAGAGCAAACACTCAGCAGCCAAAGTTCACGCATGTAGTGTCCTTGGCGATGGCCAATGGTCTGTTCTACTGGACAAATGGCGTGGAAGTATTGACGGAAGGGTATCACTCCGGACAGAATCGGTACTTTCACAATGCGTATCCTGATAGATCAGACGGTTCTTTTGTGAGCGTGAATGTCTTTATGGACGCAAGCCAACCAGTTCCGGTGCCAGTGAACCCTCCAACAGGGGTTCAAGCAGTTCTAGGAGCAGAAAGAGCTAAAGTATCCTGGCAAGCTCCGCATCTTCTTGGTGGTCAAGGAAAAGGCGCTTGGCAAAACTGGTCCTATGAACTGGAGATCAAAGACGAGTCTACTGGCCACACTGTTCAGCAACGGAACATTACTGGCTCCTCGCATACTGTTTACAATTTGCGTGAAAAGTCAGAGTACACTATCAAAGCAGCGGCTTATACACACGCAGGCCGCGGACCTTGGTCGAGCGAGTTTCGCGGAAAAACTCTGCGAGAAAACTCACATGCTTCTATTCTCTGGTCTGCGAATGAAGGATTGCTGAAGAGTGATGTTACTGGGGAAAATGTCAATACTTTGATCTACAAAGATATGCTGAAGGACAACGACAATGACTACCACATAATTGATGCGAGTTGGTACGAAGATACTCTGTACTTTGTAGGGAATAACTCCGCGTTGTATCGCTACAATATTACGAGTCACCAGAAAACTAAGTTGAACATCAATTCTGTTGGAACAGTAGCCGTTGATTGGTTTGCAAAAAAGTTGTACTGGGCGAATCCGAAGCAGCAGATTATAACTCGCGCTAATTTGAACGGAACTCAGCAGGAACCGATGTCGATACTCGCGATAGTTAAAGAACTGATCATTGACTCTCAAGAGGCGTATTTATACTGGTCTACTGGTCACGCTGTTGAAGTAGCGCGTCTTAATGGCCTAGACCGGCGTTACTATCATTCAGACGAAATTTTCAATGGAAAACAGGTTATGGGTTTGACGATAGACACTGAAAACAGGTATGTCTACTGGATAGTTCGAAGCTACGAAAGTGGATCGATTGTGTATCGAGCGCCCACTTCAGAAAGAGTACCAATGAACCAACGGTTGGTACCGGAAAAAGTTTCGTCATTGCAGTACCCAAATATCCAAGGACCACTTTGTTATTTTTCCGAGCACCTGTTATGGTTACAAGACGATCGAAACGCAGTTATTGGCGACTTGACTGGCCAAAACACTGCAATGATCAATGGGATTAGTTTGATTGGTCTGCATATGGTAGCGATAATGGATCCTGCTCTGCATCAGTACCCTCCGGGCTTGACGGCTGACAATATCACGGTGATACCTCGCGCAGTTTCGTTAAATAGCATTAGAGTGATAGGTACTTGGGGTAATTTCAATGTTTCCTGGGATCCGGTGAATAATATCAACCATGGAACTGTTTTCTATGAAGTTAAGTTCGCGAATTACATAAACGCTAACGCTAATCCCGAAATAACAACGAATACTACGATGTTGTACAACAATTCCGAGCAAATCTTGCCGTATTCGTTGTTGGAGGTTACTATCAAGGCTTTTACTTACTGGGGAGCTGCGATGCACACCCGAAAAGTCCTGAGATCGCCTCAGAGCGAACCTACGCAGCCTACCAACGTTCGTGGGTTTGTTGAGTTCAACAGAGCGCCAATCAATATCGATGCGAATGAACATCATCATGATCATCATGATAATGTTGATATTACTATAACATTCCGATGGGACCCACCGGAATATCCAAACGGAATCATAAAAGGTTACAATTTACACTGCTGGTTTTTGAACAATAGCAAAAATGTCGACGTGTTCAATGGCCTGGAAGTACAGCACGATAAATGGGAGTACGTTGTGAATAACCTCAGGGCGAATACAACATACTACTTTGAAGTACAAGCTTTCACGGAAGTCGGAGCAGGCTCGTTTGCTGACATGATTAATATTTCGACAGAGAACGAAGATCCGGTGCCTCAATTGATCGTTGCATCGGTTGACGCTCTTAAATTGGTGGATCTTGATTTGAAGAGTGAAGTTATTTTGACGAGACACGTCGCCATTGAAATGCGTTACGTCACGCTCGATGATAAGCTTTATTGGATCAACGAAATGCAGGAAATAGTGATGGCCAATTTTAACGGTACCAATACCACGAAAATATTGTCGCTCAACAACACTGCTACTTCAATGTGCGTCGACTGGATATCAAGAAACTTGTATTGGTCCGAATACCAACGCAAGTCTGGGGTCAGCAGTATCCTGAAGCTAGACTTGACCGCTTGGGAGTCCTCTGGAACATTGATTTATGAGAAGATAGTAACAAACAGCAGAAATATCATTAATTTGGAAGTATCTCCTTTGACTGGTGACTTGTTCTGGATTGAATTAACGGCAGGAAAGCATGGAAGTATTGTGCAATCAGATCTGTACGGTTCTAACATAAGGCCTTTCTTCAACCACGATGATACTGATTGCTCGTGTCCATACCGACCGTTGATAAAGCCTTCAATGACCATAGACAGCACGGATCCTCACAACCCAGTGATGTACTGGACATCGATGGAGGAGCATTTGAACATCGCGGGTATCAATGGCTGTGTTTGCAGCGAGGTGATAAGCTCAGGATTCAATCGTGGGCTACCTCCAATTTCTTTAACAGCGGACAAGATCAATGTTTACTGGCTAGACACTGCTGGCAGTGGAATTCACTACGTCAATAAAAATTACCCCTACGAGCAGGACATCAAGCGAATTTACTTCGACAATATCAGAACCATCAAAGCAATTGGAAAATCACTGCAGTCCTATCCAAATTCTGACTGTTTGATTCCATACCAAATGTCTTACACTGTCGAAGAATTGGTTAAGAAGTCTAACAGCATCACGGTGAAGTTACCAAACCCAGAAACCCATCTAGGCTGCGAGAAATACAATCTACCGGGAACTCTGTTCACAATTCAGGTTTCAAGATGTCACGATTCAACAACCTGCGATACAAACGACATCTTGGAGTTCAAAACTTACAAGAAAGAGTTTGAGATTGTAAACTTACAGCCGTTTACGATGTACCAGTTCAAATTGGCGCTCAGTAATTACTACAGCGATATTATCAAAGTGAAACGCGAGTTTGGGAATCCTATTGTTTTGAGAACTGCTGCTGGCGCTCCTTCAGCGCCTCAGAACGTCACAGTGAAGTCTTGTACGCCAACTTTAGCCGCAGTTTACTGGCTAGCTCCGCGGATATTAAACGCAGCCGCAGTAAGATACGAGATTCATTGGCGGAGTCTTAGATTGGTTAACGGAGAGCGTCCAAAAGGGGAAAAGTTGATTAAAAATCTCGGCAAAGCTGCCGATGGGAGGTTCATGGAACTTTTGAAGCCTCTGCTTCCTGGGCAGGATTATTTGGTCTACATCCGAGCCTATCCGGCGGATTCTAACGATACTTATGGAGAAAGCGAGGGTCAGATTGTCAGCATGTATCCAGAACCTAATAATCTGACGAATATCGCGAGTAGCGTCAACACCTTGAATGTTACTTGGGTACCGATGGTTAATGTAACCATTAATCACACCCTAGAGTTCACTGCCGTCGGCTTAGAGAAATGGCAAGTCGCTGATAGTTTTGCCGTCGGTAAAGACAACAAAATTGAATACTGCATTCGCGGATTAATGCCAAGAACGCTCTACAAATTCAGATTGATTCTTCGGTATCCAAACTACCATGACGATTTCGTCTGGCCCGCAGATGCGAGGTTCACCTTCCAAACTTCTGGAGATGTCCCTAGTCCTCCTGGGAAGCCTAGCGTTACTAAGCTCAGGAATTCCGTGTATCAGTTGAACTGGGAACCGGCTCGGGCTCACGGCTCTCAGGTCAAGATGTACCGATTGGAGGGTAAAATCATCGACAACGATCTCGACGGCTTAAAAGCTGGTCAAGATAACGAAGGATGGAAGCTTTATTACACTGGTACGGACAATTACTGGATAATCGTCGGAGAAATGAATCAGAAGTACAAGTTTCGTGTTCAAGCTACTAATGCTTACGGGTCTGGCGGGTGGAGCGAGACCAGCGGAATTATCGACCTTACTGATACTATCGGGACTACTTTGGCGAGCCAACAGCATTTGGGATTAATTTTGGGATTGAGTGTGCCTTTTGTTATTATTGTATTAATTTGTTTCTGCTACTTCCTTTGCTGTAAGTATCTTATTAAAAATTTTTTGAGGTATAAAGATTGTAAATAATGATTTGTAATTGATGATTTTTGGTTTTAGTGTACAATAGACGGCGTAAAGAAGTCAAAAAGTCAATTTTACCGCCGGTGATGTCAGATGTCGAATTGGCAACACTCAGGGAAATACCGAGGGGTAATTTTGTCCAGGCAAACGCGCTCTACGTATCATCTTTGCAGAATGATAACGAAGAACTGATGCTAATGAAAATAAGCAAGCACCAGGTGGAAAAAGACAAGTTCCTTGGAAGAGGCGCTTTTGGCGAAGTCTTTCAAGGAAACGCTAAAGATTTGGACGGCCCGGGAGTAATAACGCCCGTAGCAATAAAAACTTTGCGCAAAGGCGCTACAGCCCATGAAAAGACTGAATTTTTACAAGAAGCTCAACTGATGAGTCAATTTAAACACAAAAACGTCCTAAGATTGCTGGGAGTGTGTCTTGAACAGGATTCGCCGTGGCTGATCCTGGAATTGATGGAGGCGGGAGATTTATTGAGTTATTTGAGATCTAGTCGTCCGTTACCTCCGACAGATCATCGCGCGTTGAGATTACAGGACTTGTTGGCAATGTGTGAAGATGTTGCTCGTGGTTGTCATTATTTAGAGAGCTTGCACTTTGTTCACCGAGACTTGGCTTGTCGAAATTGTCTTGTTTCAGCGAAAAATCGCGAAAATCGCGTGGTTAAAATTGGAGACTTTGGTCTTGCAAGGGATATTTATAAAAATGATTACTACCGTAAGGTAAATTTTAATTTACTTCTTCAAGCTTACTTTACACAAAAAAAAATTAACTTAAATCAAGTGAAGAATTTTATGTTCTTGATTTGAGTAGAAAAATTCTTAAACTAAGAAATTTTTCTTGTTTTTAAAGAAAATTTTACTTGATTTAAGAATTTTTTGTCTTGATCCAAGACACTAAAACCCTTCAAAATTATTTTCTTAGTTCAAGAATTTTTTTCTTTCATTTTTCTGAATAAATTTTCAATTTTTTTATTATTATTCTAATCAGGAAGGCGAAGGGTTGCTCCCAGTTCGTTGGATGCCGCCTGAAGCTCTATTAGACGGCGTTTTCTCGACGCGAAGCGACGTCTGGGCTTTCGGAGTCCTGATGTGGGAAATAACCTCCCTCGGACAACAGCCATACCCCGCCAGGACGAACGGTGAAGTATTACAGTACGTGACCCAAGCCGGGGGAAGACTGCCAAAACCAATAAATTGCCCCCCAGCGCTCTACCAATTAATGTCTCGCTGTTGGAGTCATCTGGACAGCAGACCATGCTTCAAAACTTGCCTCGAGGAAATAACGCTCTTGAAAAACAACACCGATGACGCGACGTTAATCCCCGTGCATGCGGGTCACTATTTAGCGCGGCGAGGTTGGTTACTCTTTTTTACTTGACTTTATTTAATTAATCTTTAATTAAATTAATGCATGTCTTTGTTATATTAATTCTGGTTACAACCGCGGAGTACTTTTTAATACATTTATGTTTCAAAGTTCATTTTTTAATCATGCAATCATTTATATTATTATGTTTTTATTTTATCGATGTACTTATCTATGTGTACTTTTTATGTCATTTTAATTAACAAATTATATTATTTAATTGTGCTTTGATTCAAATTGGCCATTGCATGGCTCGTGCTTGCTTGCAGGCGTCTCTAACATGGCTTACTTTGCTGACGAGAATCAAATTCATTATTCAGGTAGGTTTTTTTTTATTAATATTTATTATTTTTTTTTGGGTTCTAATAAATCATTGGTTTTAATAATAATAATTATAAATACGTTTCTAATTATTATTCAATTAAAAAAAAATTTTTTTTCAATAAATAATGACTTTTGTTAAATTGCACTGTACTTTCTTAAATATTGACGTTTTTAAAAATATAAGCTCATCCCGATGTTACACTCATCAAGAGCTTTCATTTGAGTACCCACATGCATTTTTATATATTTTTCATATATATACATATATATAAATATACAAATATATATAAATATATGAAAAATTGATGTGGGTACTCAAATGAAAGGTCTCGATGGGTGTAACATCGGGATGAGCTTGTATTATTAAAAATGTCAATAGTTCACAAAATACAAGGTCATTTTTTAAATATTGGCATTTTTAAAGATATAAGCTCATCCCGATGTTAAACTCATCAAGAGCTTTCATTTGAGTACCCACACGCATTTTTGATATATTTTTCATATATATATATATATATATTTATATATATAAAATATATCAAAAATTGATGTGGGTACTCAAATGGAAGGTCTCGATAAATATAATGTCAAGGTGAGCTTATATCTTTAAAAATGTCAATAGTTCACGAGATACAAGGTCATTTCTTAATTATGTATTTAGAATAATAATAAAATAAATAAACTAATGTTATTTTTATTTCATTGGACAAAATTCATTTGTAATTAATAAAAAAAAAATTTTTTTAATAAACTAAACCACAAAAAAAAATTTTATCTTCAGGTAATTCATGGAAATCAAGTAGTTCAGAAGGAAGCCGTGACATGCAGCCGTTCCTGCAAGACACGAGCAGCACAACAGTAACAACAATACGTCTTTCGGACGTAGAGTTACCTAAATACCTCGAATTACTAGCGGAGAGTTCCGGCGTGATAATAAAGCCCCAGACCGACGAGTACGAGGTCCCGCGGTCGATACAAATCGTTCCAAGTCTCGCTGATAAGAAAATCGGACAACCGGACTTGGCGACAAAGCCCAGCGAGCTTCCTCGGCGCGAGATAACCCCAGAGGACCGCGAGCACTTGGATAATATATTGTCCCAAATCGGGACTCTGAATACCACCGAGAGGAGCAAAACGCTGGACAACTTGAGATTGAAAAATAACGCGAAAGTTATAAATGCATTTAAAAATGGTCTTAGAGCCTCTTTGAACGAACGAACTTCAAGACAATTGTCTAGTAATATTAATAATAAAAATAATGATGGAAGCTCAAAGATTAGTTTAGATGATAGAAATTGTAGCTCACTCGGTTCATCTATAAGTTCACTGCGCGGATCATTGCCATCAACCCGGCCGAGCTCCTCGGTCCTTGGCTCTCAACATAATCTTCCATTGAAAAATATCAATCATAGTAATAATTATAATTACAGTAATAACAACAACAACAATAATAATAATCTCGTTAGATAGCAATCATAGTTCGACATCGTCTTCCACGTCAATAACGACGACGTCGATCGCCCCGAAGGATAATAATAATATTATAATTAATGAAACTAATATTATTGGTAATGGCACTTTAAGGGTGCACAAAAATCACGCGAATTTAGAAGGTAGTAGAGCGAATATACCTCTTGTTATGAACAATGTCTTGTTAAATTTATTGCGACAACCGCCTCAAGTTATTGACGAAAGTACTAATAATATTGTTACGTATACAAATGTAAATACTGATTCAACTAGGGTTAGTTAAGCTTTTTATTTAATAATTAATATATCAGGGATCTGATACCAGTGCCTTTTTATAAATTATTTATATTTAATAATTATGACGAATTTTATATAAATTTATTATATATTGAAGCACAGATTAAAATTACTTCCAAACGTGCCAGTTTAATTTTTATTTGATAAAACTGGAGACTATTAATTATTTCATATCACTAGATATTTATTTTATTAAATTAAATAATATCAGCAATCACATTTTCATTAAAGTATTTATTTAATTGTATAAATTTGTTAAGTTTTATATGTAAAAATGAATAAGTTGTATAGTTTTACGATTGTAATTTTAAAAATTCTATGACTATAAATTAATTAATAAGTTTAAGCTATTGATTCATTTTATAATATTTTTTTATATCGAGTATTTTATATCATTTAAATTTTATTATTATTATTAATACAATAGTCTTCCTTTTGCAACAATTGTGACAATTACATATCGTTCATAAATCATTTACTAATTGTAATTAATAATTATATTAATAATAATAATGTAAATAGTATTCAATAATTATGTCAACCAAAGAAATAAAATTTTTCACTAATCAATTTTAAATATATTGAAAAAAACAATTATAATTATCAAAGACGTAATAAAGTGATTAAATAAAACAAACAATTCTTTTTACAATTATTATCACTAATGGTAATTATCATTAATTATTTAAGCTAAATTATAAATCTTAAATTTACAATTATTACTTACTAATATCAACGCAAAAAATTACTACTTAAAAAAAATATAACTCAAACACTCTTAATTGTAGAAATTTGATTTATAATTATCTGATCCCACTAATTAATTTAAATTCTGAAAATTACGAAGTAATATTAATAATTATTAACAACAATGATTGGTAATTTTAAATTAGATCGTTACCAGGTACTTCAACATTCGATTTACATAGTCTAAGTAAAATCGAAAGCGTATAACGATCACTCGTCCATCAAAATCTGAAAAAAAAAATTTATCAGTTATTAATTAATAAAAAATAAAATTATCAATTATTCTTTTTCAAATTAATTATTAATTTGCTTTGTTAGATAATGACTTTTGTTAAATTGCACTGTACTTTCTTAAATATTGACGTTTTTAAAAATATAAGCTCATCTTCATGTTACACTCATCAAGAGCTTTCATTTGAGTACCCACATGCATTTTTATATATTTTTCATATATACATATATATAAATATATGAAATATATGAAAAATTGATGTGGGTACTCAAATGAAAGGTCTCGATGAGTGTAATGTCGGGATGAGCTTATATCTTTAAAAAAGTCGATAGTTGAGGAATGGTATTGTATCTTGTCAACTAATGATATTTTAAAAGATATAAGCTCATTCCGATGTTACACTCATCAAGAGCATTCATTTGAGTACCCACACGCATTTTTGATATATTTTTCATATTTACATATATATAATATATATATATCAAATATATAAAATATATGAAAAAGTGATGTGGGTACTCAAATGAAAGGTCTCGATGAGTATAACATCGGGATGAGCTTATATCCTTAAAAATGTCAATAGTTCTCAAGATACAAAGTCATTTCTTATTTATGTATCTAGAGCTAGAGAATTTTCAAATGCAGTATAAATACTTATCATAATAAATTTACTATCTTAATAATATAGATAATAAAAATCAAATAATACCTAAGTGTCATTAGGAACATCGACATCATCATCATCCTCGTCATCCTTGCTGTGTTCATGCAGCAAGACGTACTCTCTGGAGCTGAATCCGAACTTGATGACATCCCTCTCGAGGAGCTCGTGAAATCTTTTGGCCTCGATCTTGACATTATTGACCGTAGTGCCATTAGCAGACTCCAGGTCGATGATGTAAGGCCTGACCCGCTTGCCAAACTTCCCATCTTCTCTCTCGTAGGAAACGAGACGATATTGCAGCGCGGCGTGCTGCTTGGAGCAGGACGGATGGTCTAACGGAATGTCCGCGACTTTTCTGTCCCTTCCAAGCAGGTAAGCCGACTGCCGATGGACGGGGATGAAAGGGAGTGCCTTTTCTCCCTTGAACGGGTACAGCCTCCAACGCCGTTTCGGCTTCTTGGCGTCGTCAGGCTCGGCGTATTTGATGACGACGCCGTTGATGGTATTCGCGTCCTCTGTGAGCTTCCCGGAGAGTTCAAAGTTCGGCTTCTCCTTCTCGACTGGCTTGGGCTTCTCCTCGTCCTTGGGTCGAGACCGGCCCCAGTCTGGAGAAGACTCTCTCTTGACCCTCGGGTTGCTAGCATCTTCCTCGTGGTTGGAGAATCTGTCGTGGTTTCGCTCACGCCTGTCATTCCTGCGATTTTCGAACCTGGAGCCTCTTCTTTCGTCGCGTTGTCGAGAACGACTACGCTCTCTAGGTCGCTGACGTTCTCTAGGAGGTGATCTGTCGTCGTTGCTCCTGTTATGGTCATGTCTATCATTTTTTTCGTGATACCTGTCCTTGTTGCTGCGCTCGCGACGATTATTTTGCTCGTAGTCGTCCCGTGAATCTTTTCTGCGAGACCTATCACGGTGCTGACTGTGTCCTGACATTTTTATTATTAAATTTGGTTATTTTTTTAATTAATATCACTACTTACTGTGCACTATCAACTTTTATTATTTTTTTGGAGCTATTATTTATCAATTATCACTGTATGTATAACTAACTCACTGGTGAGGTTAACTCAATAAATTTATTTACACTTTATATATTTTGTAGGTACGTTTTGCTATGCCGATTGATGATTTAGAAAGAAACCATGTGACCGCCCTCCGGTATATTTAGATAAGTTTATGACAATTTTGTTCGGACTGTTCGGAGTATATAACAGGAAACAGCTGGTAAGATGGAAAGGTGGGAAAATACTGACAGAGTCAAAATGGCGGCTGCTGTTTTAGCGCCAAAAAATAATAAAAAAATTATTTTTACAAAATAAATTAATTTCTGATGATTTTTAGGTGTAAAAAAATATTGTAGAATAATTAAATTGTAAAATTAAGCTTTTATAACTCACCAAGCTGGAAAAATAATTAACTGGAATGCATAAGCTGACTATCTGCAAGCACTTAGAAAAAAAAAAAATTATTTATGTAGTTTTTTGACACTTTTTAATGAAATTTTTAATTAAACACTTGATTTATTTTGAAATTAATTGATTTTTTAATTAATTAGTCACTATTACACATTTTACGCACTAAAAATCAGAGTAATCAGAGCACTTTGCACTGTAACTTGTTGTAGTTTGAAGCGAAGCTTCCAATTCCAACCGCAACTGATTTTAGAATGCGCATGCGCAGAAGTCGGAACTTACAATTTAAATTTATTGAAATAAGTAAATAAAAAAGACATATTACTAGTTTTTATTTATAAAAAGAGAAATTATTAGTTGAAAAATAATTATTATTAATTAATTGCTAAATAATTTTTAAAAATTAATAACTTTTTTGTCAAAATTTGAAATACCGGTCCTGAATTTTTTAGTTTATTTTTTTCAACGATAGGTGGCGCGCCAAAAAGTTTCATAGTGGTTTTATCAACAAACACTTTGCTTACGTTTTTTTTTATTTTTCTGTCAGTTTCAGTGATAATTCTAATTTAAAATTAAAATAATTATGATATTGTTATCAATTAATTATTATTAGTATTTTCAAATTAAATTTCGCGTTAAATTATCACTTGGATAATTAAATCTGTCAATTTCATTAAAATGTGGATTACACTAACTCCAAGGTATTGTTTATAATAATCAAAAACTCTAATTTAATTACAATACTGATTTTTTTTTATTTTCAGGCTAAAAAAAGGCTTAGAAATAGTAGAACAGCTGGAAAACTCAAAATTCCGTCAGCTGGTAAGCCATATCTGTCAAGGACTCCACTCAGAAAGTGACAAAATTTTCAGCGAAGATGAAGAGGAAAAACTTATGCTGTCTCTCAATTTAAAAAAAGAAAATCTGAGTTTATTGCTTGACACAATAACTTTTGTTTACACTCAAGCCGGGTTCAGCATGGTCGAGTCAGCTGAGATGGAAAGTTTTATGAAATCATGCTTTGGAATTTCCGACGACAAAATCTCAATATTTGTCAACACTTGGACAACTTATTCCCAGCAAATAATTGAAGTGTTGCGTCGTAAATCTGTATTTCCTAATCAAGTAAATTTTTTTCCTAAAATTTTATCATTAATTTAAAGTTAGCAGTCAATAATTTTTTAATTTTTTTTAACAAACAAATTTATACCAAAAAGTTATTTTAAAAAATTTGCATTTTTAATTTTTTAAAATTTCTGTCAATTTTTTTTTTCTAATTTAGTTACAAAAGTTTTTAAAATTACTAAACATTTGCTGAATTAAATTTTATTATTATTTTTAATTTATCGAGTATCTCTTATAGTTATGAAAATTTTTCAGGTCCACGATATTAATTGGAGTTTCAATATCCAAGCATCTTCTCCAGCCCACGCTGCTGACAATAAACCAGTCTTATTATTGCAATTAAACACCACCGGAGAATCCAAACCTCTTACAGTAGAAATGGACAAGCCGAGCTTATCAGACTTGTACGAAAATTTAGAAAAAATTCAACGCCAGCTCGACGCTCTCAATTAATTGGTGAGTTATTTTTTTATTATTATTATTTATTGCAAATGATACAGTTTATTTCGGGTGCTGATATTTATCAGCATGACCCAAAAAAGTCGAGTTCCTTGACAAAACTGAATTACTCGACGAATGAACAGACAATCTAGTATCCGACAATTCTAGATCCACTGAGTCCTTTCTGTCCTCTTGATTTTTCTCTCTAAGCGGCGCAGTTTCAAAAATCCTCGTTGACTCCATTGTAAACAGCCTCGCTCTCCAAACAATTAATACCACAGCCAGAATCATGAGAAAGAGAACAAAAGTGGTCGCTGCGCCGACTATCCATCCCAGCCGTTGGTCCTCTAAAACATTCCAAACTCGATCCTAAAACCCGAACAAATATTAGCTGATTCCGGCAAAAAATAAATTACATACCTGTGTACTTAATGACCAGCGTCAGCGAAGAATTTCCCAACACAAAGTTGCCTTTATCTGTCTTAATAATAAATTTACAAGTCCACAGTCCCAGATCATTGACATCCGGCTTAAACTGTATAGTACAAATTCCTGAAGTATGATTCATTAGCACGCCTTGCCTATTTGTTTTCAATTTTTTAAACAGCTTATTAATTTATACTAGTAGTCATATTTTAATTATTAGTCACCTTAATTTATGGGTTGCATTTGTCCGTTTTTTATCTTTTAAATCGTGAGCCCACTGGCACGTGGTGTCTGAAGGCAGAGGGTAAAGTTTGCAACCCAGAGTAACAATTTCATGGGTGTTTGTTGTAATTGCAACTCTTACTGGCGCTAAAATTTAAAACCCTTTTTTTTTTATACAATATATAAGGTAAAAGACCCACTTATTGACATGAAAATTAAGTTAGCCGACATCTGAAAGTTTAAAAAATTTTTTTTCATAGAAAAAATTATTAAAAAAAAATTTCATTTGTAAAAATCTTAAAAAACTGTAAATGCAATTTTTAAAAAATATTTTTTTGTTCTAATTTACTTATTTAAAAAAAAATCAAAAAATTAAAAATGTCGACTAACTTTAGTGTCATGTAATTGACACTTGCAATTTTATTCTAATTAAAAAAATTAAATGTTATCAAAAAACAAATTTTCTCAAAATTTATAATTAAAAAATTATATTTATTAATTTATAAGAGTTGTTTTTTTTTTATTAAAATAAAATTGCAAGTGTCAATAACTGGATCTTTTACCTTAAATTAAATTAATTTTTTTATTTTAATAAAATTTCATACCTCAGAGTGCTTGAAATTTGAAAGTGGTAACCCAAGACGTGCAAGTGCGTATGAAGCGTAGTGCTACCACTTGTATTGATAAATTAATAAAATTGGCGTGGTTTAAAAAATTTATATAATATTCTTTATTAAAAATTCGGTTTTTATTAATACTTTTATAATAATAATAACAACTTAATAATATTTTATTGCACTAAAATTTATTTATTTAAATGATTATTGATAAATAAATTAATTAAGGCACATTGTTGATGAAAGTGATTAAATTTGAGTAATTAAATTTGTACATTTTTTAAAAATTAGCCTCTTACTTTATTTAAATAAATAAAAATTTCTAGAGAATATAATTGATCGCTTACACTATCTTATATTAATTAATTAATTAATTAATGATCCTTAGAGTTAAATAAAAATAGTAAGCAAAAAGTCATGCACATACAATTAACCATATATTAATATTTTAAATTAATCTCGGATATTACAATAATAATAAATGATAAATGCAATTAAATAGTAATTAAATAAAATAATTAATATAATATAATAAAATATCTTTGAGCGTTTTGTTCATGATTAAGTACAATCTACAGTAATAGTTTTAATGACTTATGACTATAGTGCACTTCCACCACCAGTCAGCAGCAGAAATAGTCTTGAGCCGATGCGATGACAGTCGCTTTCGTTTATGGTAATGATTTATCATTGATACCTGGTTCGAGGAGGCTCAGCTTCGCCGGCGGAGCGTTCATGTAAGTCTCGGTCCCGTGAACTTTTACACCGCAGGTCCACAAGCCCTCTTGCTCGGCCAACGCGTGGCTCAATCTTACGCTGCAGTCGCGACCTGCGGGGACTACTGGCTTGAATTGTTTTACTACCACTGTCGTGTTGGAATTAACCGGCGTTAATGACCATCTGCACTGTTCCACCTGGGATGAGGTCACACATCGCAAGTAAACGCTGCTGCCAGATGAAATTTGGATGTCTTGTAATAGTTCAGAAAATTCAACTTTTTCTATAAAAAAAATTTTTTTTAATTATATTAACAGTTTTTATAATAAAAAAATTATTATAAAAAATAAATTTTTAAAATTACGAGAGTAAATTTTTTTATAATAATTTTTTTGATAAAAAAATTTATTCAAGAAAATAATGAGCCAAAAATTATCTCTTGAATAAAATAAATTTATTTCTTGTTATTTTTGTAAATAAAATGTAATTATAACTAGCAACCTTGCAGTCACTGTGTGAACTATAAATTAATAAAATTTTGTTTTATTAAATAATGACTTTTTTTATAATTACACTGTACTTTCTTAAATATTGACATTTTTAAAGATATAAGCTCACTCTGACAATACATTCATCAAGACCTTTCATTTGAGTACCCACATCAATTTTTCATATATTTTATATATTTATATATATGATATATATGTATATATGAAAAATATATCAAAAATGCATGTGGGTACTCAAATGAAAGCTCTTGATGAGTGTAACGTCGAAATGAGCTTATATCTTTAAAAATATCAATAGTTAAGGAATGACCTTGTATCTTGCCGCCTAATGATATTTTAAAAGATATAAGCTCATCCCGATGTTACACTCATCAAGAGCTTTCATTTGAGTACTCACATGCATATTTGATATATTTTTCATATATACATATGTATCATATGTATAAATATATAAAATATATGAAAAAGTGATGTGGGTACTCAAATGAAAGGTCTCGATGAGTGTAACATCGAGATGAGCTTATATCTTTAAAAATGTCAATAGTTCACAAGATACAAGGTCATTTCTTAATTATGTATCTAGAGATAGAGCATTTTCGAATGCAGTCTAAATATTTTTCTTATCCTCTTAATAATATAGATTGTTAATAAAAATTACCTTGTTTGTAAACAATAACTTCAGCGTAGGGTGAAGAAAGAATGACATTATTAGGAGCGATGGCCTGGCAAGCCCAGTACCCTTGATCTTCCATTCGAATAGCATTGATATTAAGACTGCAATTAGTTCCCAGGCTCCCGTAACTGGGGAAAGAATCTTTAGCGACGACTTCACCGTCATCATTCAGTGACTTCCACAACCAAGTGCATTTTTCGACGCGGGTATTCGCGACGCACTTGAGCAGCTGATGGCTCGAGACCGCAACCGACATATTTTCCGGCGCTTCAGTGAAATTTATCTTTGCTGGAACGGAAAAATAGTAAGCCGGTCATTTACCTCGCCTCAATTAGAGGTTGTTTTATATTTTTTACCACAAAAAAAAAAAAATAAAAATGAAATAAAACAATTACCAGAAGGCAAAAGTGTGAGTTTAGCAGGAGCAGCCTCGTGAAGCCGCCCGTGGGGTGTTAATCTTACGGCACAAGTCCAAAGGCCCTCCTCCTCTTCTAGTACATTTTTAAATCTTACTGAACAGTCATGCTTGTTATCGTCATTTGGCACAAAATTTTTTATGACCATGGGCTCTTTACTGGAATTGAGGGGTTTCCAAGACCACTCGCATTGTACGACCGGTTTGTTCACCTGGCATCTGAGCAGGGCAGATTCCCCTAAGGCTGTCTGAATACCTCGCGAAAGCTGTATGAATTCCACTGGAATTTACGAGCAAATTCCATAAATAGCTCAAGTCTTGTCAAGTATTTTGAACACATCCCGATTATTTCATTTCGATCCCATACAATAACAAAAATATATAATAACAAATCAAGTTAATGTAAACCTACCTTCCGAGAGCAACAGCTTTATTGGTCTGTTCACCACGAAGCTGCTGGAGTTCTGAGCGCTGTCACTCAGAACCCCGCAGGTCCACAGTCCCTCGTGCTCCGGTAGCGCCGAAGGGATCTTTATGGTGCAGTCGGTGTTGTTTTCGCCGAAAGATGGGAACTTCTTCACTTCGATGTTCCAAAGTTCGGTCTGGTTCGCCAGCCGCCAGGACCACTGACATTCTGAAACCGGGCCCAAGGTTCGGCAGGGGATTTCGAACGGCGACAAAGGCGCTGCTTCGATTGCGTCATCCGACTCCAAAAATGTTATCGACTCTTCTGTAACTATTTTTATTTATTTTAAATTGCGTAATTAATTAATCAATGGTATCATTAATTAATTAATTAATTAATTAATTTCTAATGTCCTTGCAGTCAATATGTGACTGCCGTGACTTCCGAATTATAAATAAATAAAATTTTGCTGTATTGAATAATGATTTTGGTTAAATTGAACTGTACTTTATTAAATATTAACGTTTTTGAAAATATAAGCTCATCCTGATGTTACATTTATCAAGAGCTTTCATTTGAGTACCCACATGCATTTTTTATATATTTTTCATATATACATATATAAATATATGAAATATATGAAAAATTGATGTGGGTACTCAAATGAAAGGTCTCGATGAGTGTAATGTCGGGATGTGCTTATATCTTTAAAAATATCGATAGTTCACAAGATACAAGGTCATTTTTTAATTATCTAGAGATAGACTATTTTCAAATGCAACCTAAATACTTATCATAAAATTTTTCATAAAAAAAATAAGTAAAAATGAAATAAATACCAACCAGGTGTATGAGCGGCAATGCTCAATTTAGCGGGCAAAGTACTGACAAAAGAGGTATTAACGGTAGTGCGTGCAGCGCAGGTCCAATATCCAACTTGTTCATATTTGTAATTTGTAAATCTGACCGAACAGTCATTACTATTATTACCGAAAGCCGGAAATTGTTTAACAGGCAATGACTGAGTGTTGGCCGTTGTCGGCGGGGAAAAAACAGCTTCTGTCGAAACCTGTAGAATTTCACGAGTGGTCTCGTTGGAATTCGAAGGGTTGATGTCCGGAAGAGGTAGATTTACCGGTGGCAGAGGCTGCCAGGACCACTGGCAATCAACGACTGGATGGGCCGTTCGACATGCTAATAACACAGACGTTCCCAGTGCGGTCTCCGTGTGCTGAGGAACGTCCACAAAAACCACCGAACTCGCGCTGTTATTATCTTCATAATTATTAGCATCAAATTGAGAATCTGGAGAAAATTCGGGCCCCTCCGTGTCTAAGGTGACAACCGACGGTGTCGTGCTGCCGGGTAGCGATGCATTTGTTGAGGCTTCGCTCGCTCTTCCTACCGGCAGTAAACATTCCCTTTACAATATTTACAATGCAGTGCAATTAAAATTGGAGTAATTTTTTTTTTTTTTTATGCTAATAATCTTCCACAGGAAGTTTCTCGATGTCACGTAGGCCGCCGTATTTTATTGCAGCCTACATTTAATTACACTGTGCTTTACTTTCTATGTTATCCACCTAGTTATATGACCTATTGATATACAATTATTACAGTGCATTCATTCATAAATTTTTTATTTTTTAATTCATTAAAAAAAAAAATATAAAAATTAAGTTAGCCATTTCAAAATTTTTTTTTCTACTGAAAAAATGATTATAAAAAAATTAAAAAAAAATTGCACTTGTAGAAAACTTTAAAAACTGTAAATGCAATTTTTAAAAAATATTTTTTTTTGTTCTAATTTAATTATTAAAAAACAATCAAAAAATTATTAAAAAGTAATTTTCTTGGTTTAAAATTTTTTTTATTCGAGAATCAAGTTAATTTTTTTTTTTTTAAATATTTGTTAAAATTTTTTACGAATGATTTTTATTTTATCAAAAAACTGGATTTTGTATTATGATCCGGAATTGGTCGATTAATTTATAAACAGAAGATTTAAATGCATCCAATAAATTGAGGACTGGATTTTTTTTTCAAATACTTTAACTGGTTGTTGCACTACAAATATATATAATTTTTGTTATTTACATAAATCTCTAGGTCACGGTTTGTGATTGTAAAAGTTCGCTAACTTGTTTCTTGATTTATAGTACACGCTCGGGATTTATCGAGTGTCAATGCCATGGTACAGAGAATCTAGAATTTTTGAGCTTGTCTCAAGCGAAAGTGAATCATTTACTTTTTGTTTCTGTGAAGTAAACAATTACGTAATTTATTTATCAATTTTTTCCTATAAAAAAATATTTAATAGAAAAAAATTGCATTATTAATTTTTAGCGTAAATGCTTATTACACGTGTTGTAATTTGAGATAAAAAAAATAGATTTTAAATACTTGTCATAAAGAATGTGCAGAACTATGAATAATATTCATAAAAATTACTATCGTTTTTTATCGCTGTCCATTGTAAAATTTCTTGCAATATTACTTTTTTAAAATAACTTAAAACATTAAAGTAAATTATTTTTGACTTGGCTTCAATATTTTTATAGTAAAAAATAATTAACTGGATCGAAAGAATGAAAAGCGAGTTTTTGGTTATAAAAACTTGTATAATGATATATTTGTATTAGATTGCATAATAATTTATACAAAACTATTAAGTATAGATCAATTTAAAATTCCAAGTCTCTTCGAGAATGCACTAGCGTGCATCCTGTATTACGTAAAAAATAAATTAGTAGTTTTAACTCAAGTAACTTAATAACAATATAAATGCCCATTGTAACTTGGCATTGGAGGAATATTAAATATATATTTTTATTCAGTTCATTTGATCTTAAAAAAAGTTCCAAGTGATTCATAGTAATAATTATAATTACAATCATCAACCGTGAAATATCACTAGCGTAATTGAAAGATATTAGTGCGTCAAAATAAATGATACTTTAATTGAAACGGCTCGTTAAAATCCAAAATAAATAAGTAATGTTTACTTAAATAATGATTTATTCTATTCCGGGGATTGTGAGTGCGTCAATCCAAGAAAAATACCATCTTAACAATAAACATTTACGTACGTACTAAAACAATCGAGTCAATAAACACCTTTATGTAAATTTAAATTAACAAGTTGACAATTAAATCGTACGCACGATTATCCTACATAACAATTAAATAATAAAACAAATACAGGAGAAAAAAAGTTTGGAAAATCTAAAAGTGCACGCCTCATAATCTCATTTTTTAAAATAAAATTGATTAAAATAAAATATAAAAAGCAAAATAATAAAAAACAGAAAACACTGCTATGGTTTAGTGGCCCCATAACTGCAAGGTGAGGAAAAAAAATACTATAATAAAATGTATAGATAGAAATACAAAAAAATATATTAGTTTTTTATAAATAATAATTTAACGACAGTGAATTGAACGCTCATGTTAACTAAGAAATTCTGTCGTGTGTTACTTTAGATAATTAAAAAAAAATTATTCCGGTACGATCATTTTTTCGACCAATTTCCCTGCCACATACACCCATTCATACACGGACGTCCAAAAAAGATTATGTTTAATGTTATTATTTATTATGTTAAACAAAAAAATTGTTATTGAAATATATTTTATGTGCCTGAAAAATTATTTGACTTGACATAAGTGTACTCATTTTAACCTGTAAGTGCGATATAAATAACAAAAAATCAATTTCAGTTTCGAGAAAACTGCTTTTTTCGAAATGTCGAGAGTAGAGCACAACCTCAACGCTTCGCTTATGAGGCGTGCAAAAATAACAAAAAAAATCTGATGAAACATTACAAGTTATATCGTTATTGAAATAATTATCGACTTACCGTATGTCAAATGAATATTTATAATTATCAAAACGATAAAGAAATTTTTGAATAACATTTCCATTCGTTATCTTAATCTCAACTTGTGGTGATTAAGACCACGTGTAGCCGACACTTAGTCGTTTTCGATCGATGCCGGGTCGTAGAAGGTCATCCACACAGATTTTCATTCACTCGAATTATATTTTCGATTTTTTATGTGTTTATTATTAATAATTATTTTAAATTTTTATTTAAAAAACTTTTCACTAGTCATAATCATTTAAAAACGTCATTATTAAAATATTTGGTTAATAAGATGGCAAAATAATTTTTCACTGAAGACTTTTTACTTAAAAGTAAAATTCAACACCCTAAAACAGATAATTACCGAGCTTATTGTATCGTAAGAAACAACAAGTGTATTTAAAACAATGAGTTAGAACAAATGATCTCGGTTGCGCCGGTAAATAAAACGAAATCGTGCGGAACGTGTTCTGGCTGGTAATGGACTGTGAGTGAGTATATTTGCCGTCGTCCCAGGTCCCAGGTATCCGTTCTCCACTTCCTCTTCTCTACTACCTCTTTTGCTTCTTCTTCTTCTTCTTCTTCTTCTTCTTCTTACTCTTGGTTCTCTACTATTTTCCTTTAACGTCTTCTCCTCGCCTCACGTTTTGTTCATTCCTTTGTCTTTTCCTTACACTTGTATTTATTTCACCTTCAACCATCTCTTACTCGGCTTACATTACTCTGTATTGTTCTTGTACTGTCATTATCATTATTATTATTATTATTATTATTATTATTATGATCGGAAATATCGATATCGATAGGATGATGCATGTCGCGTGATAGTTAATCATATTTCAGTCTTTACACATCACTTCACACCTACTTTTTTTTTATCTAGTTATTTTTCAATAATTAATCACAATTGATTTTTATAAGTGTAATTTTTAAATTTTGAATTATTAAATTAATATTTATGTTTTTATTTAACTATAAATTATTTTTTTAAAGTCAATTTCTTTGTACTTGACATTGAAAATTATTTATGGCTATAAATAAAATTATAAATAATGTTTTAATAATTCAAAATGTCGAAATTCATCACATGTTAAATAATATATTAAATAATATCAAGCTTAATGCAAAAAAAAATTTATTAAATAAGATTATTTACAAGTTTTATATTCATGCATAAAAATATTTAAGTACATTAATTTTTTACTCTAAAAATTTTAATAATAATAATAAATTTTTAAAATTAAATTATTATTAAAATTTTTAGAGCAAAAATTTTTTAATAAATTTAAATATTAATTAATAAAATTTAAAATAAATATTAAAATATGCCAAAAAAATAATAATAATAAAGTTTTAAAAAAATAAAATCTATTAACAAAAATAAAAGCTTGGTTACGATAACGTTGTTGACGTGTTGGTTGTCTTGATAATCGCAAGGTAGCGTAAAGATATCGTCGGAATGGTTATAGATCCTCCAGAAAAGCTCAGTACGGGACTGCGCACTCTCATTCGTCCATCAGAGATAGCTAAGTACCTCAAACCTCAATACAGTAGACCTCAATCCTCAGTTTGAGCTCCTACTATCTCCATCTCCGTCTCGGTCTCGTTCTCCGTCTCTTGGTTGTCTGATTTAATTTGATTTCTTCCATGTAATGTACTACCGACTAGCATACACCATACAGCATGTACCATGTACCACGTATAGTACTTGTGGGGGGCTTGAGGAATTCGCTCGAGGTATTCGATCGGTATTCCGATCGTAATAGCCAGCCGGGAGATATATCCGCGGCGATTCTGGTGGATCTAAGCTATTTTCTTCTTTCTTTCATTCGGGTTCAATATCTCTCTCTCTCTCTTTTATATTTTTTCCCAGTCTCTCCCTCTCTCAATCTGCAATTAACATTTTTTTTACCTCAACTTTAATTAATTCATTGATTAACTCATTCATAAATAAATACACAATAATTATCATCAAAAATACTTTTTGATACTGTTTTGATTGGATTTTTTATTTCTTCCGGGAGTTTGATTTATTATTTGTATATATATATATATATATATATATATATAATATATCGCAGGTACTTTATTTAGGTACGACGGGTTGCATTCCAAGTTATGTGTGACTCATTCGACGGTAATTCCACCATCTCATCCTTGTTGTGTTCCGTAAGCCGTTTAATTTTTTTGCCGAGTATATTTATGTAATAAAAAATATTTTTTACCCACATTTAAGTAAATAAATTTATTTTTGTCAACGCAATACGTCTGATTTGACATTGTCGGTCTTATAATGTCATTGATAATTATCAATTAAAATTGGTCATTGATTTATCCGATTCCGGCGGCCTTATCCTTACTATATAATATCCGCAACCTCAACATCCAATAATATTTCTTTTGGTAATCATAATCACAATTAAAATCATAATTACAATCTAAACTACTATTATTATAATTATTATTGATCATTAACCATAGTATAATGTTTAGTTTTACGAAGGGTATATGTTGAAAGCGTTTTTGTTTAAATATTCGTAGCACGGTATAATGCGCGTTCGTTAAAATGACAAGGACGTTTAATACTCACTCGTTTAGATTACATTTTACGTTGGAACATTTTTTTTTAACCTTGTTACTCCTTGAACTGTAAATTTTTGATTTATTCTCCTTTCATTATCATTATTATTATTATTATTATTATTATTATTATGCCAAAAAAACAATAACAGTCAATAATAATAAGCAAATTTACAATCTGAGTAAATACTTCATTTTTTACCGAAAAATCGGTCATTTTATAATTAATTAATAAGTAGATAAAAATTTTTTTTCCTCGGAAAAAAACAACGGAAAATTTTTATAATTATTGCCACTCGTCATTTTTATTACTGTCATTATTATTACACAATATATTGTTAAATCTCATCATCATTCTTGTATACGGATGTTGATTGTAATTACCGGCAAAATCGATAACGATTTGTTTTCATTACTTCGATTCCGTCTATCGCGATAATAATTTATCCTTGCGAAAAATAGTTTCGTTGGTGATCGGTGACATCTATGACATCGTCGAAGGTTCTTTATATTTAATATTAATAAAATATATCAACGATAGATCGATACTCATTTGTAATTAATTATTAATTATAAAACTTCAAGGCGGGCATGTTTAAATTACATTAAAAAAAAAATCAATAGATTATTTTAAAACAAATATTTATACTTCCGTAAAATTATGTATCGGTACACCAGGTACCAAGTACTAATATCGATCGTCTGTATATTTGTTAAAATTAAATAGGTTATTATTATTAGATATTTAAATTTATGTGAACAAAGAAAATGTCGAGTTGTTTAAATATAAATATCGAGATAATTGATGAGCTGGCGAACGAAATGAATCACTTTGTGAGAAATTGAAAAAATATGCCGGCTATTGACAATAAATTATTGCTTTATGATGATAATAATAACAGTACTAGTCAGTACAATGATAATTTAATTAAATATACACTTTCTAAGATCGGGATGATATCGGTATTTTTATCGGCTGACTCACTGATTTTTAATGAGTAAATCGGCTATGACCTTATCTTAGAAATATTTTAATACTATATTTATTTTCTTAAAGAGTATTTTTTTTTCTTTCATACAAAAATGCTAATTTTATTTGAATTTATCGGGAGGAAAAAAATTTAGCAGGAAGTTAGAGTTTTGTAATACAGATGGCGGGAGTAGTTATTTATTCTCGCAAGTGGAAAGGTACCGACGGAGTATAAGTAGTTTGTTTACATCGTGAGTAATTTTGTAGCTCTTAAATTAAACAATATTAGAATAGGTAATTGTAATTATTAATTAATAATGATTGACGCGTTAATTTCAAAAGAATTTTTGCATCTGACACAAAAGGGAGAGTTACAAAAATTAAAAAACTTTGTTGAGGAGCATAAAATTACTGATTGGACGGTATTCCGGCATGAAGTTTCGGGAGATACAGCTTTGCACGTATCAGCGCGGGAAGGAAATTTGGAAATTGTTCAATTTTTGTGCAATGGCTTTTTGAAACCAGAATTTAAGACAGATGTCGCTAATAAAGACATGAAGCGGCCATTGCATGAAGCCGCGCAGTTTGCAAGACCAAAAATTATTGAGTTTTTACTTTCTCAAGGTAAGTATTTTAATTTTTGAGTTTTTGATCATTAAAAAGGGCACTTTGTTAAAAAGTTATAGTATTTTCTTTAGGAGCGACAGTAGATGCATTAAAACGCGCTGATTGGACGCCTCTGATGTTAGGTTGTGCCAAAAATACTCCAGAAGCTTTTAATTCTGCGGAAATTTTGATAAAAAATGGTGCTAATTTGGAACTGCGGAACAAAGATGGCTGGAATTGTTTGCACATAGCTTGTCGCTCGGGTAACATCGATATCATCCAGTTAATATTGTCTAAAATTAAGCCTTTGGTCGATTCTTGTAGTAAAAATGGACGGACTGCTTTGCATATTGCTGGTATGTCGATTTTAATTTTTCGAATTAATTTTATCTCAAAATGTTTAGAATTTTTTCATTGAAAAAAAATTTAATATGCAGAAAATTTTAAAAAATTCTAAATGCAATTTTTTAAAAATATTTTTTCTTAATTAAAAAATTAAAAAATTAAAAAATTGTCGAATTATAACTAATAACTTTATCATCTAATTCCTAATTTATATATTTTGATAGCATTTCACGGATTTTCTGAAGCTGTAGAGATATTAGCAGCAACTTCAAAAGACTTGCTAAACAAACCAGACTATTCTGGGCTTTTACCGCTTCATGAATCTGTAAAAAATAAAAATTTTGAAGTTTTCAATCGTTTACTCCAATTAGGCTGCGATATTAACTCAAAAGACTCAATCGGCCAAACTGCGCTTCACATCGCAGCTTCTATTGGAAATATACCCGTTATCGAGCACATATTGCAAAACAATCTCATAGACATAGACCGACAAGATGGCTTCCAAACAACGCCACTAACGGCGGCCGAGCGCAACAAAATGGAAGACGCTGTAAACTGTTTAAAAAAATACATGAAACAATGTAATGATTAGATGTGATAATAATGAAATGTAATAATAAATTATAAATAAATTTTATTTTTTTTATTATTTTTGTTTACTCGTAAGTCGATAGATATACAATAATTATTTGGGCATTTTTAGTTATTTTTTATTTCATCGCATCATTTATATTTACATTCCTATTATGTCAAGACTTAAATTTTAATTCTACACATTTTTGTGTGTTTATATAATATGTATTGTTTATACATAAATTAATATATATACCTATTTAAATATGTATATATATTTATTTATATATATATATATATATGTAAATGTGTCGTCACATTAATTGTTTTATAATGGTCAATTAATTAAACTAATCTTTTTACTTCTTCCTCTCACTTAATAAGTATCTCACATTTATGTAATATTATTAATTAATTAATTATTTTATTTATTTATTTATTTTATTAATCATCCATTAATTACGCATCCTCATCTCTGATTTACATTTAAAAGTATTCAACATGTACAAAGCATTATTTACATTATATACAATGTCGGAAATAAATTCTCCAAGGATAACGGGGAATAAGTAACTACAGTAATTATAGTGAGTAATAATAATTAATAATTATAATATTAATAATAATAATAACATAAAACGTATCAACGTTTGACGGTTTACATTTTTTTTTTTTTCGTCATTCATACAAAAAAGCGTTCATTCTTTTATCTCTCATTAAACAGAAAAATTTCTGCTTTTTTTTTAATTCTCACTTTTTTATTCACAAAATAAATTTTGTCTTTGCTTTAAAAATTTTTTTTGTTAAAATTTAACATTTATTTTGTTAAATTAACACAAAAAAGTGTTAAATATTTAACATAAAAATTTTTTTTGACGCAAAATTTTTTTGCAGAGTCCGAATTTTTTTTGTAAACTTGAAAATTTTCTACTTTTGCGTGCAAAGATGGGTCAATTTGTGATTAAGGATTTATACACAAACTATTACTATTACAATCTAATCAATTTTAAAGATTTTATTACGCTAATTTTTAATTTTTCGCTTTCATTATCTTTTATTTTGTTTTAACAGTAAATTACTGTTTAATTGAGAAATAAACGTCGAGTTTATTATAAAAAAAAAAAAAAATAATAATTTATCAATAAAATAAAAATCTCAAAATCGGCAGTTTGTTCTTCCTCGACATTTTGCAAAACTAAATATTGCAACTAAAAATAAAATAAATTTTGAAAAAAGAAAATAATAACAAAAAATAACTAATGAATTAATTAATGCCTAGTACAAAATAAAAATAAATAGAGCACGTAAGTCTAATCTATTATATATGAGACGCGAATAAGATATTAATCTATCTACTTAAAAAATATAGTAAAAAACAGTGACTAAGTTTTTCGCCATTTTTCTATCGGCGATTTTAAAATCACGCTATCTAATTATATTAATAAATAATAATAATAGTGATCAGAATTGATTATTATTTTTCCTGGTTTTTTAAACTTATTTCCTCTCATTTTGTTCACTCGTTCATTATCAGTACAATTCAAACCAATATTTATATTTATATAATATCAATATCAATTATCAATATTGTATACTATATTGTATAATATATAATATATAATTCTACATATATTTATAAAAATAACATTTGTGACGAATAACGCAACGTTTCAAATATTATATCAATTTACAATTAGTGAGATTACGGGAAAGAGGGCGAAGAATTTATTAATCATGGTCGTTAATTATTAGTCATTACTCATTACAATTTTTAAAACTCTCATTACTCATAAATTATTTCTAATTCATCAGGAAATTTTATTTTCTTTTTATTACACTAGTGAGGGTACTAAAAAAAATGAAAAAAAAAAAAATTAACTAAATAAATATTTTGACTTTTAATTAAAAAAAAAATTAATTAAAAAGTAATTTAATAGAAATAATTAATAATCTTAGTCCTCTTAGTTATCGTCACCCACATAGATATGTATTGTAAAATTATTAAATTTATAAACCTCTACTTACTCCGAGTACGTATGTAATTATTTACAAAACTATAAATACAATTATACAATTTTCCTTCTAAAATTAACCGACCATGTTACAATTATAATAATAAAATACATTTAATGTCTTTATCAAACGTCGCGTTGTCCACCGCCTTTCCGATAATTCTCGCGCACTGTCCTCACTCATTACCATTATCAATATCAATAATAATAGTTATTATTTATTATCCTCAGTTAATAATTGATTAATTGTATTAATTAAAGAAAATGCCTCACTTCACTTAATATTCCTCCGTCTCAACTAAGCAGTCATTCCTGCAGATTTCGGCCTGCGAAAAATTAATAAAAATAACTAAAACCTCCGAAAATAATTAAATCACTTTATACTTTTTTTTTTTTAATCATTTATCATACTTTATATTATTAATAATAACTATTTATTTATTTATTACTTTATTATTTTGTTTTCTTAAGAACGGCGACTGATTATTGAGCCTGGACTAACGCGGTAACGTTATTGCCCGAGGTAGGACGTCCTCAAAGTCTATATTATTATTTTATTAAATATAATTATTATGTCTTTTATATTTAAATATCGCGTTACTGATGATATTTTTTTAACTATTTTCAAAGACGGATTTTTTATTATTTCAATTAAAAATTTAATTAAATTTTTTTTTATTTTAATTTAATTTTTCGGTAATTATTTACAAGTGGAGTCAATCCCATTTTTGGCCATAAGGTAAAAAATTAACATTTTCAATTTTTTTTTGATTCTGCATTTTTTTACGGCGCATTTATGATAAAAAATGTTGTGAAAAAAAAATGAAGATTTCGAAAACTTTTTTGCCTTTAAAAATTAAAAAAAATTTTAGCTCTCATGTTTTTGGATAAAATTTCTATTTTATCTTTTTTTGATCAATTTTTTTCTTTGAAAAATACATAAAAAAAAGTCGAATATCACATTTTTTTTAATTTATTAAAATTGTGATAAATTAACTTTTTTTTTTTTTTTAGCTCTCATGTTTTTGGATAAAATTTCTATTTTATCTTTTTTTGATCAATTTTTTTCTTTGAAAAATACATAAAAAAAAGTCGAATATCACATTTTTTTTTAATTTATTAAAATTGTGATAATTAACTTTTTTTTTTTTAATTGTTCATTTTTTTATGTATTTAACAAAAAAAAATCCATAAAATTAAATAAAAATTTTGTTCAAAAAAAAAATAAGACCCCACTTGTAAATATTTACCAATTTTTTTATAATTTTTCTAAAAAAAAAATTTTTTTAATTCCATTTAAAAAAATAAAAAAAAAAATTTTTTACTAACATTGAAAATAATTTTCAATTAAATTTTTTTTTTTATCAGTAAATAAAAAAAAAGATCCTTATCTTTGATAGAATTTTAGCATCAGTAACGGACTAATTAATATACATTGATATCAATTACTATTTATACCGATTGATTGATTAAAAAATTAAATATCGTAATGACGTAACACAGATTGATTGATGACCTATTAACACTCGCTATAAGAGGGCGGAGGGACCCCGCGACCGGTGTACATGTCCGTCTGAGGTTGAAGATGACAAACAACCGTATGTCCATCAAGGACGGCGACGGTCCTGGTGTGGTCGGGCTGGGACATCCCGTAGGTGTTTGACTGGAGGCGATTGTTGATCTCGCCGAGCTCGTACTTGGCCTGCTGGCGCCGGAGCTTCTCCCAGCAGGCGTTTAGAGTCCGCTCTTGAGCCGGGCTGTACTGGGAGGGCTCGTACTGCAGGAGGTTGTTCCGGTCCATTGACTGTCCGTAGTGGACAAAGTTCCGGTCGTTCGCGGGTGAATAAGGGATGAGCGGCCGGTGGTCACCGTAGCTGCGTGAAGATTGCCGGCTCATGTCGCTCTGGCGACGGCCGTCCTCGTCGGACATGTCCGAGACCTGGATCTCCCCGACGACGCCGCTCCCGTTTCGCTCTATCTCCTCGTAGACGGGGTCGTCCTCGCCCACCAGCCCGCGGGACAGGTGGACGTGAGTGTGGTTCGTGTGGTACCCCGTTCCCGGGCGACTTCCGTCCCGGATCTCCGTGTAAGTGTGGTTGTACGGAGAGGCTGCTCGGCGACCTATGCCCCCGGCTACTCCCGCGATGCTCGATGATCGGTTGTTGATGTCCAGGTTGGTGATGTCCGTCATCAGTTGCCTGCTGCTGCCCCGAGTTCGTCCTGTGTGTCCGCCGAGGGTCATTGTGTTGTGGGTACGCGGGGATTCCTCTTGCTCGGAACCGCCGTGTCCGGAGTCACGGGAATACGACTTAAAAGAAATGTTCTGTGGAATTAAATTTATTGTTTAGTTTTTTGGTTTTTTTTTTGGATTTTTTTTTTTTTTAGGGAATTTTGTTTTGAAACTTTTATGAATTTTTTTTTTTATTAAAATTATTTCCTTTATTAATTCAAAAGAAAATTAATTAAATTGAGATTTAAAAAAATTTTTTATTAATTTTATAAATAATATTGATATTAATTTATTATATTTATAAAAAAAATAAACTTGATTATAAAAAATAAAGAAAAATTGTAAATTAAGTAAAATTTATTAAAATTTTCATTTGAAAATTTTTATTTTAACTTTAGAGCAAATTTTTTAATCAAATTAATTTTTTTTTCTATATATATATAAAAAAAAACATTAAAAATTTTACTTTTAATCAATTTTTCCATAAAAATCTAAAAAAAAAATCTAATTTTATTGTTATTAAAATTATTTCTTTTAATTTAAAAGAAAATAATTTTACTATGTAATTAAATTGCAAATTAAAACTATTTCTTTTGATGAATTTTATAAATAATATTGATATTAATTTATTACTCTAGTAATATATTAACTTTATTATAGGAAAAAAAAAATATTGAATCAAGTAAAATTTATTAATTTTTTCAGTTAAAAAATTTTTTATCTTGACTTTAGATCAAATTCTTTAATCAAGTTTATTTTTTTAATATATAAAAAAATCATTAAAAATTTTACTTTTAATTAGTTTATCTATAAAAATGTAATTATTAATATTTTCAAACAAAAAAACATTAATTAAAAATTTGAATTCCAAAAAAAGTTAGTTCCATTCAATATATATTAAAATAAAATTAATTAAATCTGAAAACATGAAAACTCAACAAAACACTCGGTGTCGAGAAAGTTGTTAATTAAAAAACCAAAAAAAGTTTTAGTAATTCGAGTGAAAGCTCGACAAAATTATTAAATTACTGAACCAAAAACGCGATCTGTTAAAATAACTCACAAAAGTTTCATATATATTATATTTCAATAGAATAATAACGTATATAAATAAAAATACCTAGTCAAAGTCAAAACATAAACAAAATAAGTAAGCGTTAAAGTTGTGGGTGCAGAAAGCAGATACTAATACTGAGTAATTAGTAATTAGCAATTAATAGTTAATTATCGTTAATTAGCAGGCGAGAGAAGCCAGTAAGAAAAAGAAATTTCTGTGCACCAGTATTAAATAAAGTAATTGTTGGTAATTGGTATGCGATATGCGATTTGCGATTAGTTACCTTCCACATGAGGTTTTTGTTAATAGGGCCCCAAGTGGCGGTGGCAGATTTTGGGATATTAGGAGCTGACGGAAAAAATGCGTGACGAGTGTGCGGCAAAGTAGCGACTGCGGATGCATCTGTAGATGCGGTCTCGCGAGTTACTGGTGCCACCGGTGCCGCTGGTTGTCTATCGTTGTTTGGCCAGCCTCGCCCTGACATCAAGTACTGTAAAGCAATCGTCTGTCGTTCTCAATCTCTGTCTACTCAACCATCCCTTTTTTTATTTTTTCACGGTAATTTTTCATTCTAACAGAACCATCACCCTCCAAGTCGAGAAATAATTAGTACATTTTAAGTAAAAACAAAAAAAAAGGACAGACCAGATAGATAATAATATTAAATAAAGATATATAATAGCGTCGATAAAATTTGGTTGTATGTAACATGTTCTGTTTCTGTTTCTGTTGTTGGAACTGAGTTGTTGCTACTGTTGTTTACTACCGCTGTTCAACTTAACTACATTATTATGCAATTAATTAAACTCGGTCTTTACTTGGTATTGTATGGTGTTGTAGTCGTTTATATTAATCAGCAGAAATAGTTGTCGAGTCGTGGATCCGACAGATCTAGGCTACAGCCTGTACTGCTACAGTACTGCTTCTATGTATCGCATATCAACGAGGCGAGTTGGCCTACCGTCATTTGGATCGATGTATGTGAAGTATGTTATATATATTTATACACCTACTTCTATGTAGATGGATAAATTTATAAATATATATGAAATGCATGCGCTAGCCAGTGTAAGCCAAGTGTTAAGTACTAATTTATTATCTATGTTTTTTTAGCCGACAAAAAAAGCTTAAATATTTTACCTCTAATTTTTATTTATTCATTTTTTTTTTTTAATTTATATTTATATTAAAAAATTTTATTAATTTTTTTATTAAAAAAATTTTTTTTATTGAGAAATTTTAATAATTTTTTTTTATTGAAATTTTGAATATTTTTTTTTTATTGAAAAATTCTATTGAATTTTTTATTAAAAAAATATTATTGCAGTAAAAATTTAAAATAAATATAAATATAATATAATTAAAATAAAAATAAATAAATTTTTTTTATCGGCTAATTAATAAAGTAATATATTGTGCTAATGTATACCATACGAATCTTTCGAACTAACAAAATAAAAAAAAAATTATTCCGAATAACAAATAAATAAATTTAAATATTAATAGTAGTATAAGTATACAGTATATAGTATAAAGTATGTGAACAATTTTTCAACAGTTCGCCGAATTGCGTACGAATTGCACACAGTGTACAACAAAGTAACCGTGACACCGCGTACACCAAACCCCCGTTGGGCGCAATCACGGAAAAACCAATATCATGTGTTAGTAGAGGTCTTTATACATTTTTCATTTGTGGCTTAAAAAATAATAATAATTATGATATGATAATAAAAATAAAAATAATAGTGATGATAATATAATTGAAATGAAATGTGACTGTGTGTGTCCGCTTTCCCAGCGTTTTTTAGTTTAAGTTATGGTTTAATTTCAACTTTTAAATATAGTGCGTAAGTTTGTATTTACAAAGCGGTAGTGAGAGATGGCAAATAAATATATACGATGGATGGATTATTATTATTATAGATAATTACATGCATGTACTACTGAAATAATAATTAGTTTTAAGAGTAACGAGTTGCCTCATTTATCTTTTTTCTTACGTTTAATAATAATAATAATTATGTGACTTTTTTTGACTAAATATATTATCAGTGATTTTTTTACTTATTAATTCTTAAATATTTATTTTTTTTGCAGTCTCTCATTATTTTATTTACTTTTTTTTTTTATTATTTGTACGTCGGCGAAGTTTTAATAAATATTTTTAGGAATACTAAAATTATTTATTTATTTATTATAAATAAATATTTTTAACAGTAATAAAATTAGCAAACATTTAATAATTTTTTTTTTAAATTAATTAAAAAAATGTCTTAATTTTATTTTAAATTTTGACAAAAAAAAAATTAATTAAAATTTTTTTAGCGTACAAATAATAAAAAAATTAATGAAAAAACCCGTAATTTCTAAAATTTACTCAATTTTTATATGATCTATATACAAAATAAAATTTTGAAATAAAAAATTTAATAAAATGCATGGGAGTTGTTGCTTTTAAATCGATGATAAAAAAATGATTGATGGCTCGAGTAAAAAAAACTAAAAAAAGTAATCTAATAATTGTAAAATCTAATTGAAAATAAAAAACAGGTTATTAAATAATAAATAATGATAAACTATGCGAAAGTGAAGCGAGAGACCTCGAACGGGTTTCCTGGTTTGGTGTATAAGCGGCTTATGGATACCTTGCTGGCCAGGATGCCTATTGTGGTTGCTAGGTGCCATCATGTGCATCTGGTGTGCCCCGTTTGGCGATCTCACAGATAAATTGTTCAGGTTGACATTTATCGAAAGATTCGTATTGTTGTTTGGTGACGTTGCTGTCAGTAGATTGTTGTTGTTGTTATTTGGGTGATTGTTTGCCGTAGTACCCACATTTGATGCCGCATGCGGCGATAATCCAGAGCTATCAGTCGTCGGGGCCGACGGGTTCGAGGATGTGTTGTGGGATGAAAAGTCCTTGCCTCCGTTTACTCCCGCTGCTCCTACGCTCGTTCCCGAAGACCCGCCACCGGAACTTCCTGTTACTGTCTTTGAACAGCGAAGACACTTTGGCAGCCACGAGTGTCTTCTTATGAATTTTCTGTACTCCTTACGCACCTAGTCAACCGCGACAACAAAACAATACTCGTTTTTAAGGTGCAATTAACAAAATAAAGCTGCGGTGTTTTCAAAATTTTTTTAAATTATTTTAAACCAAGCGTTATTTATTTTTAAATAAAATATATCTCGCCATTAATTTCAATAAATTTTATTATTATTAGCGACCTTGCAGTCACTATATAACTGCCGTGACTTGTGAACTATAAATAAATAGAATTTTACTTTATTAAATAATGAATTTTGATAAATTGCATTGTAGTTTCTTAACAATTGAAGTTTTTAAGGATATAAGCTCATCCCGATGTTACACTCATCAAGAGCTTTCATTTGAGTACCCACATGCATTTTTCATATATTTGTCATATATACATATATATAATATATATAAATATATGAAATATATGAAAAATTCATGTGGGTACTCAAATGAAAGGTCTCGATGAATGTAATATCAGGGTGAGCTTATATCGTTAAAAATGTCAATAGTTCACAGTATCTTTGTTAAATTGCACTGTACTTTCTTAACTATTGACTTTTTTGAAGATATAAGCTCATCCCGATGTTACACTCATCAAGAGCTTTCATTTGAGTACCCACATGCATTTTTGATATATTTTTCATATATACATATATAAAATATATATAAATATATGAAAAATTGATGTAGGTACTCAAATGAAAGGTCTCGATGAGTGTAACATCGGAATGAGCTTATATCTTTGAAAATGTCAATAGTTCTCAAGATACAAGGTCATTTCTTAATTATGTATCTGGAGATGGAGAAAAAAACCGATTTTATCATATGACTATCCTGGACACAAAATTTTTCTTATTTTCTTAATAATATAGAATATAACAAATAATTTTATTGAAATTAATGAAAAAAAGAAAATAAAAATTTAGTTACTAAATTGTGAATTGTAAAAAATAAAAATAAAACGCGTGCTAATTTAAAGAAAATGCCACTACAAGGACATAAGGTTTTAAATAAGTAATTGATTATTAATAATTGGCTTATATTTTATTTGACAATTTTTATAAATAAGACTGAGTTTAAATTTACTTATAATAATTATATAATTAATAATAATATTTGTTTTATCGTTAGTGATGATGATCGATGAATTTAAAATCGATGTACGATTGTCTTATCAATAAATTTAATTTAAAATAATTATTTTATTTGCATTTTATTATTTAAAATGACTAGATTAATGTAGGCGATAGAGTTCCTGTTAATTCCCTTACCTTCTCATTTTGAATGCAATGAAAGACAAATATAAACATTCCTTGCAGACTGTTTAGCGCCGTGAATAAGTACGCCATTATTACGGTTTCTTGGTTTAAATAGAGCAATCCGAAGGTCCAGGTTAATCCTAGTAAGAATACTAGCATGATAGCGCCTCTCAGCCATGCCCTAAATTCGGAGTAAACACAAATTTAACATTTATAAAATTGTTTTAGAAATTTAACTCTATATTACATTTATTTTTACTCTACAAGATATATATTTATGATATAAATAACTGTTAATTGTAAATTGTTCAATACGAGCGGTATTATTTAATAAATGACGAGATTATAATTTTAATTAATATTTGTAATTAAATATTATTGCAATTCATAAATACAGTGTATGTAATTATTAAAATTTTATTTCATCTCGTCATTTTATAATTAATTTATGCTAATTATCGTGCTCCAATTATTAATTAGGCTGTAGAAGTGCCAGACAGTTAAATAGTCGGATAGTAAAAATTATTTCACTTTAATTAATAGTAATTTTATTAATCAATTTTATTATTAAAATAATTTAATAAAAAAAAATTATTTTTAATTATTAATTTTATTTTTTAGCGTGCGATTTTTTAATTAAAAAATTACGTCATGCATTTGTTAGTGTATTAGTGTGGAAAATTTTTTTTTCAATTGATATAAATATACATTTGATATTTCAATTTTTTTTTTTTGACCCTTTTATTTTTAAAGTCGATATTTTTAAGAACGGAAGAGGATTTTTTTTTTATCAAACGGAAGTTTAAATATTTAAAAATTTTCTAAAATAAAACATGTTCTGCAGAACTTAAATATCGATTTTTTAAAATAAATTTAAATTTAAAAAATAAATTTCTAAAGCTCTAAATAATTGTTTTATAAATAAATTTAATTGCTAATAAATGAAAATTGACAGGAATTTAAAATTAAATTATCGATTTATGTATATCTATATTAAAGATAAAACGGTTATAAATTAGCATTGCATACACAAACTACCGATTTGAATAAATGAAAATAAAAATAAATAATCAATACTTTAATTTAACTTGTTGTTTATTGTGATAGTCTGTAGTTAAATAAAGTCAGGGTAGACAGAAATAAAAAAATAAGAATAAGAATAATTAAATAAATTAATGATAATAATAATAAAAATGGTAAATATCTTACAAGTGCGCTTGCAATTTGTTGGGAAGAGCATTCTCTTCCTTTCCACTACCAACCAACCAACCAACCACGCCATGCAGAGGAATGTAGAAGAGTGTAGACAGAAGTGGGTAGAAGATTTTTTGTTTTTGTTTTTTATTTTTTGTTTAATAAACAAAATGAAAAAAGAGAGCAAAAGTTAAATGATTATCCCGGCACCAGACTAATCAAATCAATTTATTATTTATACTAATTACTAAGTACTCGATTCAAATTATTTTTATTATTCTTCAAGCTTCCTTCAAGTATTTTTTATTTAATTATTTTTTAATAAAATAATTACATTTTTTATAAAAAAAATTAAATTTATCCTTGTATGATTTTTAGTAATAAAATAATTTAATATTGTGCAATATAAAGTTATTTTTTCCACTAAAATAATAATTTAAAATACAGATAAATTTAAATCATTGGTTAGTACAAAAATAAATTTATCCATCCTCGAAAATATAAACTAAATATATAAAAGCCGGTACCGCTGGAAGCTATGAATACTTTACCCCTTACATTCATTGATTAATTAAATTTAAATTTGGACAAAAAAATTGTATCGGGTTTTAAATTAACAAATAATTTAAATCGAGCTTCATACAAATTAATACCATAACCAAATTATTATTATTATTTATTTTTAATAACTCCTATTTTAAATATAAGTAACTAATTTATCGGTTTATTTAAATCGTAATTTATCGAAAAAATATAAATAATAATTTTATCTGAAACAATTCAACTAGTTTTATTAATTGACAGTTTATTTAATTTCTTTTTTATTTTTAGCCTCGAAAATATTAAATTTAAATCTTTTAACAGACTAATAATTGTTTTTAATTTCACCCCGAAAAAAACGCTATCAATAATTACTGTGTACTGTGTAAAATAAATTTGCCAACATTCCAACTAAAAAAACAGTTAAATAATAAAAAAAAAAAAAAATATTTAATTAAAAGAAAAAAATTGCTAAATAATAAATAAAAAATAAATGTGTTCAACCTACAGCAGCCTACACCAATTAGTTATTATTAACTCTAATTGTAAAGCAAAAATAAACACTTGGTCAAACAAAACGTTAAGATAATTAAATAATAATAAGTAAATAATAATAATTGTTTTAAACTATCGTATTAATTATTAGTGAAATACTTAAAAAAACAAATGGATATTGTATGATATTAGCGCAATAGTGCAATTAAAAATGAATGCTTACCTAGCACTCGCGAGTCGTGAGTGTTCTTTGCTTTTCATAGATACCGCGGTGTTTGCGTGTCGACACATCATATATATCGCCATCGACAGGAACACAACGTTTGCCTGTGGGTAAACAAAATAAATTATTTATAGCAACAATCGAAAACGCGTCATTATTCATCGTCGTTAAATAAAATATTTGACATGTAACTCAACAGTGTGTGTAATTTTAGGTAATAATTGCTAAATGTCGGAGTTGCATTAAACAATTGTCTTACCAGTATAACGAGTATGACGGGTCCCACGAAGCTGAAGATGAAGTAGTTGTCTGCCCTAAGCCAGCAGTATCGATCTGTTCCATAACTCAGAGGATCTATTATGCAAGAAATTGCAACAACTAGCAATGGACCGCCGTATGCTATTAAGTAGTACCAGCGTAGGCGGGATTTTTCAGCTTCAAACACTTCTATTAGCATTACATACAATTGAAAACCTACGGAGAAAATAATTAACGTTTGTTAGGTTACTCAGAATATCACGGGGTTAAGTTAGATATGTCTAGAGTAATTACGAGAAAAATAGTAGTCCGATACAAAAAAAAATTAATTAATTAGTTGAAAAAATTAATTTAAAAATTAGTTAAAAAAACTCTAATCTAAAAATAATATTATTTTTATAATAAATTTATTTTGTAATAAAAAATTTCTCTTAGATTTTTTTCATTCGGACCAAAAAAAGCCGTAATTATAAAATTTTTCGTAGATAAAAAAAAAATTGACTTGAATCAAGACGAAAATTTCTTCAAGTAAAATTTATTTAAACAAAGAAAAATTTCTTAGTTTAAGAATTTTTTTACTCAAATCAAGAAAATTGAGTTCTTCAAAATTATTGACTTTATTTGAGTCAATTTTTTTTTTTGTAGAGTTAAAAAAAATTTGAATCATTTAATTATAAATCTTTATTTTGAAATTACAGTGAAAATATTGATCATACAAAAAAGTCATAAGATATTTTTTTTTATAAAATTCAATTTTCTAAAACTTTTAAAAAAATCTTGACCTCAGTAATTATTTTCTATTTTTTAGCATACTTTTATTGATTTGACCGGTTTTTATCTATTAAAAAAAATTAATTTTATTAAAAAAAAATTTTTTTAATTTTACTTGAAAAAATAAGATATTTATTAAACAGTTTTTAAATAAAATAGATTTTTTCATTTATTAAAAATATTTTTATACTTTTAATTAAACTGTATTTATTAATTTAGCAAGCCACAATTTCTCTGAAGTATATAAAGTATATAACTAAGCTAAAAAGTTTAAACAACTCAATGATAAAAATAATAATGATAAAAAAAATCTTACCTTCGAGGAACATCCAGGCGAAAGCACAAAGAAAGAAGAAATGTAGGAGACCAGCGACAACGCCGCAGACAATTCTTTGGTCGGTTTGTCCGATCCCGCAAACAAATAATACTTCTGCGATAAGTAGACAGACACAAAGATTCTTATGAATGGTTGTCCGGTCCGACTGAAATGCATTGAAAAGTTGTTATGAAACTTTTGAAAGGTGAGTTACGTCGGGTATCCACATTATATTATCATAATAAAATAATGACAATAATGCGATAATAGTCTGCCGTCTAAGCAACTCATTGTTTTATAAGTATAAGTATAAGTACGTGACATTATATACCTTGAGTCCGCGAAACAGCTGAAATGTCATGATAGTGAGAACGAGACAGACGACCGAGATGATGCATCCGACGTAGGTGACGATTTGCAACGCGACTTGGTGCGTCATGTCCAGCTTAACCGCGTGGACGTCCATCAGGACCGCGAAGTTTGTCAGATGATTGCACTCGCAGACGGTATGAGTCTCGTTGCTTCTTGTAGTGCGACAGCCTTGCTCCGACCAAACGCTGTAATTAATTTTATATTTAGTAAATGTAATAATAACTAGCAACCTTGCAGTCACTATGTATATTATATTAATAAAATTTTGCTTTATTAAATAAAGACTTTTGTTAAATTGCACTGTATATATATGTATAAATATATGAAATATATGAAAAATTGATGTGGGTACTCAAATGAAAGGCCTCGATGAGTATAACGTCAGGATGAGCTTATATCTTTAAAAATGTCAATAGTTCAGAAGATACAAGGTCTTTTCTTAATTATGTATCTAGAGATAGAGTTTCGAATGCAGCCTAAATACTTATCATAATAAATTAACACTAGAAAATATTGGCTGATTTTTAACTTCTCTTGGTAATAAATAATTAAAAATATTAAAATTCATATAAAAGTCATAACAATGAGTGAACTTATCATAGCAATAATAAGTAGTTCACATATTATTATTCTTAAATCGTGACTTATTTATCATAGCTCACAGTATTTGTTATTGTATTTTTTTAGTCAAAGTTTATTAATAACCGTAACATTAATAGCAACAGTAATAGTAAAATGAACAATAACAGTTTGAAGTAAGTATGAGTATAAGGATAATGTCATAGATTATTTATAGTTATTATCATTAGAGGTATTAGTTATGGAAATAGCAATAGGTAATAGCAATAGTTACCTCATTACGTAATCCCAGTACACACAAGTGGGATTAGTTACGTTTTCAACGGCGAGGTGCTCAAAATAGATACGAACTGGCTCGGATAGCTGCATGTGCCGACCTTTTCCCAGAGATGCCGAGATAACTTTGCTGTTGAGTATTCTGTTGCTGATATTCCGCGGGAAGCGGGCTTCCTCGTTCAGGCTCACGAACGAGTCCTCTATTTGAGGCTGGAGAATCTCCTCCAGCCGGTCGAACGCCATGAACACCAGCCTGACTATCCCGTCCTCGCTGCTGTTCTCCAGCAACGACTGCTTCGAGAGCTCCACGCGGTTGTTTGACACCGTCCACTTTTCCTGGACCGACTCCGGGGGGAAGATTTCTGACCCGCTGATTATGTTGCGGATTTCTAGTACTCGCACTTCCATTACTGAAATTAATTTTTGGTCAATAATTTTCTTTTAATGAAGTTAAATTTTGTTTCATTAAATAATTACTTTTATTAAAGTGTACTGTACTTTCTTAGCTATTGACATTTTTAAAGATATAAGCTCATCCCGATGTTACACTCATCAAGAGTTTTCATTTGAGTACCCACATGCATTTTTGATATATTTTTCATATATACATATATATAATATATGTAAATATATGAAAAATTGATGTGGGTAAGATCGGAAGAGCGTCGCGTAGGGA